TGATGGTGTGTGTGTAGTTAGATGGGTTGGAGGGGCGGCCCGGGGGGGGCGGGGGGGGGGGGGGGGGGAGTCCCCTCGGAGCCTTCACAGCACAGAAATACAATCCACGAATCTTATTGTGACACTTTCTTCTCTAAAATCACGAGACATTAATTTGTATTTTTGGCTACTGTAAGGAATAGGAATGAAAAAGAAAGACTTGTCTTAAACTAAACTTGTTATTGATAGGGGCCCCACAGAAGAGGAGTATAATCCGGAGATCTTGGGGGGGGGGCATTTGCTTCTTTGAAATCATGAAATATCATTTAATAAAGTAAAGCTATTCCTGTAACAGGCCGCGGAAGCCCATAGGCTTGTGAGACGTTGAGGCTCCCAAGATTTTCTAGACAATCAGCTCATAGATGGCGGTGAGGTTGTCAACCTTACGCACCGGTCACCCTTTACCCCCAGGAAGATTCCTGGTACTCATTTCTGTTAGAGGCTGAGTCGACCCCAGGGCCATGGTGCGGCGGAAAGGATTTGATCAACTAAAAAAATCTAATGACCTCATCGTAAATTGAAACCGCGACCTTCCGGCTTGTAGGATAGTGCCTCAACCAACTACACTACCGCGTGCCCCCTTAATTACTGGTAGATCTGTATTTTATGAGCATCTATTACAGAATTGGTCTTGAAGCCCACTTACCTCTGTGCTTTAAGTGGTTAAGACGTATGCAAATGAACCTGCGATGTCGCCCTTAGACCACACAACACGAATTAATACGAACTGTTGGCCAGAACCGTGTCCTGGAAGCGAACGACCAACTAAGTCCCCGTATAAACTAAATGTGCAACGGCCTCCGCTATGTTTTCGCACAACTGGAGTTATCGCAACAGCAAGCGCGGTTCCTTCTGATTACGCGGTCTTATCACTAACACACTGTCATGGCCGACAGGGCTGAGCACCAACAGGAGAGGCGCTGCACATCGAGGCGCAATAACACGCCGGACTTCGTCAACGTGCTTGCTGTAATAAAGGCTGCGTTATCCTCGGGCTTAAAAAATCAACTACCAAACCATGAATATATATGGAAAATGGAGGGGAACTGTCAGCATCACGCCCATCCCTCTTTAACCAAGCGCAAAGGCCACCGGTACTCATTGGATGGATGGCTCGGTAGGCCGAAGATCCAGCCTAAATGTTATGGAGAAGAGAAAAATCACTTGCCCCTGGTGGAAATCGAACCAGAGTACTCAGGAATCCATCCTGTAGTCTAGTTGCTATACCAACTGAGCTATCCTCGCTCTCTTTAAAGGTATTTTGACGATGTACAAAATTCGCAAAATGTCATAGCGCATGTAACACACCATAAAACAGGCAAAACCATTAAGTAAGGTAAATATTAGAACTACATTTGGTACATTTCATTTTATTTTACCCTATGTTATGTAATATAAGGGGACCACAACGTAGCGTAGTTGGTTGAGGCACTATGCTGCAAGCTGGAAGGCTGCAGGTCCGACTCCAGATGAAGTCCTTGGATTATTAAATTGACCTAATCCTTCCAGCCGCACTATGGCCCTGGAGTCGACTGTCTCTAACAGAAATGTGTACCAGGACTCCTCCTGGAGGTAAAGGGCGGATGGTGAGTGAGGCTGACAACCTCAGATATCTATGAGGTGATTGTACAGAAAATATGGAAGCCTCGACGTCTCACAACCTTACGGGCCTCCAAGGCCTGTTACAGGGATAGCTTTACATCATTTTTATGTAATGTAGGGCGGATTTGTTTACTTCCATTCATAAACAAAGGAATGATGCTGTTTGATGTGTTTCATTCTGCTCTGTCACACTAACAATATCATGAAAAGTTAAACAGTTCCGTGTAGTGTGACTGGTGAAGTCATCAGTGTCACCGGTCACACTACGCGGAACTGTTTAACTTTTCTTGAATAATACTGTTATAATAAACTAGTAACAAAGAAAGGGCAGATTTGTCTGATATGCAACAAAGAGGGAGAGAGACCGCACACTGAGGTGTGAAGGAACAGAGATTTGGATAGGAGGCTGTGGAACATTGATGCAGAAATGGGTGTCAGAAGGTTATCAGGATGCAAGAATACAGGGAAATGCATAAAAAGAGACTACATGATTAAATAAGAGGAGGAATTAGAAAGAATAATTAAGAAAGCACGAGAGTGAAGTAGAAATCAATTTAGATGACCCTCAGTCAGTTGGGGTAGCAATAGGACATGTGTAATTAAAATCTTAATGTACAATAGATCAGTTATATTCTACAGGAATAGTAACTTAAAAGGTGTGCTGAAGCACAGGACCAGGGAGTCAAACTCTGGTACCCAAAAGCATAAACTGTAACAAACTTAATGAAGCACTGATTCACAGTAAATTATATTTCTTAATTTACCATCCCCTATCCATTCTGCTTCTTGCTTATAACCGCTGTACCATATACACCGGCAAGTATTGCATTAATTGACTGACAGATGCTAGCCATCCAATTTGTGGGTAATACGCCTGGGGGCAGATATAGGAACAATGGAAGAGGAAAGATTAGCTGAGGAAAAGTAAATAAATGATTTCCAAGGCATACATATATTAAGTGGGACATGCAGTAGCGTAGTTGGTTGAGGCACTATGCTACAAGCCGGAAGGTCCCGGGTTCAAGTCCCGATGAGGTAATTGGATTTTTTTTAATTGACCTAATTCTTCCAGCCACACTATGGCCCTGGAGTCAACTCAGCCTCTAACAGAAATGAGTACCAGGAATCTTCCTGGAATATTTTTGGGGGTAAAGGGCGGCCGGTGCGTAGGGCTGACAACCTTGCCGCCACCTATGAGCCAACTGTCTAGAAAATGTGGGAGCCTCAATATCTCACAACCCTGTGGGCCTCCGCGGCCTGTTACAGGGATTACTTTACTTTTTTCACTTACTTACATATATTAAGCACATTAAACCCTTCAGCAAGATCGCATCAGCCACACTCTTCCCGTCAGTAAAGCGCTTGATCATACATTCAAAAAGAGTAATATCTTATGGAAGTACGCCATGTAGGTGGATCGAAGTTTAAGAGACATTTCGGGGGGTTGCACAGCCTCTGTCTTCAGAGTAGAAGTGTAAGGCAAGCAAGCAACACACAACCTAAAGAGAATTTGCCTTTCCGTGGTGTCAGGGTTCAGACAAAAGCCATCTCAATCTCATTAACAATAATGCAGTTTGCAGCATGGGAGAAAATTAGGTCAAGCAATTGACCTAATTTCATGACATTCATGTGTATACAACAAATGTACTCTAAACAGTGCCAAGCAAAAGTCAACATCAGAGCAATTCCACAGTTTATGTGCGTAATTTTCAACACCAGGTGGCGTTTGTAACCCTTGGAAACCAGAAGTACATCTAAATATTTAGAGATTGAGTTCCTGAAGCACAGACATCAAGAAATCCTGGTTAATACTGGTTTACAGAAATAAAACTGGTATGCTTGTATCCATACAGAAGAAAAAGTCAATTATGGCCTTACATAAATCAGGCTTCATTGTGGCTCAACATGGCTGACAATCGGGGCAGCTGAACAACTTTTGGAGAAAGTTTCTCACCCCAAGTTTCAATAAAGTGTGTGCAGCTGTTTACTGGGTAAATAAGAAAAGTCCAATTATGTGTTTTATGTATAATAACCTTTATTATGAATGAATATGGCTGAAGTCATAACTGTTCACCAACTTCAGTGCATCTCTCCCATATAAATCTTTAAGAATTTGTTTGGCATTGATACTAGGTTACAGACGGACAAATGTGACCTCCATATAAAGCGTTCTCTGAACTTAATAAGGAATGCTTAATAATTACTGTTTGTTCAGAGAGTCACACAAAACACATAATTCTACTCTGTGGACAAAATATGGAGTTTATTAATGCTAAACAAGGCTGTATAAACAGTTATGGGTGTGTTGTAAAGAGTTAATGGTCTATTAAGCACAAATAATGTGCGAAATACCTCGCCCTAACAGTGTGCTGCACTACTGCTGTAACAATTTTCTGACTCATGATGGGCAATTAATACCAGCTTAGGTAAACTAACCACACAGCTTTATCAATGTAAATCGTAAATACTCAACTTGTGTCACCCATTTGTATCTAAGAAATTAGAAGTACATCATTAATAAGAGCTCAAAAAGGCTATAAAACTCAGTAAAATGACATATATTTAAACAGTTCTGCTGGATTTAAGGTTATCACAGTGGTTATTACGAAGAATACTGTCTTATGGAATGTGATATCATGTAGTTTGGTATAAGTTTACTGGAATTTCAGAGGAACATACTGTTGATATCTTCGGCACCAGAGGATGCCATGCCAGCAAGCAGGAAGCAGACCTTGACCGTCAGTGAGCTTCTACCAGACGACAGTGCAACACAAGTCACAGGACAGTGCTCTTCAGTTATTTCGGTTGGTGGCCCATGTCACAAGCTGAGGTACATCTGAGGCTACACATCCTTAAGAATATAACGCCATAAATGTTCAATGTATGTGCCCCATTTACACATAGATATTACAGGTCCTGGTATCCCTCGTTTCATAAATTTTCACTACAATGAAGCATGTTAGTTTCTACTGATTTTTACTTAATGAACTTTATTTTCACTACAACAAACAACTTGTTTGGTGACTTTCATATGTAAAGTAATAGGAATTTCACTTTCAATTTAAGAATTTTCACCTTATGAACAGTTTTCACGGAACAAATTACTTTCATAAATTGAAAGATATCTGTATATCATGGAGGAGGCAAAGGGCTGAAATACAACAAAACAAAATATAGCTTAAATCATCTTGTCTTTAACAAAACTGTAACCTTATGACCAATTAGGTTATATTCGTAATGCAAGAGTGCACAGAAAACATTACAGTTCTAACGGGTTCTGTTGAAATCGTAATATGTTGACATGGGCCAATCTGGAAGCGTTGTCATGCCACATCAAGCCCGCAAGTTGGCTATTTTTTCGATTCTGCTGAATTTAACTTTGAAGTGCAGTGGCTGAAAGGGCTCCCAAAATGGGTTTGATATGTGAAGAGTGCTACCTTCTGCGATGCAATAAGGTGAAGTCCAGGAGATGTTCACCAGTGTTTACGAGGAATGTACTGTAATCTGCATTTGCTTACATTACAACTTATCTTCATCTCACTGTGATTGGGTGTGCTGAAATTTGAGAGCACAGGCATCTGATATTTATTTATACAAACAAAGTTGGAAAAAAGTGAAACAGGAAGAAATAAAAGATGAAAATGGAGAAAATAAATAGATGCAGAGAATGAGACAGGAAAGAAGAAAAATGGAATGAAACAGGACTGGAAATAATTAAATATACATATAAAGACCAGCAGTTACAGAATTTCAGTATACATCAACTGATGAGGTCATTGGATTTTTTCAATTTACCTAAACCTTCCAGCCACACTTTGGCCCTGGGGTTGACTCCACCTCTAAGAGAAATGAGTACCAGGAATATTCCTGGAGATAAAGGGGAGCCTCGACGTCTCACAACCCTACAGCCCTCCACAGCCTGTTACAGGAATAGTTTTACTTTTACCAACTGTATGAAGCACTGTCTGGCTATTCAGTGTAGCTGGGACTTCATAGTGTCCCTTATGGGTTATAACATATAAGAGTGCATCAGTGGGAGTGTTATCTGCGGAAACTGGAACTAGACATGGGTATTGCCAAATTTTAGAATTGAATTTTCAAAGGGCATTTCACTAGTCTATTATAGACCATAAAAGTTCATATAAACTTGTGCTTAAATTATTAAGCATTCTAAATCTACAGTATTTACAATTACTGTATTACAAACTATATTTACATAGATATACAAAAGTTAAACAACACAGAAATGCTTCCCAAATACCAGTATATTGCGCTCTGCTCTACTCCCATTCTACTGCTCTATCAGTCACACGAACCATCAAGCCAACCGTCTCGCCACCGTTCATTCACACGGGAGCAATCAAACTCAGGTTTGCCAATCCGCCGATTGACATTATTATGCATCCTGCAAAGCCACTGAGACAGTGAATGCTGTGAATCGGTAACAGGGGGTGTCACTTTCAATCTGCAAAAATATAACATAAAAATAATTATTTAAATACAAACTCACTTGTGCTGATTAATACTGACCTTAAAATATATCATTGTCTCACCCAAGTAACTTCAAAATTCACCAAAAAGTAGAAGGCACCCCACCTGTGGGCCCACCCGTACATTACAAGAGTAACATAAAGCTAGGGCCGCACCATAGCTCAAGCGGTTAGTCGCTGGCTTCCCACCATGGCGGCCTGGGTTCGATCCTGGGTCTGGTCAAGTGGGATTTGTGGTGGACAAAGTGGTGCTGGGGCAGGTTTTCTCCCAGTACTTTGGTTTCCCTTGCCAATCTTCATTCCACCAATTGCTGCACAATCACCCTCACCTATCATCTGGGGCTGGTACAATAGGCCAGAAGTGGCCGCAGTACAAGGGACTTAGTCCCACCCCACTACCAATAAAGAAAAACATAAAGCTATCCCTGTAACAGGTCGTGCAGGCCCATAGGGTTGAGATGTCGAGGCTCCCACATTTTCTAGACAATCATTTCACAATATATATGGACAAATACCGTCTTAAGTGCAACAAATTTTATTGTAGTTTTTACTTCTTTTTCCTCCTCCACACTACATGTTTCGGCCCTAAATGGCCATCATCAGGTGTGTAACAGCTACGTGAGTGATACACACCTGATGATGGCCATTTAGGGCCGAAACATGTAGTGTGGAGGAGGAAAAAGAAGTAAAAACTACAAAAAAATTTGTTGCACTTAAGACGGTATTTGTCCATATATATTGTGTGAGTGTAACAGGATGCTGAAATATAATATCATTTCACAGATGACGATGAGGCTATCAGCCTTACATGACAGCCAGCCGCCCTTTACCCCCATGAAGAATCCTGGTATGTATTTCTGTTAGAGGCTGTGTCAACCCCAGGGCTATAGTGTGGCTGGGAGGATTAGGTCAATTAAAAATCCATTAACCTCATCGTCAATCGAAGCTGTGACCTTTGGGCTTGTAGCATAGTGCCTCAATCAACTATGCTACCACATGCCCCCATATTAAAAGAGTGACCATAGCAAAAAAGGAGGTACTACTGTTAAATCAAATACCAAAACACATGTTCATTTCCTTTGCACACGGGCTTTATGACAACTGCTAGAAAATTTGATCACTGATGTGTGTATTTCCCAAAAGCTTATTCTTGCACTTGCATTTTGCTTAGCAGAATTTGATTATCTCCCCCCTCCCAAATCAGAACCTCTTCTTCAGTTTTCAAATGCAACAAATCCATCTTCCCAAAGGAATTTGAAATGAGATAATTCTAACTTCAGAATGACAGCTGTAGACTTATTCTTTGAGGTAAAATACAGACTGATCATGCATGCCCTAACTGGAGGAAAACACACTTGTTAAATTTAAAGCTGAGACATCCATTGGTATGTAATAATTGTGACTCTTGATGTTGGCAACAGTCAATCTGATCCTAAGAGGATTTGCATGATTTTAAGATACACTTACTGTTCTTGAAAGTCTTGTGCACACTCATAACAGGGGTAGAATTTTGAGAATGTAGTGAAGAAATTAGCCATGTCTGATCTCTCTTCAGGTGTTGGCTTATCTGGATAATATGCAGCCATTGTATGCAGAAAACCCCAAGTCTTACTTCCTAAAACAGATGTACACAAAACATATACTATTTCACACTGGAAAACTGTCTTCAACATCCTACAATATATATGGAACCAAAATTTCTTGGGCATGCAAGAGAAATAATTTCTACCAGTTAACAGTGGATTTGGTTAACAAGTTCTTGTTTTACTTCCACTTACAAGAAATCACAGTGAGAGAATAAACAATATGTGGCCATTAGATTGCGGTCCTCTGGGTTATGACACTGTGTAGTATCCTACCCTGAAGAGGGAGTCAACAAGTTCCTACATAACACTGGTGACCACCTACAACTTATGATGTGACTGACGGAATGCTCTCAAAAACAATATTCCATTTTTTTGAGTTGGTTCACATGGAAGATTCCACTTGGGTGAACAAAGTGCAAAGAGGCGAAGCAGGTCACACTACTGCTTGATTTCCTGCAGAACAAATTGTCTGTTAACATTGCGAGGTAATCCCATCACACTACTCCTTCCATTTATCCTTTCTTGGATGACCATACATGTCGTAACTTCCGATGCGATGTCTACCATCTTCAACTCGGTTAATTGCAACATAAATGTTCACTTCCATGAAAACCTCAAACCCCATAATGTATCCATCCAGGCTCTTAATATTTGGAAACAAGATCCAAATGTGCAGCACATTTCTTGAAGTTTGATTATAATACATTTATATATTAGTTAACTACAAAGTCAACTGAAACAGAGAATGAAAGAAAAATCCCCCAGAGGAATATATTCCACGATCCCTTTAATACTCTTACATGATCTGGGTGCTCAGGGAGAGACTGGAGGATGTTATGGCGGCTGTTGCTTTGTGATGGCCTTGGTATTGTTGACGCGGAACCGTTGATTGTCGTGGAAACATGTTTACCGGCCAGTCCTTCGCAGTAAATGTCCTTTCTGGGTAAGCCATTCGGGCGTCATGTCACAATACCTTCAAGACAATTAAAATCTTTACCTAATTCATCTTTATCCAGTGGGCACTCTTCCCTCTTGGGCGTATGATCACCTCTTCCGTGTGCTTCCTGTAATGAAAAATTATTTACACTTGTACTTTTCAGTAATTAGTCGTTCTAATTTACGTTATTACACTGGACGATAGCAGAACATTTCGAAAGTACTTTCTCAATGAAACTTCCGTAAGGTTAGAACCATAACCTAAATATGGAATTAACGACTGACTGACAGCTCACACCAATCACAAAACCTCACTTGAGAAATTAACCTTTGTCAAGGCTTCCTTCTGCTGCTTTGTCCATGTCTTGAAGTCCACACATGCCCGACAAGGTCTCGTATTTCTTTCTGTATCATACGTACGCTCATTCCCATGTGCCGCCATTGTGAATATATGATGCATGATGCAACAACCTGAAACAGCTGACAATCGATGGAGGTTAGTAATTCAAACTGTCGGATTACGTAAACAGTTTATATAACTTTTGGTTTGTTTCATGGCCAACATAATGTAGCGTATTTAAGTAGTGATTGTGAAATGTAAATTTAATTACAAATAAATCAGAGTTTTCATAAGTCGTTGCCAACATATCAAATTTTTCGTTGGCTACCCCGGGATGTTTGGTTCACTAACAATTATTCAGAAACCTAACCTGTACTCTGTTATGAATTTGCAAATATGTGACAGCCATTCTGCAGGAGATTATATGAGAACAAAAAACGCCTAGAAGATATTAGGTACGTAACTGATGGTTAATTCTTCAGAGGTTTTTGACAACCTGTGATTCAATATACCTACATTTTGCTGGTCATTGACAGTGTGATGTAAATATGATGTGCACGTTTGCAGAGGCTGTTCAACTGCCGTTACTTTGTGATTGGTAGTCATCGAACTGGGTCCTTAAGATTCATAGGCGTGCACATTATGCGCACACAACCAGTGGAAGAGCCCAGTAATGGCTGTTATTTTAACTCCAAATATATATTGTCAAGTGTTTCCTAGGTAACAGACAAGGAACGGTGGGTTTGGATTAGACGAATGTTTATTGGACATTTGTTTGTTTACACTCACAGTTATAATCACTGTCAGTAATGCCTTTCACGTTCCCTCTTCATTGGCTATATTCTTGCACCACTATTCTCAATGGAGCCTTCATTTTTGGTTCTTTCCTTACTGCTCGGTGGAGCCTCGCTCTTCAGAGTCAAAGTCACATTGTGACTGACAGTCGGTCAGTTTGTCTGTCTTGGTGTCAAGCCCCAGATGTTTCTTCTTGTATGAATCCTCACTATTCTGGGTTCACTGCTCCCTATATAGGCTCGGCACGGACCACCCACAGAAAATGCATTGCTGCTCAGCAACGGATATCATGTATTGTCAGGCGTGTCTACCCGTTGCGCATTCGTTGCTGTGGGAACTCAACAGTTCGGTCTCTGTTGCTTAAGCACTTCCCTAAGCAACGGTCTGTTTATGTTTCATTGTCTAGGAATTGCTAGCCGTTGAGCAGCAATGGACATTCTACAGTACAGTCTCCCAGGCAGCACACCACAGATCACGATATGGAATTCACATCTGGGCTTGGTTGTCCAATGATGTATTCTGTTTATTTAATTATTGCTTACTAAGAATGTTGAAGTGCATATGGCTGTCTATACTTTGATGTGACGTAACCAAATTACCAACATAGGATCACATTAAATAATATTTTTGGGCTTTCCCGTTGATCTAGTGAATACCATACAGGTAAAATTATCCCTGTGCTTAACTAATTAAGCACTCTGCCATGAAAGCATATGGGGGAGTAGATGTATAGATCCATGTTTCCTTGACCTCAGCACTAGTTGGAGGTGAGTGGTCAGCTTCAAGCCCTGGCTGCTTAACTCCCTGGGAAGTTGCTGCCAGCACCCATTGGAGTGATTATCATATCAGAGAAAATTAAAATGGACCTGCATTCAGTTTAAACCATCACAACTGACAACAAAGAATATGAATACAAGTCTGGGTAATGCCAATCAAATACATGAAGACAGGAGTAACGCCAACTTCTGCAACATCACATACACCCAGTCCTTGTCAAATGTGATGGTTACTGCCCCATCATGTTAGCAAGGGGCTCGGTGTACATCATTACTACCGCAGACAATGGATCATGTCCAATGTATTTGGTATAATATTATAGGAATTCATTTTCATGGCTATGTTACAAAAGTATGTTTATGTTTATAAAAGGGAGGGCTGTTGTGTACTGTTATGAATGTAGAATTTTAAGCACTAAATGTTTATTTTTCAGTAATGAACCCCACACTCATCGAGGAGAGTTCTTCAAAAAGAATTCCACACAATCTTGAAGCCCTTGTCAAATCTCTAGATGGATCACCAGATGTTTCACCTACAAATACAAATGATTTAATTGCTGTTTTGCTGTACGTGTTAATGATGGAAACAGGGTATTCACCAATAAATGTAGGAGGCACTTCAATTTCCAGCAGTGATCATGGATTCAGTATTCATAAGCTGAATCGCTTCTGCAATATGCCAGCCATTTGGAAGAACATTCGACAAAACAATTATGAAATGACTTTTACTCTTGGAAGATTCACTCAACATCCATGCAGACTGCTTATAATATCAATAGATGATGAAATTATTGTCAATTTACTTATATCAAATTTGAACGAAGAAAGAAATGGATATTCCTTAGGGATTCAACCCTCAAAATATGTTGTCAATCCAACATCTAATTGCATTCCGACAAAGTTCAGAAATCTGAGAGATCTTTCCCTGAGATTTAAAAACAGTTTGTCACATCCTGCTAGAAGTGTAATTTTGACCAAGGAAGGTATACTGAATGCAAGTCTTTTGGGTGTTCCTGATGAAGTTAAGATCAAAATATTTAAATATTTGAAAGTATCAGACCTCTTAAAATTGTCACTGGTTTGTAGCCATTTATATACTGTGACTGAAGAACAAGGGCTGTGGAGGTATTTCCTGCTAAGAGATTTCAGGTGTGAAGATGTGGAAGACCTTGTGAATCAGCCAGGTATAAATGATATTATCATTTGGAAGGAGGAATACAAAAAAAGATACACAAGCGTCCATATCAGAAGACATAAGTGGCATTTTCGCAGTGATATATAGTTTATATCAATTGTCAACGCACGTATTCACTTTCTTTCTTCGAACATTTATGGTCTGCTGCTACAAAACTTGACTACTGATGTATTCAACACTTATTCACATGTGTTGTTTACTTTGTAGAATTCCATATCTTTAAAGAAACCAATTTCCTCCTGTTGTTACTGGTCACAAATTAATCATTTCCAAACGAATTCACAGACTGAGATAACTGTTGACGTTTGTTGTTGTTTTTTTTTTGTTTTTTTGAGTATAATGCAAATCAACTATGAATGTGCTAACACGAAAATAAATTTGAAAGTTAACTGGGGCAAGTACTCATCTGTATGCTTACTCGTAAGCATTTCAGCAGCTGTCTCAGTTAAAATAAAGTTCAGATTTCTTACCTTCTATACACATACCAAATAAACATACCTGCTAGCCAATGTCTCTGTTTTGTATTTTGCTATTTCTGGTTAGTAAAGTATAAAAGAGATTAAATGAATGGCAAACTGCATGACTTTTATTCATTTTATACCATATCTTGAAGTTTTGTTCCTTCACATTGGAGCACCAAATCAGACCATAGCTAATTATCTGATCAGAGATTTCCAAGTTGTTTCTCAGTACAACCAAATAAATACCTGTATAAGATTTGAGGCTTTCACGGCGGTGACTATGAAGAAAGCAGTCTTCTGGGATTTGGCACCGTGTATATGTGGTGTTAACCGACGTTTCGGAGGAACGTATCACCCCCATCTTCAGGGTTGAAGAAAAAGTATAAGTAAATCTGCAAGCGACAACACCGTAGGACACGGTAAAGCAGACTGCTTTACCGTGTCCTACGGTGTTGTCGCTTGCAGATTTACTTATACTTTTTCTTCAACCCTGAAGATGGGGGTGATACGTTCCTCCGAAACGTCGGTTAACACCACATATACACGGTGCCAAATCCCAGAAGACTGCTTTCTTCATAAATACCTGTAGATTGCCTGAGACACAGCTACAGGTGGTTCAGTGAGACATAAGCGCTGAAACCTACTGGATATAGAACCTGTCGTAGTAAAATAAAATATAAAAGCAGTAATATCATACAATCATAATAGATCCCCGAATAAAAAACAAAACAGCACAACAGGGTACCTGATGCTTGCTCAGTTATAAGGGTTACCAGAATTCCAGCCACATCAACCTTGACTACCATAACCCATCCAGAAAGCACACGGTACTTCCCACCTTGCTCTGCACAACCAGGGCAACTTGCATGATGAGCTGCAGTTGCTCAGGCAGCATTCAAACCAGAAAGGCTACAATAGGACTTACAACCCTCCTGTGAGGGTTATGTCACCTCATGATAATCCTTACTCAGTCACTCCTTTACCCTATATGGAGTCCACATTCAACCACTGGAGGAATGCTATACTGGGATAACATTAAAGTTTGTTGGCCTCCTGCACATGAATATCTCAAACTCAGTACTGGATGGTAATGAGAGAAACTAGGGGTATACAGCATCTCATGTGAATGTGGTCATGCTTATACAGGGCAGACAGGAACCTAAATAGCTTTACAGCCTCTCTACACATACAAGCTATAAAATGTTCCTGTACAATCGTGAAAAGTGCAGTTCTGCACACTGTTGCAGGTCCCCATTAGGCTGTACGGTGACAGGAGGAACCTAAATAGCTTTACAGCATGTCTACACCTACAGTAAGCTATAAAATGTTCCTGTACAGTCACGAAAAGTGCAGTTCTGCACACTGTTGCAGGTCCCTATCGGGCTATACAGTGACAGTAGGAACCTAAATAGCTTTACAGCCTCTCTACACCTGCAGTAAGCTTAAAATGTTCCTGTATAGTCACAAAAAGTGCAGTTCTGCACACTGTTGCAGGTCCCCATCGGGCTGTACGGTGACAGCAGGAACCTAAATAGCTTCACAGCCTCTCTACACATACAGTAAGCTATAAAATGTTCCTGTACAATCATGAAAAGTGCAGTTCTGCACACTGTTGCAGGTCCTTGTCAGACTGCACAGTGACAGCAGGAACCTAAATAGCTTTACAGCCTCTCTACAACTGCAGTAAGCTATAAAATGTTCCTGTACAGTCAAGAAAAGTGCAGTTCTGCACACTGTTGCAGGTCCCCATCGGGCTGTACAGTGACAGCAGGAAACTAAATAGCCTTACAGTCTCTTTACATGCACCTTTACTGTGCTCCTTGGTATGGTATGTGCATTTGCCCATTGTAGTGATCCCTGAATGGGGCAAGTTTGGTTTTTCTTAGTGAATGATCTATTTACAGCAACAGCTGTAAATCACTGGTCATGATCCAATTTCCTGTGACCACAGAGGAATAAACACATGGGAAAGCAGAACACAAAGCAGGACAGATCTATGGATTCCACTGCAGTTTCATCATATTTACCATCTATAAATTCCCATTCATGCATCCTGCTCGGACTTCCATGACTCTGCTAGACAACTTGTGACATACTGTCACTCTGTACTCTTACTTTCATTCGCTCTCTGTTGAACGCAGAATATCTGATTGGCAATTAATCTACAATGAATACCTTGAAGCCATTTTAGAGCACAGAAAACTCTTATTAAATTTGCACTCTGTTACATTAACAAAGGGAATCAGGACAACTCAGTTGGTATAGCAATGGCTATAGGCCAGATTGATTGAGTTCAATTTCTGGCTGTGCAAAATTTTTCTATTCTCCACAGCATCCAGACTGACTCTGAGGTCCACCCAGCCTCCTAGCCAATGAGTATCATGGGTTCTTTCCCGAAGGGTAAAGTGGCAGGGGCATGAAGTTGACCGCTGGCTTTAATCAAGTACTAAGGTCAAGAATGGTGAAGTTATACCTGTACTCCTCCATAAGTCTTTACAACACAGTGCTTAACTAATTAAGCAGAGGGACAAGTTCATCTATTTTTTACAGAGATAAAGAACATGCCAATACCGACTCCTGCACGACACAGATATTCGAAGCAACTGAAGCTATAATGTCAAGATCACATGACTTTATCCATATTCCTTGTATGTCCTATTTCACAGTCAGTATGCAGGTATGTGGCAGGTAGCATGCCTGGGCAAATGTTTATATTTGGCAGCATCTGAGGTTTTCACGTGCAAGGAAGATTCATATTCCAGTCTTATGTGTTATGGTACAGTTTTGTGGTCTGGTACATTGACAGCAGTACTTCAGACAAACACACTGCCCACAGCTTCAAGGTTGAAGAAAGCAAATTTATTTAAGATGTGATACCTACATTAGTGTCTTCATGGAAAATAAACATCATGGTTTTGCTAGAAGTTAAAAGTCAACGTTTCAGAGATGTTAACTCTTTCCAACATCAACTCTCATCATGTAGACAGAACAAGCCTATGATATGTTTCTTAGATCAACCATAGCATGGCTGATCATCCAAGGAGTTTCGAGTGCTTTTATTCATTATAAAACCTTCATTTAAGCACTTGAATCTGTACAGACAGACTTGCCAAATTAAAGATCTCCTTCCACAGTTATACATTTCTAACCACAGGCCACAAGAGCAAAGTACTGAGGAGACAAATGTAACATAGACACAGGACAGAAATCTAGCTAGAAACTCTGTATGAAACATGTTCTGCTCATGTTTGTAATCTTCAATGAGTAATAAAATTATTTGTATTGTAATGGATTTGATCAGTGCATTGCCAGGCAACAGCTTTGTAAACACAAATAGAGGCAACAATAGAAGGGAAACTGTGTTCTATGCAATCCATGCCAAACAACAATAGGAACTGGATTCTCTGTGAACAGTTGCTAGGTGGGCCTCAAGGGGCCTGACACCAAGATGAACTGATTGGCGGTAAACCGCCAGTCATAAAGTAACTTGACTCTGACTCTGACCATGGCAGTGACTGACCCTGTGAGTCATAGGAGGCGACGAAAAGGGAAGTCTCAAATCTGAGACAGTAAAATATGGTTGCAAGTACCAAGTGACTCAGACCCAAGAAAGACTGCGCTGGCAAGGACCAGCAGCATATACAAATGACAGACCTGTTCTCTCGTCAGAGAGGGCGACCCACAAAAGAACAAGACCATGACTGTCAAACAGTCATAAATATCTGGTCATGAGCTCCAGATGGGGCTCAACAAGACTGAGTGACTGACCGTCAGTTGCAATGTGACGTGGGCTCTTTAACCAGGGCAGTGGCAGATTTCTGAGTTCTGAGTCCTCAGTGGAAGACAGCCATGGAAAGTTCATGTGAAGACCTGGTGTGATTAGAAGGCTCACTTGTGTGTAATACTTGGAGTGTGCGCTTCAGTGAGACTGTTATAGTTCCTGTGTTTTTGTTGCGTTACCAGGACTAGTGTGTGCATAAATCAGCAATAGCACTGTATTTAAGTGTAATTAAGAGAGAGAATGTAATGGAAGTGCTAATAAATCCAATCATCCGAACTAGAACCCACCATTTTCACGCGTTTACCACCCTACACGTGACAGTATGTATAATGTGGATTTGTAAGAATTTAAGCAAGTCATCAGATATAGTACTTATGGGACAGAAGAATAAATACAGTATGCTGTTATCACATTTTATGTGCTACACAGAAACTACTTTACTGAAAGTTCCAGTTTTCTCATGACTATTAAAATTCAGTTGGCTTTGGAATATGTTTCATTCAGTTCTTGAGTGACACAATATTCCTTCATGGTTTCATGAACATATGCATGAACACACTACTCTTTTATTTTTTTTCTTTGTTTTTCTAGTGATTGCACTCTTTTGGTATTTTTACAATTGTGCCATAGTACATCAGTTCTTCTGTAGAGGAGAAACAACAACACAAATAGTGGAAAGGAAAGGACTGAAATCGTTTGTATATTAATGCAAATGGGGGAAGATAAAAGGCTAACATGAATATATAATCAAGAGCCTGCCAGGAAACTGGAACAAAAGATGAATGCTACTGGAACTGGTGCTACTGACACTGCTGCTACTGGAACCACTGCTACTGCTACTGCTGCTGCTGGAACCAGTGCTACTGCTACTGCTACTACTGGTACTGATACTAACACTACTACTACTACTACTACAACTACTATTAAGTCTACCCAAGTGTTTTCACAAAGGTTCCTACCTGGAAGTAGACAGAAGAACTGAGCACCCACCCCCACCCATCATCCAATGATATTTTGATCCTGTAATGACATAACAAGTTATGAGTACAGTTGCTGTGTTCCTGGACATTATCCATCATGCTGTTTTTATTTAAAACATACAATGTTTTGGAGACTGTATTCTGTCTCCGTCTTCAGGTGGAACCTACTCAGTTGAGCCCAATTGACAGAGCTAGTCCCTATCTCCAGACATCACGCGAAGACTGATGATGGATAATATCATCACAAACTTTTAGAGTTATGAGTCGTCACAGTGACTACGAAGAGTAGCATCTTATGTATTTTGAGGTGATGTAGTGCAGAATAAGTTTACTGATGTTCTGGAGAAACAGATGGCCTCAGTCTTCTCCAATGAGAAAATCAGGGGGTAAACAAGTTTCCTTTTTATAGAAATTGAATATTTCGTTCAGTTTTCAGTGCTGTATGTGAATAGAATCAAAACTGTGCTATTAAGAAACAATAAATTCAAAACACAATCCCTTACAAATGCACAGTACTATCTTCTGGGATATAATGCCATGTGCTCTAAACATAGTTCTAGGTATGTTCACAGATATCATTAGAATTAGAAACTGGAATTCCTCATAATCATTGTCTCCATATTCATTCTTAGGAGCCTGAAAATAAGGTGACCCATCTTTTCTAAGCAGTATTAAAAAATCACCTATTTTCAGGCTAATGTGCTGTTTTAAAACAAGCATTCAGCTAACAGTAGCATGAAGGAAAGATTTCTACACAAAAGGAGCATTACAAAACATGTATACTTTTGTTCAGGCATCAAGATATCTTTATTGTATTATACTTAATACTTATTAATCTTGACAGTTGAAATTACATAACAGAATATTTGATACAGGTAGAATCTGCAAAGTTAGAGGACTGTGTCCCCATAATTTGAAATGATGTGTCTTTCGTTATTCACATCACAGAAAATTGAAGGAAATCAGTGACGGAAATACGAATATGAATAAACTAAACTAAGCAAGACGTACATTATCATCTTGTAAAACTCACACGTAACAAATGACTGACTGCATCTTGTTAGAGTAGAATGAAGAAAACAACACCCACAGAATAACATGCAACGACCGAAAACAAAAGCGAGGCAGTGTCACTCCTTGTGGTGTAGCCATGTGATCACTACCAAGCGATGTACTTGCGCAGTTCTGCATAAATACAAATACATTTCATTCTTACAATTATCCATATGTACATATATTACCATTATTTTTCAATTTAATAACAATTCATTTTATTGGAATGTAGCACCTCTTTGAAAAATTTCATTACATATCTTGTTAAACTGTCTCGTCTTATAAAGCTACAGATGTAACCACTCAAACAAGAATACTTAATGTTTATAAATTATTCTTTTCAGGGTCTTATATTTATCATAGCTTAGGGTTTCAGGAAGTTCTAATGCAGCTTGGGGAAATACAAGGCTGGGGAGAGATTGCCTCATATGACTCTTGCAGTCTGTAAAGTGCAAAGCAATCCCAAGATGAAAACTTGGAAGCGACTGACCTCTGGACAGTAGTGGTCAGGGGTGCAAGCTGCAAACATTCTTAAGTACACACTTATTGCTGTGTATTCAAAATTGGCACTTGTGAAGGACGACACACCATCAGTTCATGTCACATGTCAGTGTTCAAATGAGATTAACTTTTACTGTTTAGAAACAGACATACTAAATATCCAAATACTACAGAACTGACAGCCAGATTTTAACTCAATTACAAATGTTAATCATCTGGGAACAAAGGATCTTGAATGTCTTTATATGATATGGAAGCAACCATATTTTAATGCTATTAGTAGCATACTGAAAGAATGTTAACACTCAGCCAGCCTGGACCAATCAACTGCTTCAATAATACAATAAACAGCTAGTAAAATTAATAAAGTAGAGTGATAGTAGGTTGGCTGAAAACTGAAAGTACCTTCAGCACTGTTACACACACGGTGGAATGAAGACCCTGTGGCAGAACTTACAACATACACAGCAGCTACCAACTGCCAAAATGATACAGTTCAACAGATATTTGCTTGTCCCAGTATTTCCTTGGATTGACTGCAATATTATCAACAAGACTGTTTATCAAGTGGCCCTCTCTTCTCATTACTCCCCATTATGGAACAAACAGATTTTCTAGGTGGTTATACAGGCTCTTAAGGACATATATTACTTTACTGAAGGATATGTTCTTCATTAAGGCTGTTTTTGAATTTAAGAGCCTCGGAATCTGTCACCTGCCTGTTGATAATGGCAGCAGTTTCCTTCTTGCCCAGCACTGTCACATGGTTCCCAGGCACGACATGTACTTCCACCTTCTTCTCACAGATCTACAAACACAACCAAACACATACACTTAGCTCACTGCCTGGCCATGTCTCGCTCTAACTTCAGAGCACTCCGCTATTCTCACTCTTACCTGTACCTTTATTTGTTCTGCTATCTCGCACATATACACCCTGTAGAAATATAACTTTTCTGTCAGTTTTCCGTTTCTTGCTACAGTTCTAATAGACAGCACTGTAAGTTAACGTGACACAATGGCTAAAAGCTGGAAGAGAGGAATGAATAGTTATGGCCACTGACAGGCAACAGCAGGGTAAAAATGTTTCTGCCACAACAGATACTGATGCAACAATAGAGGACGCGGTGTTTTCTATGTGGTCCATGCCGAAGTTATATAATGTGGACTAACTGGACATGCTAGTGAGTTGACAGTCAGCCAGAGGTTAGAGCCGGTGGTTGGCAGCCACTACCTAGCAATGGCTAGTGAACAAACAGGAGACTTTATGTGTGCTGCTGTTGTAGCAGTCTGTTGAATGTGTAAATTAGAGACACTGTTGTAACCATTTGCAGTTAATAGTTATAAGCGCCCATTAATCCAAATTATCAATCCAAAACCCCATAACTAGTCAGTAATATGGGGTAACTGGTGTCAGAAGTGGGATTTGGATTGCAAATTACTCCAAATTCTCATCAACAAGTGCAGCGACCTTGGCTGTCAAAGCGATGTGCAAGTATTGTGGTAGAGCTCTTCGATTTGATTCAAATCCTCATTCCCAATCTCTTCTATAATTACACAAATTTATTTTAATTCCATAACCCGAGCATTATTCCTTCTTTGTAATTCTGCTTCTTATGTGTTGCGATTTACGATGATGCTTCTTTATTTTTTTTCCTACTGCAGACCCAACTGAGAAGAGCAGAAGATGTTATGACTATGTATTAAGTCTGTCAATAATGCAACAATCATTAAATATTCACCATTTAACACTAACACAACATGTTTCGGTCACAGACGGACATCCTCCCTTACGAGGTGGAATAGGGTTTACAAAAGATTTTAATAGAAAAATATTAATGAATTTTAAGTCATTATTTATTTTAATTTATATGGACTGCAATGCGCAATTTTAGCACGCATTCAAAGCAGTGTAACAGTTTGAACGCATTAAAACACCTGAGGATCGCCATCTGTGGCAAAAAACATGTTGTGTTAGCGTTAAATAGTGAATATTTTAATAACTGTTGCATTATTGATGGACTTAATACAGAGACGTTTAATTAAAGGTGTGCAACGGGATGCTGAAATACAGAATTAAAGATGTTATGACATTTACTTCATATTCTTGCCAATATGCACAGTAGTCTCAGCTGTTAAAAGAATGTGTGGCCATTGTGGTGGAGCATTTGGGTGTGACTCAAGTCCTCATTCACAATATGTCTTGCATTTACATGAGTAAATCTTGACTTCTTAACTTCATCTACTACACATATTGTGACACTGACAGACAAAGCAACTGTTTCCGGAGCGAATGGCTACTTCCACTCGTCTCATATAAAACTGTATTATCAAACTGTTAACATCAATGTGAAGAAAAATAATTGCTTCAGGTATGAATGAATGTGTGTGCATATATTGAGCAAACAATATTAACTTAATGAACTGTTTCTGGATTTAGAAATCAGGCATTTCTCACACTACCATGTTTCCCATGTAGCACACAATACTTCCAAGCAAAAGGCTTAGTACAATGGCAGGATATAAACAAGATGAAAATCATGCAGTGGTGTCTAAAGATTTGGAAAAGATGTCACATGATATTAACTGACAATACTGGATCCAGAAACAGGAAAAATGGACAGCTTATTAAAAGCATGGGGCAGATCTTGCTTATAATAAAGAATAAGAAATGCTCACCTTTGATAGCCCATAGTCCTCCTCTGCTTTCAGTGCTGAAGCTCTAGCCTTCAGAAGAGTTGTTTGAGACTTGACTCTCTTCTTAGGGTTCCACTCATAGCCTAGCGTGTTCTTCATGCGAGCAAAGATAGAGGCAATAGCAGTTTTGTAGTGCTGTTTATCACCAGTCGGCATCAGAAGCATGCTGATGACATGATCTAACTTCTCCTCCCTACTCTTCATGGGTGTTATCTTCTCAACCAACTATAAACATGCACGCAACAAACATCAAGTATTGTAGCATGTGTTTGTACATAAACTCAAAATCTTCCATAGTCACTAAGGGTGACAGGATCAGCTTTGATGATCAGCTGCATCAGTTTCTTTGGCAAGCAGTGGATCTGAACACCAAAGAGAGAAAAAATCTTAAATGAAAAGAAATGTAACATTAATATGGACATTAAGTGAGGGAAAACATTCCTAAATTCTGTACACCGTGATAGTGAATAGTCCTTGAGCACCAGCCCTTTTTGCAAGTAGACAGCACAATGTGGATCTCACAGACTTCGTCACACTTCTGATGAAATTAGCGTGATGGGTATTAAAACTTGCAGCTCAGTAAATATTGTAGCATGTAGACCTGTTACTACATAATGACTATATAAACAATGCTCACTGCTAGACAACAACCACAGAATAAGCAAATATAAAGCAACGGTTGCTGAGTAATGGCTACAAAAAAACATGTTCCCATGGTAACGACTAAACTCAAACAATGAGGAGTGGTGTTTTCTGTGCAGTCTGTGCCAAGATGTTACAAGCAGGACAAATTATGAGCTGCAGTGAGTTAAGTTCAGTCCATCAGAGGAGTAGGAGGTTGGTGTGAGATGGCCACCAGCCTGGAAGTCAGATGCAAGACAGTCGCCAGCCAGTGAGGATGTAAACAAAAGACACTGCTAGGATCTGTTACCAGGAAACGGCTAGTGAAAACAAACTGAGATATAGTTGGTGCCTCGTAACTTTAGCCATGTGGAAAGGTAAACGCTGTTGTGGAGCATGCGAAGCTGTACATTTGCTGTGGTGATGTTCAGAGCTACTCCCCAAGTAGAAAACATTGCCTACGAAGACCAACTAACAAGCAACACAACGTACTATACACCTCACCACACTCCAAGATGCTACATTCCAAACTGGTAGTACCCATGCTGACGTAAGCTGATAAGACTCCCCCCCNCCCCCCCACAAGAGATGGTATGACCCCTCTACCATGGCTAGAGTTCCGAGAAACTAACGGTACTTAGTACGTGTTGTAGTGAGAAGACAAGTACACAAATTAGAAAGAGTGTTATAATCGCATGTGGTTACCATCTGTATGTGTTCAATAAATCCAGTCACCAATCCAAACCCCATCTATAGTCACACCCACACACATGACAATATTATGATAAGACAAGGTAAGTTTAAAAAGATCATTCAGAATATACTGATATTAAGGTTTAATACTGGCTACACCATAGCTCAAGCGGTTAGCTGCTGACTTCCCATTGCGGCAGCCCGGGTTCGATCCCGGTTCTGGTCAAGTGGGATATGTGGTGGACAAATTGGAGCTGGGGCAGGGTTTCTCTGAGTACTTCGGTTTCCCCTGCCAATCTTTATTCCACCAAATTCTCCATCATCATAATCACCCGGGGCAGGTACAATAAGCCAATTGGTGGCCGCCGTGCCGAGTGGACCCAGCTGGACTCCACCCTTCACTAAGCGAAGTGAAAAGGTTTAATATTTCCGAGATGAAATACCTTTCTAACAGCTTCTGATGTGGCTTCCTGTGGTGCAACAACTTTGTAAATGGTGCATATGAAATTGATATCAAACTGCTCCTCATTGGTACCCAAGATGTGCTGGATCACTGACTTAGCGTAGTCTGGTGAGTGATCCACTAGGTACAGGTGTCCCTCTCGTCCCTCTGCCTCTAGTGCCAGGGCCAGTTCCAGTGCCAGCATCACGCCATATGAGTATCCCAGCAAGCGGAATGGGGCCCCTGGTGCTAGCCTGCTGTGTATGTGCTGCAGGGACAGATCAGTTTGACACCACAAGACTTATTCTGTACTGACACCTCATTCATGGTGATCATAATGAGATGAGGCGAGCAGGAAACGTGGAATACGTGAGATAAGCAAGACAGCACATAACATTTTGATAGGAACATCTTATAGGAAGGGACTTACTTGACAGATCTAGGTATAGATGGCAGAATAATGTGGAAATTTCATCAAAACCTTTACAACCAGAACAGAGTCATTACATATTGGTGGAAGTGAAATTAATACTAGTTCCCACACTGATGCAGCAAGCAGCAGAAATTTAGGTAATGACAGGAAATATACCCTCAAAATACTTTCTATCTTCAGATATGAATATTAATTTCTACACAGTAATTCAGACTTCATATGAAATTTTCTTGATATAATCACAACAATAAAAGAGTCACTCATAAAATGAGTCATACATACTGGAAGTAGGGACTGTGCTATATCATGAGCTGTCTGTCCGATGTCCCTGTAGTTCAGCTGTAGACATACTGCCTGGTATTTGAGGTTCTTGGCCAGAGGCTCAAGGACACTTGCTACACCTTCCACTCCAGGCAACATGAAGAGTACTGGTCCTGCCTTCAGTTCATCTTCTACATCTGCCCCAGCTCCAGCTGCTGATGGCAGGCGCACAACAGGATATAGTGAAGATGCCTCATCCCCTAGCACATGCAGCAACAACTGCATTCTTATGGGGGGTCCATCATCATTATCATCATCATCATCATCAACAGATGGACCTAGAACCACAACAGATCTCAAACATATAAATGAACCAATACATTACATATTACAATTTATGATGACTTTTTTTTTCAAAATTCAGAAAGTTCAAGTATCCAGAATAACAGCAACACTTCTTTCTTTCCTCCTAATCCTCCCCTTCAATCTGTATGCAGTAAACCCTTGCTAATCCATTTACAGTTAATCCAGATGTATAATAATAATCTTGATCAAAATATGATAAATGAAAAATGCTGTTCTTGGTGCAGTACAAATTTTAAAAGACACATGTCACCTAGGAAGATAGATGAGTCAGTTGTCTGTTCAGCCAAAACTTGACAGTTTCTTCAAGCCTGTGTTATTGCATTCAAAAACAAGTACAACTTCTCAGTCTTCTATCGATCAATGAATACACTGTCTTTCTATAGATTTTAAATATAAGGTCTACAGTGATATTTTTTATTTACTTTCATTAAATTTTCCATTTATTTGTGTTTTTTAAGTTTGTTTTGTCTTTTATGGGTACCTTCTGCTTCACTAATCCAGATTATTGCTTAATCCAGATGAACTCTTCCCCAAGTTACTCAGAGTTGGCAAGTGTTTACAGTAATTATGATTTATGAGAATCGCCATCTCCTCCACTCACAGCCCCAGTTCCAGAAGATGAAGTCAGTACATTTAGGCATGGACAGAAATATAATATTAAAATGAGTGTCAGAGACGCAGATTAGTAAGACTGAAGATGTAATCCATCAGTGCAGCCTGACAAACATGTTACATTGGGAATTTAATTGCTCCATTTGCAGTGTAATGTATATGGTACATTCAGGCCGCACCATAGCTCAAGCGGTTAGTTGCTGGCTTCCCATAGTGGCAGCCCAGTTTCAATCCCGGGCCTGGACAAATGGGATTTGTGGTGGACAAAGTGGTGGTGGGGCGGGTTTTCTCCGAGGACTTCGGTTTCCCCTGCCAATCTTCATTTCACCAATTGCTCCAGAATCACCCTCACCTGTGATCTGGGGCTGGTACAATAGGCCAGAAATGGCCGCAGTACAAGGGACTTACTCCCACCCCACTAGCAACAAAAAAAAATGGTACATATGGTAAGCTTAATTTCTCTGGTCTGTACATAAGGAAAGAATAATTCAAGTGTGTTGAGGTTCCCATTGGCCTGTTGTGAAAAGAATTAAATCTCTGTGCATGTATCAATAACCTTGTATTTTCTGCAGCTGAGCATGTTGGTTTAAATATGAATAAGTGATTTGTTTCATTCTGGTCTGTCGCACTAACAATATTACAAAAGGTTAATTAATTCTGCCCAGTGTGACTGTTGTTTTTTTTTTCTTTTTTAATCTTCTATCCTTAACATGTTTCAGTCCTACAGGCCATCTTCAGAAGGATATCAATACAATTAGAAACCACTACTATAATAAGTTTTGTGAATATTAATGTATACATACAATGTCATCATAATACAATGTACAAATCTAAAAGACTCACAGAATTACATTTCCTGGAGAACATTCCTGCCACCAGGAAGAAGGCAAAACCTCAAAGAATAAATGTGGCACCCACAAAACACAGGAAAGTGTAGTGAACGTGAAGAAGGGATGTGTTTCAATGATGTTTCAATACCCACCACACAAACCTCTACTTCTTATCAACTTGCCTCTGTTGCTCACATTATAGAGTAAACTTGTAAAGGTTTCTCTCAGAAGAATTTCTTTGAGAAATGTATGGTTACTTCCCGGTCTAGAAAACCGAGATTAACAGCTGTGCAGATCTGCTGAGCTGACCACATGACACCTATCAGCTAAAGTTGGCACTAACTTCGTCGACAAGCAGTGGTCGCTCGGTCAGTATAGTTCGCTTGTGGACTACAGGCCATGGAGTTTGTTTGTTTGTTTGTTTGTTTGCTTGTATGGTTACTTCTCATTTGGTTCAAAAGTTATAAGAAATGATGCGACATAAGATAATAATTTAAAAAGAGATGCCATAAGCATCTTGGGAGCAACTCGATATACACATTCCTGCGACAACAGATACACATGCAAAAATAGAGGAATTATGTGAAAGCACAGTGTGCTGTAGTGATTTGTTACGTGTACAGATCAGCGGCAGTGTCATAATTACCTTTAGTTACAAATTATAAGTGTTCAATTATCAATGTAAATCCGTCTAGGCACTAAAATGTTATTTTAGAGCAAAATTTAAAACATCACTTCAAAAATACTACCACAGACCACTCACAACTGTGATACCTAAATGCCTGTGCTGAAGGGTGGGGTAATAATGCAGTTTGTAGCAATAATGGAGATGAACCTCTGGGTATCGTATTTCATTTATTTACATTTACTTAATCATGCTGTCAGTAGCTCAGGTTATGTAGTGTCAGAACGACAGGACGACTGATGAACGATGAACTGGAAAGAATATGGAAAGAACCAGTCATGAACTGTTTTGTTCATTTTTGCCGAAGGGACTGCGGAAATAAATGCAAAACCTGTCATGACACTAAGTGTCCGAGCCAGATCCAAACTAGGCACCTCCCAAATGATAACATAAGCCAAGAGTAGCATAAATGTAGGAGATTAATTCTCCTTTAACTAAGCAACTTCCTACTACAGCAGGAAGCCGGCTAACCCCAAAATTCTATGACAATAAGAAATTGTTAAAAATAGAGTGTGTGATGTCAAGCAGAACAGAAAAAAGTGGAGGAAAATTTACAAAGAGAATAACATTCAGTGCACACCATGCAATCTGCTGCTTCACATCAGTCCCTTTCAACTGATCATATTTCTGAATAAAAACAGAACTGGAAGTACCTTCTAATGACTGCTTTTCTGCCTCAGTTTTCTGATTTCTTGTACCTAGTTCTTCAAGACCTGCAAATGTGAGGTTGCGGATCTCCTGTAGGGTGAGATATATATCAAATTCTCGCTCCAGGGTCTGTTTTATTGCCACGGCTGTCATGGAGTCCATGCCCAGATCTAATAAAGTTTTGTTCAACTCAATGGTCTTCAAATCACAGATACCTGTCAAGAAAATTTCAGTTACTATAACATACTGATTAGAGACAGTAGTGTATGTCTCCAACACAAGGGAAGTAACATGTTTGGGAACAGGAAGGGTGCTGAGAATATCTGGACTTATGACAGAGGAAGTAACAGCTGGAAGGACTGCAAAATAAGTACCTTCAAAATTTGTTCTCCTTGCCACGTTATGGACATTTGGGTTATGGAAATTGTAAAACACAATAATAAAATTCATGATACGGATCATAAATTCGCTTTTATGGACATTCTGGATAAATAAAATGCAATACAACAAATTCAGGCAACAAAAAATTTTCTTTTGCAAAATTATTATTTGTTAAGAAAATCTGATCTGTGCATGCATTCGCCAGTGACATATCAGCAAAGACAACAGATGCACGAAGCAACAACTTAAAGAGCTGTTGGGGGACATGTTTTCTGTATGATCCGTGCCACCATGTTATAAGCAGGAGAAGTCTTAGAGTTTAGTTAGTTGTGAGGCAGTCGCTGGCCAGTAAGGATGCAAACATAGAAGCTGAAGGATCTATGGCACTGGAAGCCATTACCAGACAACGACTGGGGAAGACACAGCAGACTGAGGAGACAGTATGTGTTGTACTGAGCTGCTGAGTGTGTGAATTAGCAATAGTGCTATAGTTACATGTAGTTACGACCTGTAAGGGTTCAATAAATCCAATTACTAATCCAAACCCCATCTACAGTCACTCTATCATGTGACAATACTATTACAACAAATCTTAAGAAAACAATTATGAAGTTTGGAATGGTTTTTATAGCTCAAGACATAGTCTAGTTGCGGACTTCTATGAACATCAAGATTGTACAGACTTCTCACACAAACAGAGAGATTCACAAGGTGGCTCTGCTCCTACTCTCCGTGAAGGACCAAATCTCATGCATCTAGTGGACTGATCTAGCCTTAATCACAGGAAAAGCAGAACCAAATCAATACCAAAAAATCTTGTGCTTCCATAAACCTAGACATGGATAATGTCCAGGGTGAGACAGTGACTACAATGCACTTCTGTAAAGAACTTTCATAAAGTAATCGGTGGCAGAAAACTCTGCCGAATCATACATACCCATGATATTCCTGCAACACTGTACTATATCCGTGGATCCACTGCCTCTTGAATGCTTATCAGCAACAACCATGCTTGCCACTATAGGGCATGACTGTCTCATGAATATATCAAGCACTTCAAGACATGAAGCAATCCTCTGCATTAGAAGGCCTCCTGTAAAACGCACAATACAAATTAAAACCCCAAATAAGGACTTGTTGCCTTAAAGAAAACAACGATTAACGTTCTACGCAAACATTTCTGCAAAAGATTGAAACAAGATTGGCATTTCGTTCCCATTTCCTTTAATATTCAACTCTTGTTTAAAGAAAATTGTTATGCCTGTGTGTGTCTCAAATGTTTTAAGACTGTAACGTAAAGGTAAAGTGTCCCTGTGCTTAACTAATTAAGCACTATGCCATTAAGGCATATGGAGGAGTGGATGTATAGATCCACATTTTCTTGACCTCGGCACGAGATGGATGTGAGTGGTCAGAGATGATACAGTATGACATATTGAAATCTTATTTCGGTGGGCCTTCTTTATGTATAGGAGCTGGGACAGCTCAGTCAATATAGCAATGGGCTATAGGCTGGAGGTCCAAGAGTTCAACTCGAAGCAGGGGAAAGAGATTTTTCTTTACTCCACAGTGTCCAGATTATCTCTGGGGCCCACCCAGCCTCCTATCCAATGGGTACTGGGGGCTCCCTCCAGAGGTAAAACGGCCAAGGCCAGACGCTGACCACTCACCTCCATTTAGTGCTGAAGTCAAGGATGGTGGAGTTATACCTCCACTCCAAACTATGTCTTCATAGCATAGTGCTTAACTGAATGATCACAGGGACAACTCCACCTTTGTCTTTATTACGTACATAAGCATGATCCGCTGACTACGACAATAACTCCAAAATATTCTAAAATCTGTGCCACATCAGAAACTTAAACCTACAGGTATGAATGTATTAAACTGGAGCCCAATGTTTGGCAGCACTGAGAGCTTTTATTTCTGCACAAAAAATTTTCTTCAGGTATCTAAAGCTGACCTATTGCTCTATCTCTGTGTTTCTCCTGCATCTCTGCCACCAGCCCCACATCCCCCACTGCACCCCACTGCACAGCAAGGCCTGGCAACCCATCTCTGACACGGGCCTCACAGATGCGCTCCATGATGGAGTTGTTCATCCCGTAGTTTGTTTGCCCTGTATTACCGCACCCACATGTAACACTTGAGAACACCACAAAATGGCGCAGATGTGGGCACATCTGGCGAGACAGCTCGTCCAAGTGACGTGTTGCAATTGCCTTGGGTCCTGCAGAAGTGACAAAGTCTGCCTTAGTTTGGTTCTCCAGGAATGCATCTCGCAGCACCTGGAAGAAATGAACGGATGATTTTAACAAATATCTTGACTGTTTAAGCAATCATATGGCATTGTGTTTCATATTATTATTTGAAATTTACATTATTAAGGGCTACTATAGTAACACTGCTACATGGACTTCCTTGCTGATGAATTTCAGCTTCCTTGTCAGTTTATTTTAGAGTCAAATGGATACTAGCATATAAAGTACCATGCAATGGCAGCTATGGAACAAATGAAAGTGCTTCTGGGATCACAGATGTATAATGCTGGCCATCCTATAAAAGAAATATTTGGAAAAACTGAATGTATGATTAACATTTACCCTATCAGCAGACAGATGTGGAAACTGATGAAAAAAAAAACTACTCTTTCATCTCCTGGAACTTTTGATTCCAAACAGTTTTATGATCCTCACCTCTAGTGATTCAAAATTATCACGAAGACATTTCAGGCTTGACAGACTGAACCACATACAAAACCACAGGGCAAACATAACCCTTCCACCAGCCAACTGACTTAACTTGATGTATGACACAGCAAACATTGGGCCTTGGGAAGAAGATGAATTCAGTGTCGTGCATGTTCCTTCAAAAATACAGACATGAGAACAAAATTTGGATGCCCCTGATGCAATGTGTGCATTTGCACTGATCTCTGTCTCAGTCTCTCCCACACAAAGTTTCAAACGCCACAGTGGATTAAGCTCAACATAGGAGCACACATAAATGCATAAATGCCACTGTTCTTGCAGGATATTTCTGTAAGTACAAAGTATTCATATAACAAGAAGCTAATGGGGTGTCCTACACCAAGTGGTGTGGGCTGTAGCATTGGTTCACAGGCAGGAGCACACAACTAGAGCTGATCAGGAGAAATTATCTCTCACACCTCTCACAAATACACAACTATCCGTTCTCAGAACTGAGTGAATAGTATGATGCAACTGGGCATAGTTATCATAAAGTTCTGTTTAGAAGGCTGTGGCACACATTTTGAGTAATCACCAATGAAGAATCTAAAAAATGTGCTAAAATGTTGAAGTAATTGTATTGGGACATAAATAAAACTGTATATTCAGAGGTAGCTGTTTCAAAATTTTGTACTTTTTGTTAAAAATCCTATTCTAATTTCAAGTCAATAGCCTAAAAACCATATTAAATACAGATTCTGTTGTGACACACTGCAGAATTAAGCATTTGATGTTAAAAGAAGCTTCCATTGAAAGTAAGTGCAAGTAAATTTAAATGCTGTACACTGAAAATTAAAGAATTTTTCAACAAGTGTCCCACTTCAACCAGCTGCTGCCACTTAATGCCATCTGCACAGGATGTAGATACTGCGTGCTCAACACATTTCAACACATATCCTTCTGTCCAAATTTCATTCTCAAGCAATCAACGAACTTACAAAGATGGACAAGCATGACACTCACCACAGCAAGGTTGAATATGGCATCAACCTGGCCTAGTCTGTTTGCTTCTGACAGCAGAGCTCTTACACCGCTCTTTGTTGTGATGTCAGCCAGAGAGATGACTACTTTCACCCCATAGCTGCGCCATGTTCTCACACGGAAACTCTGGTAGCCTGTTCTTACACCACTGCGAGATGACAGTACCAGTTTACGAGCACCTCGTAACACCAGCCAGTCGGCAAGCTCGAGACCAAAACCTCCCAAGCCACCTGTAACATTTTCATATGTGATATACCTAGTAAGGTAAAGCTGTCCCTATGCTTAACTAATTAAGCACTACACCATGATGGCATATGGAGGAGTGGATGTATAGATTCACATTTTTTTTATCTTAGTACTAGCTGGAAGTGAGCTGTCAACTTTCTGCTATGGCCGCTTTACCCCCTGGAGAAAGAGTCCCCAGTACCCATTCAATAGGAGGTTGGGTGGAACCCAGAGTCAGTCTGGATGATGTGGAAAAAATTCTTGACCTTACTGGGACTCGAACTCTGACCCCTCAGTTGTCCAGCCCGTAGCTAGTCATTATACAGACTATGCTATTCTGGCTCTCAGTGTGATATACATGTGCATATTTTTATAACAGTTTAGTTTTAGCAAACTGTGTGGCATATCACGTAATAGTGTACTTTGTACATGTGTGTTCCAAATTCCAATTTAGTCTGATTTTATTTATTTATTCTCACAAATAAAAGTTTAGGGGGTCAGACAGGGAGAATATGGAGGCCAGGCAAGTGGACCTCTACACCCATTCCTTCTGTAGGTAAAGTTGTTGTGAAGAAAATTACACAGCCGATGTGTAAAATGGGAAGAGGCACCGCTGTGCTGATATCGCCCACACACGGATACACATTCTGCACTGGAATTAGAAGCACTCCAATGTGATGTTCCTGCATCTCACATGGAGTCCAATTACATAATCATATACAATTCTGACATGAACCCTGACACCTCGCGATGAGGCATGGCAAGTAGCATAAGGTCTCTAGAATACCAGACAATCGTTAAAGTCCAAAAACCCATTAATTATGAGCATTCTCCACTGTCCATACAGGCAAGTTGTGTGGATTCTGCACATCATTTCTTGTATTTTCAGTGTCAACCCACAACACACGACATAGAAACATGTGACACATTCTAATCTAGTTTTGGATACACAAGATAAATGGAGCCAGCACAATCCTCCAAATCACTGGTAACAAACTCTGGAATCGCAACTCAGAAGACAGCAGTCTCCGAGATCTTCAAATCTTTATTTTCTTTTTATTAAGTAAACTGTTAAGAATGCTCAATACCTGCAATTATGTAACTGTAGCTTGGGTTGCAGAAGTACTGCGGGTAAGCCTGCATCAGCCGTGGTGCAGGCACAACCACTTTGCTGTCTTCCTCTGGTTGAAACTGCATCAGTACTTTGCCTACATGTTTCCCGGTTGTCATGTACCTGGAACACGGTCACTGTATTTGGCTATGTGATTCTGTAGGAAAACTGATGTGGATGTACCACACTGAATGAACTTGATGAAAGCCAGAAAAGCAAGCATTAAACTTTTCAAGAAATCTGTAAAACTTACTAAAGACATCTCTTAAAGTTACAAAATAAATACATTTATTAGGAAATCACCGAAAAAATAAAAATGCAAAATATTTCAGCACTTATTTAGGGATATGCTTTGGAAATGGGAAATGCCACACAAGTCTGCTTGCACCGGTTCTCACTGTCTCTTAGTTTGGGGATTTTCTTATTTTTCCTTCTACCCTGAAGATGGAGGTGATATGTTCTTCCAAAACGTCGGTTAACACCACATCTACACAGTGCCACATCCCAGAAGACTGCTTTCTTCAGTATTAGACTAGTCCAACAACTCATGGCAAAGGCAAAAAGGTAAAATCTGTTTCTTCATTACCTTCCTTTACTGTGACCTCTCACAAGTTTGCCCCCAGCGCAACTTTACCTGAAAGCCTGTTCCACCTCGGTGTAAGGAAACACAGTCCTAGGTAGGGGTCGCACAACTCCTGCAGAGATACCCTGAGTTACAATATCTTGCAGAATCTTCAATGTCTCAGGGTCTTCAGAGGTCACTTTATCTAACATCACTCCGTGGAAACTCGTCTCCCTCAGGAACACCTCCAGACCTGTGTGTTGGGATTCAATGGCAGAACAAATGACTCCAAAGAACATGGTCACCAGTTAAGAGACTACAAAAAGCTCTTCAAAATCTCAGGCTTCATTGCAACTACATCTGCACAACCCTCTTATTGATTAAGTTTATGGAGTGAGGTTCTCTTACAATATTTCTTGTTAACAGTCTCAATAAGCATAATCAAATGTTACACAACTCACTTACTTATGAAGCTGAGCCCTTCTTGAGAAGCCAAATGTGCAGCTACTCAAGAATTTCCCAGCATTTTATGGAACCCGAAGGTTCATTATCGTGTTCACAAGAGCCCTCCACTGGTCCCTATCCTGAACCAGATCAATCCAATCCATACCATCCCATCCTATCTCTCTAATTGTCCAACCACCTATGCCTTGGTCTTCCCAGTGGTCTCTTTCCTTCTGGCTTTCCCACCAATACCCTATATGCATTCCTTTTCTCCACCATTCATGCTACATGCCCTGCCCACCTCATCCTCCTTGACTTGATCATTCTAATTATACTTGGAGAAGAGTAAAAGTTATGAAGCTCCTCATTATGCAGTTTTCTCCAACCTCCTGTCACTTCATCTCTCTTTGGTCCAAATATTCTCCTCAACACCATGAGTCTATGTTCCTCCCTTAAAGTCAGTGACAAAATTTCACACCCACACAGAACCACAGGCAAAATTATAGTTTTGTATATTCAATTTTTATGTTTTTGGACAGCAGACGAGAAGACAAAAGGTTCTGGATTGAATGGTAGCAAGCATTACCCGAGTTCACTAAGTTACACAAAACATCATTTAATAGAGAATAGTTTCTTTCTTCTCGATTACATGAATCCAAGTTACTGAAAACGTTTCCAATTACAGGTACAACTGCTTCGTACTCGTCTATCGCTGCCCTCTGAGGCATGCGTTAGCCCTGCTCAGTTACCTTATCATCACATTCTCATTCTTTGTGTTGGAGGCTTCAATCTCTGACCCAGCTCTTCACTAGACTCAGAATGAAGAAGTCAGCCAGTATGTGTCCAGTGTTCTGTTCACACCACAAGCAGTTAATCTAACTGGACAAGCCAAAGTGAGTGAGTGTAGGGGCACTGGCATGTCAGCCCAAACCATCACATATAGACTCAATAAAGGGACAAGTGCAACAGCTGTCACTGATAGGACTCATCACATCATGGTACTGAGCCCAATACATGGACACACATCTCCATCTCATTAGTTTGCATCAGGAAGTTTTAGCATTTGGGTCTGATATGATCGTGAGGCCATAAAACATGTCATTTGAAGTAAACAAACAGTTAGCTCTTTAAAGCAGGTGGTATGTATAGTTACCACTGTGATTTGCTCTCAATACTTCCATAAAGAGAAAAAAATGAATCACACTAACAAAGGCAGTTAGTAAACTCATGAAGTATGGCTCACCAAGAAAGCTGTTGTTAGCAAGGTCAAATTTTCCGATCTCCAGGAATCGTCCTCGAGGGGCAAGGCAACGTATGGAGGCCTGCTGCTTATCCTCTGAAAGGGAGTTGAGAACAAGGTCCACTCCTCTGCCATTCGTTTCGGTCAGGACGAGATGCTCGAATGATGTGTCTCGAGAATTGCCAATGTTGCGGTCGGTTAACTGAAACAGAATGAAGCAACATACTCTGACATCATGCCTGAAAGCCAGAACAGTCCACTGCTAGACAACGGCTCACGTTCCTGTGGCAATGGAAAACATGAAATAGTCCACTGCTAGATAACTGCTGAGTACAGAATTAGCAAGTAGCTAGGCACATTTTGTAGCACTGGATAAACACAGAATACGAGTATAACAGAGGAACTCTTTTAAATGGTGATCTATAGTCAGTTTGCCTCAAAGTTATAACAAGGGGACATGTAATTGGCTCAAGTGTTCATTCAGAACCGATTCTTCATTCATCATTCATCCTTAGTGACTCATGAGTGACTCATTTATAAGTCAGAACCAAGTCGGTCAGGGCAGAAGAGAAGACACTCGTCCAGTAAGGGATGCAGCGAGTCTTAGACAGTCATTGTGAGCTGTTGTAATTGGTTGTAATTGAGAGTGACTGTAACAAAAGAGGTCCAATAAATCCAGTCATCCAATCCATAATCCATTATTATTATTCATGGAGCCCCGGACACGTGACAATACCAACAGCTCATCCACAGTCTGATATACACTGTACAGGACTCTGAGGTAGGAATTACCCTTTATTGCAATAATGTCTCACATAATCAGCATATTGAACTCCAAAATATTGTGAAAAGTGCAAGATTTATGTATAAACTACATAAGCTATGGCTCATGACCTTGTAATCTAAGGAGCCTCCAAATGTCAGGAACAGAATGATTAAGACAAATGCATAACATTCTCTGCAAAACTGAGAAGAAAACAAACAGCTGACTACATCTCATTAGGCATATACAGGAACAGCTGCAACAATTAGAAAACATATTGGAAGATGGCATTACTTCTTGTGATGATGCTGTAATTGTTGCCAAGAAAGGCGTTTTGTGCAGTGCCACACATACAGACATATATTGCATTTTTATACAAACATACCCACAAATAAATAAACATTTCTTAGTTTATTTAAATGTTTTCTTAATTCATTGTCATACAAAGGTACCCACAAATAAATAAACATTTCTTAGTTTATTTAAATGTTTTCTTAATTCATTGTCATACAAAGGTACCCACAAATAAATAAACATTTCTTAGTTTATTTAAATGTTTTCTTAAGTCATTTTGTCATACAAACATACCCACATATAAATCAACATGTCTTAGTTACTTAAATGATTTTTTTAAATAGTCTTGTCATGCAAAATTCAGCCCATATAATTTTCAAATAAAAATTTGTCATGTTCATTAATCATTCTTTCTGCAACCCATTTCTATAAAATTACTGGGACTTCAACATTAACACAGCTTGGGCCCTCAGTCTCAGACAAGCACTGATTCTGTATTGTGTTAATTTTTCTCTTTTACTGCTGTGATATGAAATGTGTGATGCTGGAAATAGTTTAGTGCACAAGTGGATATGCGCTTAGAAATGAAGTGTGACATACTGTCATGAGGGTGAACTTTGTGTCTCCTTCAATGTATGTTGTGTCATCTGGTACAAAGTTATCAGTACTTCAGAGGAAACTGTTTCTTCCATCTTCAGGGTAGAAGAATAAGGCATTAGTAAAATGAGGGACCGGATGAAGGAAAATAGGGTAAACAGGTCTGCGAGTGGACTAATAGACAATGGTGGCACCTAACAGGGCTGGGGCCCTATGTCTGTAACCTTATATTCTTGCATGGCTCACTCTTCTATCCTTAAAATGGAGACAGCAGGTTTCCCTGAAATGCTGGTAACTTTCAATCATCCTATACATCCTAGACAACAGTAATCTTCACACCGACTGCCATGAGACCCTCATATATGTATGTGGTCATTAAACATATGATAAAAATACTGAAAAGCTACGTGCTCGTAATTATAGTTGCAGTGTCCATGTTGACCTATGCCTGACCAATGAGGTGCTCTTGTAAACAGTGAAATGGGCTGTTTAGATACCTGTGGATATTGCTTTTTGATGAATTCCCGTTTCTCCTTAGTCCCAACAGTGGTGTACACCATACATCCAGCATGTAGGCAAATGTTGATAGCTGCCAGGCCAACACCTCCACCGCCTGAGTGGATAAGCACTGACTCACCCTTCTTCATGCCTCCGACCATCACCAGAGCATAGTAAGCCTGTCCATGGCGAAACAAAGTAATAAAATTCAGTTTATATATGGAATTTGATTGAACTTTGTGGGAATTTCATTCAGAAGCACAATAAGCAATGAGAATGTATCGCAACAGCCGAGTATGCTTTCTTACGGAATACAGTGTGGATATGAATGAAGGATACTGTCTGCTAGTGTGATGAAGTTTTCTGACATTTCAGAGGAATGAACTGTAGAGTCACAAGCAGAGCATGCTGGGAATGGAGAAGGTGACACAGTGTAGCATATGAGCAAGGAGAACAATGAAAGAATTGGGACCATTTTTTCTCAGAGTATAGAGAGAGAAAGGAATAGGGGAATGAAAGAAAAAAGGAGAAGACAGCTATATGGGCAGATAATACTAAACTCTGCGGCTTTTAGTCCACAAGCAAACTATAGTGATCGAGCGACCACCGCTTGTCGGCTCAGTTAGTGCCAACTTTTGCAGATAGAGGGCGTCACGTGGTCAGTGCAACAGATTCCCGCAGCCGTTAATCTCGGTTTTCTAGACCGGAGCCCATACTTGTCCATTCAAGTAGCTCCTCAATTATCCTCACAAGGCTAAGTGGACCCTGTTCCAGACCCACTACTTCTCAGAAAATCTGGCAGCGCCGGGAATCGACACCGTGACCTCTGTAGCCAGGAACTCTGACCACTAGACCATAGAGGCGGTCAGACAAAATACAGTGGCTGAATGGGGTGCATGCAAAGGATGAGAAGAAGATGCAGAAGAAGAAGAAGCATGATGTGGATGTAAAGAGAGACAAAAGGATTACAGAGACTGAAGGAAGAGTACGGAGGGGGAAGGAAGGAAATAGTTGAACAGCAAAGAGGCCCCACAGGGCAGAAAAGATTCCTAAAGGCAGAGTGTATATCAGGCCCAACAGAATGGCCAGAAAATCCCTTCATAACAAATCCTGAGGCTTCTCACATTCTCTTAGCGAGGAGGCAAGAGGACTGAATATCTTGCTTAGGCAGAAGCCGTCCTCAGGTTCATGCGATGGATTTCAATCTCAACTGTCTTGCTTACTCTCTGACCCTAAAGAAGGCAGTATATTCCACAGAAATGTTGGCTGACTACAGAGTTTCATATCACAGTCACTAACTTCAGAACCACAAAGCTCACATGAATATGAAATGTTTCAGATAAAACACATCCAGGAGCAACAAAAGGATTTAGAACTGGGCAGCTAGAGCTCGTGTATTGATACAGGCACTAGTTCTCAGCTCATTTGTCTCATAAAAATGTTATTTAACATACAAGAAAAAAAAATCAGAAAGAATTTGTTTCCTGGGTAGTAGATTACTCGGTCCTATATTACTGGTTTCAACTCACTGTTGAATAGACCACAGGCACAGTTGCTGCGTCCTCAAGTGTCCAGTGATCAGGTACCTTCCACAGCATCTTTGTGTCTGCCAGCACCATAGAGGCTAGGGCTTGTTGGGCCATCATTCCCATGACACGGCATCCCTTCTGATCACGCCCAGAAAATTCCATCCCTTGAACGTTGTCCTACCAGAAAATAAAACCATCGATGTCAATTTTTTACTGTGATTGACAAACTTATGCTTTAAAATATACACTAATCACTTGTCTGTTTTAAGAAATGACACATAACAGAAAAACACAGGAGTCTTTACACAGTGGTGCCCTCTCTTATACATATCATAAAAACAAATTACAGCAAATACAGATTATGATGAGTAGTTTTCATGAAAATTACCAAATATACCAACAAAAGTATAGGGAAACTGCATAATGAGGTTTCCCAGTTTGAACTTTTTATAAAGCATTCAGATAATCATGTCAAGCAGGAGAGGAGAGTGAGATGAGTGGAGCATGTAGCATGCAAACAAGAGCTGAGAAATGCAGTAAAAACTTTATTTGGAAAACATGAAGCAAAGGGGCGACTTAAAAGACAAAAGGCATAATTTTATATCTTATAGTGGGGCAACTATCAGCTTCTCAAGACAAACTCTGCTACACGGAGTAAATACTTAATTCTGATGCCATATCACATTAATACTGCATATCAGAAACCACGGTGAATTAACAAACGCATTTCTGTAACAACTTTATGTGCTTTCTTGTCTGTCAATCTACCATTTCTTCCAATGCAATATCAAAACCCTGAAGTGTGTTACACCCTGACAGAGCGACATCTGACGTGCTGTGTGTGGGTGACATTTGTGAGATTTTAAGAGGTTGCACACAAAATTTTATACTTGGCTGTGAAGTTAGTAAAGGAAGATGAGCATTCCCAGAGCCAGTTCCCTAAAATAATTTTACTAATCACTTGGTCTTGAACATTTACATTTAAATTGTCTTCCTCAGAACAAAGGCCAAACATCTTCATAACATTGCTTACTGAAAGATATAAAAAACTTCACACTCATTAGCAGAATCATAAATGTTATCCTCAGCTTGGAGACATGGTAGTAGTATGACAAAACCCATCTCTGTATCGTGTCACCAGTGAGTCTGCGTGGAAGTCCTATGGTGGACTCCTGTGAAGATGATAATGAACCTTTGAATCCCATGAAAGATGGGAATCTTTGTACTAACTCAATGAGGAGGCAATGATCACTTCTATTGTACTGTAGCCCCTTAAGTACCTGTACCTTATATTACAGGATCCTGTCTCATTGAGGCACCATTCTTATTATTCAAGTACACCATCTATAATATAACAATGATATAAAAGACACCTAAAATATATATTTTTTTACTAAAAGTGTAACTGTAATACTTTAAATGTTATTATATATCATAAAATGTCATTAAGACACTGCAAGTATATTTTACATTAAAGGTGACTATCAAAATACTTCAGAATGTCTTTCTGTTTTACATAATGTTTTTTTTTTTTTCCACTTTTGCAACATGTTTTAGCCGCACATGGGTCTTCATCAGGCAACTTTTAATTTGTGGGGAGACCACTGCACTGTCTGCTTGACTTTCATGCTTCCATGCACATCGTTTTGTTGCTGTATATCATATCTACAATACTGTCATTGTATTCTTTTTGGCCATCATAGTTTTTGTATGTTGTTTTTTTCCCTTGTATATGTGTTTTTTGTGCGGTCTTCACACATATAATAGAAAACGTTATGTAAAACAAAAAGATATTTTGAAGTATTTTGATAGTCATTTTTAGTGTATAAGATATACCTGCAGTGCCTTAATGACATTTTATAACATTTTAAAGTATTAAAGTTACACTTTTAGTGAAAAAATATATATTTTAGGTGTCTTTTATATCACTGTTGCATTATGGACGGTGTACTTGAATAATAAGAATGGGCCTAGGATCTTTACTGAAGTACCTTGGGCTCATTAAGGGCCTCAATCTTAGCTAGAGTCAAATCCCTCCAGAAAGAGGACGTCTTTAATTCCCATCAGCTGTAGCTAATGGTGCTCAGACCATCACCTTCTCATTGAGTCGGCTCGTGTGGAGTGTGACTTGGGGTAACTCAGTCGCTGCATAACTTGCCTACAGACTGGATGCCCCAGGAGTCAAAGCTACAGTTCCTGCAAGAGCAATGATGTTTCTCTTCACGACAGCACCCACCCAGCCTCTAAACTAATGGGTACTGGGGGCTCTCTACAGGCATAAAGTGACCATAGCATGAAGCTGACCTCTCACCTCCACTCTGATTCCCCATACAACTTCATTTACTCCATGGCTTGAGTTCGCAAGCGAACTATACCAACCAAGCAACCACTGCTTGTTGGCAAAGTTAGTGCCAACTTTAGCGGTTAGAGGGTGTCGCATGGTCAGCGCAACGAATCCCCACGGCTGTAAATTTTGGCTTTCTAGACCGGCCATATGTCTTCATAATGTGACAAAATTAAGAATAGGGTCAATTTTACTTTAATTTGCAGAATAATAAATTAAATGTTATCCAAGTTTTGTGGGCAGGGAGGGAAGATGATGAAACTTGTTCTTATAGAGTGTTACCAATGAATTTTGGCAGAAGCGTGTCTGTGTTCTAACCTGGCTGAGCTGATTGTTGCCAAGGAAATTTGCTGCCACCTTCCCAGTTGCCAGTACCACATTTCCGAAATTAAGGGCAGAGTAATAAATTTGCACCAATTCCTCATCTGGTGTTGTTTGAACACTGAAACATAAGAGATTACTCCCTCAATTCTGGCATGTAAATGAGTTGCATGTAACAGGGATCGAGAAATACAATGATCACTCACACAGAGGTGAGGCCAATCTGTGAGCTGGCAAGCAGAAATTCACAACAGTGATCTATACATACCATACATAAACATAATTTGTATGTCTAATTTTGTAATACTGATCACTGCAAAAAAAAGTGTAATCAATCATCATCATCAGTAAACTGTCAGAAGGTCCACAGTCTCTTCTAAAACAGTTCCTCCACTTAATGCGATCTAGAGCTTTCTCCTTCAAATGAGAATATCCTCTTCTGTCCCCAAGGTCATCCAACATCTTCATACATCTTCTTCCTCGTCTTCTGGTCACTTCTATCTGCCCCTCTATCTTTCCTTCAATAACTTCTTTTAGAAGGCAGGTTCTGCGTAAAACATGACCAATCCAATTAGCCTACCGTTTTCTTATTTCGTGTAGGATATTCCTCTGCTCACTGATTCTAATTAACACTTCTTCATTTCTCACATAATCGGTCCAACTGATCTTCTCCATCCTCCTCCAACACCACATTTCAAAACTTTCCAGATGTTTCTGATCTACTGCCCTAAGTGTCCGTGTTTCAGCCCCATACAGAGCTATGCTCCAAATGTAGCATTTCACTAGTTTCTTTCTCAAATTTAAGTCCAATTTGCTAGTAAAAAGATTCTTCTTATTGCTAAATGCAGCTTTTGCCATAGCAATCCTAGATTTAATTTCACAAGTATGCCTTCCATCATCTGTTAATGGGAAGTAAAATATTTAATGGCCTTCCCTTGAATTAAAGAGTGTTGAAAATTTTAATGTTTTAAAGAGGAAAACTCAAAAAATATTTGCTGTGCATCACTTTCTACTCGTATTCTCTTCAAGAGTTCTTCAACTAATGTTATATTGATGACTTATGTGTTGACTGTCTTTTGGCTTGCAATTTTTAATATTGTGTTTATGTGTTTTATATTATTAATATTTTCTTTTGATCTTATGTATCTTTTATTATGATGTACCTTATAATGGTTGTTATATCATCGCGATAGATCACTGTGTAATTTTTATGTGATTTTGACATGTGATGTATCTGCTGTTATTTCTTGACATGTTCAATTATATTCATTTCAGTTATGGACGAAAATAAAATTGAAAGTATATTAATGTTTCCAGCTCCTCTTGTCTTCTTAATTCATACGGTCAATTCACCTAATATTATTATGGTGATTAGAGCAGGAGAAATAAAAATGGGCTGGACATGCAGCCTGTATGGAGGAAATGAGAAACCCACACAAAATTTTGGTTGCAAATCCTGTACGCAAGGAACTATTTGCGAGATGAGGGCACAGATGGGAGAATAATATTACAGTTGTGAAAATGTGAAACGGATTCAACTTGCTCAGCACAAGATCCAGTGGTGAGCACCCCTGAACACTGTGATCAATATATTGTTGGAACTTTTGATTCAAGCAACAGGATACAGTGAACTTAAGCCCCTGGAGCCGGTAAAGTGCTGTGATACACAACAATGAGGCACACTTGTCTTTTATTTAAAATCAAAAGTGATGACAAAGTTAAGAATATCTTGCACCAATCAAAACATGGGCGCCTTTAGAAATTCTGAACAAACTAAATCCTGGTTCCCGTGCATCAGCATCAGCATCCAGCTTAAAAGAAGTTCTTTGACTTTGTTCTGTGCTCAGAAATGAAGGCTTCAGGGGTTAAGTGACACAGAAAAGAGTTAAGGTTTTTTTTTTCCAGGAATTTCCAGACAAGAATTTTGAAAGATGTGGCAGTCAACTCCAAGATGTATAAATGCATGGACAGTTCTGCATACAAGAGCAGATCCATACCTCTCAGGGACCAGATTTCCTTCCAACCATCTGAAGCTAGAGAGATCTCCTGGGGTCATGATCTTGAGCGACACGTGTGGTGTACTGACAGTGGCACAGCCATCTAGTGGGAGGTGTTGGTATGACCCCCACTTTCCACCACTGTATACATTCATAACGAGATCTTTCTTCAGCTGTTGCTGATACAAAGGTAAGTTCACATCAAATTGGGGCGCTGATGAGTCTAGAATAAAAAAACACCTGAAACAGAAATGACAGATCTCCCAGATTCTTTGCACTCAAATGTACCTTATGCTTCTATATGTTACAACTGCGTCATCTTACATGGATTACAAGGATGTAGGGATCTGAAGCAGTGAAGAGAATAGACATATTCTGAGGCTTGTTATTATATTCTTGAAGGTAATAAGCAAAACACCGTTCACAGTAGCCAAGCAGTCTAAGGCATGTCCTGTCTTTGCTCTCTCAGAAGTTGGGATCGCGGGTTCATATCCCACACAAGGCATGGATGTTTGTTATGTGTTTATTGTGTTTATATTGTCCTTTGCTGAGCTAGAGGCCTTGTGATGAGCTGATCACTCCTCCAAGGAGTCCTACCATCTGTTAAATGATCGTAAAACTGAAAATCAGAGACCAACAGCCAAGGGGGCTGTAGAGCCAGTGGGGGGAACAAAATGAGCAAAATTAACACAACATAAACGTACATTTTTCTTCTCTTTCAAGGCACATACATTTCATTCATTCTTCTGGATCAATAATTATTATCTTTTCTTTCAATTTTCAAATATTTCTGAGTACAATGGCTACGGGTTTTAGAGAGAAGAGGAATATGTATACAAGTCAGAGATTCATGACCAAAATCTAGAAGGTCAACAGTGATTGACTAAGATGTGGTATTTTAGCCACTGATAGTTAAAAGCATACAAGAAGACAACCCTAACCTGACATAATCACTGCCTGGCTCCTTGCGGATACAGTTGACGAGACCCACAACGCCGCTGAGTGGCTCGCCTTGAACCACGAGGATAACGTGACGTTTGGAGCTGCTTCTGATGGCAGTCTGCACTTCAGGTAGCCAGTCATAGTTATGGCCAGTCACATGGATCACAACCGGATTTCCCAATGTCACTCCCTGCAACAGGTTCTACCTATGTCTCCCGAACACAAAGCACCTAACATAACATATCATTCATGTCAATCACAGATACATCATGGCAGCAGGAACAAGTAGGTGTATTTCAGAGCCTGTGTATTTAGTGTGTTTTAGCCGTATATTCAGAGTCTATTCAATAGTTTTCTGCAAGGGGCATAATTCATTTTGTAAAAATTTTGAAATAAACCTTAAAAAGGTAGATTTAAAAATTGTTACAAAATGAATTATGCCCTTTCAATGCCCTAATCTTAACAAGGAGATGCAACAAAGCAAGAACCGGAGTGCTCTCTGTTGGGAAGCGAGAAGCAAATGGGTTAAACGATCCCAAATGCAGCCACTGGAAACCAACAAATGAAGGTTTCTCCCAATAAGAAATATATATTTGTTGATCCCTTGGAAAATTTCTTAAAAGATTTCTGCTATACACATATTCCGCATGTGACTTCCGAAATCCTGCAACTTTGGTTATGGCCAGAGTTTTGTTATGAACTACTGGGACATGTACCGAGTAAGGGTGCTGAGAACATCACAACTCACTTTTCACAAACAAGAATAGACGTATCGACAGCTCACACCTGTATCACTGGACTAACCAAAACTCCTAAGTGGCACTGTTACCTTCCTGAGTAACAGCAGCTTCTCTTCCTTCAGAGTCTTCTCAAACATGGTCTCGAGCCTGAAACCATTGCTGAGCTCACTCTCTGTGCCAACTTTCTCTCGTGCCAGGATGCAGGCCCCATCAGCCAGGGCATTCACCGCAGTCTGCAGCAGTTCTCTATGAAGCAGGATGTTTGAAGCAATAAGCAGCGTGCATTCCTGCTTGTCCTTCAGTTTGTGATCCTCGATCTTCACCTCTGCCATGTTCAAATCCATTTCTGACAGGTCACCAGCCTTTGCTAGGATTGTTATGTTTGCCTGCAACATACAACATTTTTCAGATGAACTGGATTACTGGGGTTCTTCACATTCTCTTTAAAAAATGTTTAGAAAACAAGTGGGGACAGTCAAAAATCAGTTGTTTTTTCTTTCCACAGTTTCCAGTGGGTAAGTTTTAAAACTTCAGTTTCAAGATATTTTATTCCTATTAAGAAAGAAACCTTTTACCTTATAAACAGATATGTTTAATTGGCAGATATAATGCATGGGCCTTAGAAAGTGATAATATCCAAGCTAAGACAGAATTCCACTTGCCTTTAGAAGGGGTAGATCCGCAAGGATGAGGGCCACAGCAGGTGCCAGAGGCACCCAGCCTGGGTTGTGCAGCTCCACCACCTTCACTTGGGTGACAGGCTTGTTCTCCAGAGTGATGTGTGTGCACACGCGCAACGTGGTGTGTAAGTCCAGGTGTGCAGGCTCCACATATGGTGTCAACACACATTTCTCTAGCACAGGCTGACTCAGAGGCTTGCGCCGAGATACGGCACTTGATCTGAGGCCTCGCACTTCCACGCCTCCTGACTGGATGATATTCATCTCCTTGTAGACATGCACTGGCACATCTGACACAAGCAGAATCACCCAAACTAAACTGCACAGGTAGCATTCAGATTCATGAACTGTAGGCATTTTTTATGCAAAGATTAGTATCTTCTGGGATGTAACACCCTGCATTCTGTTACACATTTACCAATCATTCACATGAGACTGATGCCTCCGCAAGATGGAGTCACCAAGTTTCTCCAAAGTACGGGTCCCTATCTACCAGTGACATGAAGCCATAACCCAGAAAATACTATCTCATTAAGCCTGCTTTCCTCCATGTGTTTACATACGTCTAAACAGAAGTGCCAAATATGTAAGTGACTTAGTTACTCAGGGAGCTGAGCCCTTCTTGAGGAGCCACCAATTCTGCAGCTACTCAAGAATTTCCCAGCATTTTATGGAACCCGAAGGTTCACTACCGTGTTCACAAGAGTCCTCCATTGGTCCCTCTCCTGAACCAGATCAATCCAATCCATTCCATTCCATCCTGTCTCTCTAAGATCCATTCTAATATTGTCCACCCACCTACGCCTTGGTCTTCCCTGTGGTCTCTTTCCTTCTGGCTTTCCCACCAATATCCTATATGCATTTGTCTCCCCCATTCGTGCTACATGACCTGCCCACCTCATCCTCCTTGACTTGATCATTCTAATTATACATGGAGAAGAGTACAAGTTATGAAGCTCCTCATTATGCAGTTTTCTCCAACCTCCTGTCACTTCATCCCTGTTCTCAAACACCCTCAGTCTATGTACCTCCCTTAATGTCAGAGACCAAGTTTCACACTCATACAGAACCACAGGCAAAATTATAGTTTTGTATACATAGGTTACAAATTATGTAAATAAATAATAAAACCTATACATAAAACTTCCATCAGGAATAATGTCTAATGTCCGTATTGACTTCAGAACAACATCAGGCAGTCATATATGTTTACTAATTTTGTCTTACTATAGTTAGAATCAGCAGCACTTTGAGATAGATTACATATATACTGCGATATAATGCCATGTAGTCTGCCGGAAGTCAACTGATATTTCAGAGCACTGTGTCAACTCCATCTTCTGGGTTGAAGAGTAAGCCAGGCAAAAAACCAGCATGAATCAGGCAACAAGCAAAGTGGAAGCATGCTGGAGATTTGAGCGACAGATGGGAGACATAAACACTTCAAACAAAGATGTGAAATTATAGAATGGATTCATCTGGAACAGGATACTGTCCAAGGACTGGATCTTGTGCATGCAGTAATGAACCATCTGATTCCTTAAACTGCAGGGAACTTCTTGACTAGCTTAGTGACTATCAACTTCTGAAAGAATCTGTTCCATGGGCTCAGTCAGTTGCTTGTCTTCATACGTTTTACTGAAGGACTGCTGTGTTCATGATTTCTGTCTTACCAAGTCCCTGGATCAAAGTTCATTACTGTGTTCATATGTGGTCAAACCATCAGAAGAAGCACATAACTAACTTCATGGACCCCAATCCTTCTTGTGGAAAATATAATCAGCCGGCTACATAAGAAATGCCTGAAGTTTAAGGAGCCCATATGTTCAATACTGCGTTTACAAGATCCCACCAATGATTGAGAGGGAGCACATAAGTGACAACACAATATACTAAGTAACTCATCCCATGGAGCAGAGTTCTTATTGAGAAGGAAACAGCCATACTGCTATTCAAGAAATACCCTACATGACATGGAAAACAAAGGCTCATTACCACATTCAAAAGTCTCCAGTACTGGTTGAAAGGAAGTAATTATTAACTGAGCACTCAAGCAAGGTCAGAAAGTAAGCAAATATCTGCACAAAGAAAAGCCAAACTTGAGAAGGAAAGAGTCACTTAAATATGTACGAAACTCCCTTCCTTCCATGGTACCCAAAGGTCCGTTACCATGCACACAAGATTCTGCCACTGATTGGCAGGGAGCATATGGGGTGTGAATCTCACCCAGTTCTTGGAGACAAGCAGTATGCCGTTTCACATCTATTGTAAGCTTCTGGATTGCAATTGGAATGAACAGACTTCGACTGTCGGTGTGAAACAGCTGTGCCTGGAACATACTGTCCATGAATGTAACCCAGTTGTTGTTCCAGTGGATCTTCCCTGTTTGTCCTGTGAGACACAAGAAAACATGCCACTCATCATCTATTCTTTGCACTCAGCATAACAGGGTAGTCATGTTTGTTCACATACTTCTTCCTGTCTCCTAAACCACATAATATACACTAAGTCCTCATTTACTGTCATGGATAAGTTCTAGTACTCTGTGACTTCATGTAAAACAGCACTGAACAGATCCATTCTTACTAGCAGGTTACATTCTTCAGCCTTCCTTCAGCTCTGTAACATGCATTACAGTACAGAAAATGCGAATGTGACTACAAGTATTTGTGTATTCTTGGCTATAGACACATTCATTTATAAAGCAAAATAATCTTTACTTAATATTCAGTATGGTATTGTCACGTGATAGAGTGACTGCAGACAAAGTCTGGATCCGTAATCAGATTTAATGGACACTTACACTCGTAACTACAAATAACTACAACAGTCTCACTGGTCACACACTCTAAAGATCACTGTAGCTACAGCACATAAAGTCTTCTCAGTCTTTACTAGCCATTGCTTGGTAACAGCTTCCAATATCAGGCATGACCCTTCCTCTGGGTTCCAGAACTGTCCCCAGTCTTAGCTACCAGGTTCTCACTTCTCACAGCTACATATCTCAACTGACTCAACCAATAACTGAATTATTAGTCCTCGTTCTATGGCCCCAACATGGATCTATTCCATAATGTGCGTTGCCGGGGAAACAACATGTCCATAGAGATGTTCACTAACAACAGCTGTTGTACTGTTGCAGTGATGGCCAAACGTGAAGCAAAATGGTGGATGATGGCCCAGTCTCATCAACATTAAACATGTGTTTGGGCAAGTAACCCTCTCCTTCAACCATTTTCCTTAAACTCTGGGACAAATAATGATATAATAACGTGACGTTACTTGGAGCCTTGGTATAAAAACAGCATCAGCATAACAACGAAGCAATACCAAGTGGGACAATGTTAAGCAAGGACTTACTGTACTTAAATATAATTTGAAACGGAAGGTCTACATTAAGCACTGTCATGACCACTTAGTTTTGATCCATATCAGTTCAAAGGATGGTGATAGGGATAGTTCGGGAACCCTGCTGTTGGAATTCATTACCAGGCAATGATTGGTGAAGACAGAGCAGACTGAGAAGACTCAGTGCGTGCTGTGGTGAACTGCAGAGTGCATGAATTAGCGAAAGCACTATAGTTACTTGTAGTTAAGATCTGTTTAGTGTTCAATAAATCTAATCACCATTCCAAACTCAATCTATAGTCACTCTGTTACAAGACAGGATAAAATTTGAGACCAATATCATCCAAAATTTAGTTTTGCTGGTAATTTTTCAAGTAGGGCCTCCTCCACCACCATATTAAATTTCTTCAAAATATGTTCTCTATTCATGACAATGAAACAGTGAGGCAGTACACACCATAATCAATCCACTTTATGCAACAAAAATAAAGGCACTCACCAAGACTGTCCAAAGAGACAAGGCCACAGAAGGCCCCTTGATAGTCGTATCCACGTAGTCGTAGCTCCTTGTATATATCATGTGATGAAAATTCAAGCAACTCATCATTATAGCATGGATCAGGCGGCTCCAGAGATGCTCTTTTATAGGAAGTATTCTCAAGTACCTGCACTATACCACTCACAACGGACCCACCACCTTCTATCACCTCAAAGTTTCCACTCCCTTTCTGCACCATAATAATAAACTCTGTGTTTCCTGCAAAGATATCATCCAGGTATTAGTAGTACTCTAAAAAATGTGAAGTAACTTCATTCCTACCTCCAAGGAAACACTGATTACATCTATTACAAACATCCAATGGTTGAAGATGTTTGCAAAACAACTGAATTTTTATTCTGGGGGCCAAGTGAAACCCATAAAGAAGTTTTCCCTACCAAAATTTTGTATGACTTTCTCTTCTCTTCCATGCTTGCTACATACTCTGCCCATCTCCTTCTCCATCTTAAAAATAGATGGCAAAAAATGAAACCTAGCCCCTTGTTACTTCCTCCATTTTATGTCCAAATGTCCTGAGCCCTGTGTTCTCAAACACACAGTCTGGGTTCTGCTCTTAATATGAGAATCACGTTTAGTATCCATACATAGCTGCAGAGAAGCAACAAGAGACAAAAATTATTTGTGGAATAAACAAGGTAAAAAGAAGAAACATGTAAAAAAAACTTTCACTGGAAACTCATGAAAAAGAAAACACTTAGGAGTCTGTACATAGATGAGAGAAAATATTAAAATAAATATTATGGAAATAGTCCATTTGGATGTAAATTAAAATGAACTGTCTTTTGCAGAAAGAGTGATCAACCTGAACACAATTACTTCTAAGTAGAAAATGTGCATCTAACGATTTGTAGGTAGTAAGGGTAATAAGGAAGAACACTGGCAAAGTGTATTATTGTACATACCTTCCTTAGGTATTTTTGTAGCCCTGTGAAATCTTACATCCTCAAACACAACAGACATTTCAGTGTAGACTTGTTCAGTCATAATTGCAAGTGACTCCCAGACAAGCTCCTGCAGAAGAGCAAATTTAGGTTATTAAGAAGCTGGTAACTTTTTATAACTTTACTGCTGGATAATAAACATTATGTATCAGTTCCAACAAAATCATACAAATCTTTTCACTTTAATGGCTGAAACAATCTCATAACCTTTTCCCTGTCAACACTGTCTACAGGCCTAATCACTGCTTAAGCACTATGATATATATATATATAAACTCTGAATATATTGTGACATGTTGAGCTATGGATGACAGCCCCCCCCCTCAGCCGTGATGCACCGAGCGGAGCCGAAGTTAGCCGAGTCCCGGCATCCTGGTAGCTATGCAACGTGAGTCAACAGCGGTGACGTCACCAAGGGATACCGTGGTCGCTATGCAACGCGGGTAAAGAATGGTTGCGAGAGACAACTCCCGACAGCGTTGCTAGCAACACGTCGCCAGACAACAATGGTGCCTATTACGTGGCTGTTTCCTGCGTTGTCCGGAACAAGGCTACATAAGGAGCAGCGAAGGCTATTCACAGTTAGTTCCGAGTTAGTTCCAAGCAAGCCGATGAGCCAGTGTGTTATCAAAAGTTCTCAAGGCAGCAGCCTGCGAGTTGAGTTGAAATATAGCCATCATCGGAGACAGTTAAAGTGTATCAGTGGCCGAAGACAGTTCTCCAGTCAGCGGTGAACGAGTAAAAGTGTGATAATCAGTGACAGTTTGTGATAACTGAGAATTAATTGGGAGTGTGTAACACAGTGACACTTGTATAGCTCCCGTACTGTGAAACGTGTAGTCTACTGACAATAGCGTGATTTGATTTGCGAATAGGGTTATAAATTGTGAAACCTCGCAATATTGTTATAATTAATTGTAGCCGTGATTTGTAGGTTGTTAAATAAACCAATTAACAATCTCTACGGCGTATTCAGTAACCAAACACGTTACAATATTTTCAGTTTTGTTAAATTTTGTTCTTTGCACAGCTTCCAAATTCATTTACATTATTGGAATTCACAATTGAAATCTGATAATTACCATCACTAAGTATAGTTTCCACAGATAACCCTTTCAGTAATCCATTCTTACACATTATAGCCCTTGAGGGACATTCTGATATGAGAATTTCACTGAATGTACATGATGTAGACTGACTGACAGTAATACTACAGACACCTTTCACTGCAAATATAGATGGTGTACTACTGACAGAAGTGCTGCCATTTTCTGCTGTTATCTTCTGGTCTTATCGTAACTAAAACAAATACGCTTTGCAATAGGTTTCCATAGACATGGAGACCTGACAAACACTGCCCTGATAAGACTAATTTAATTACATACAGGGCCACTATGTGTCTGGTACTTAAACTGCAGTACCCAATTTAGAAAACTGTCAATGGATTTGATGTTCCCATGGCAGTGTCTGCAAATAGTGATGTCTGCTGACATGTGACACCATGCAGTAAGTAGATAGAAGTTCAATGACATTTTGGGGGAACACACTGACTCCATCTTTGGTGTCGAAGAGTGAGCAAATATGCTTGCTTTTTGCTGGATGCTTCCTTAGCTTACTCTTCGACCTCGAACACAGGGGCAGTACATTCCTCTGAAATGTTAGGAAACTTCTGTCAGACTACACAGTATCACATCAAAAAATCCATACAGTTCAACATGGCATGCATTTAATACACAGAAAAATATTTGCCTGTTGCAATCAAAACTGTCTCACCAATATTTGGAAAGTCTGGAACAATATTTGCAAGAGTAAAATCTTAAACTCACAAGATAAGCTGTAGCGGGAAACAAATTTCTTCCATCAATCACATGCCCTGTTAAGTATTTCTTATCCTCGTCTTTTGGGTCGATGGCTACAGACCGCTCACCAGACTTTTCTCTTTCCTGCATAAAATATGAATATCAGGCACAATTTAAGGATTCACATATTTGGGACACATGAACTCATGTGAGAAATGAGATTCATGTTTAGTTAATATACTTGAAAAGAATGTAATTCTTTGTGATTTTCCATCTGTTTCCTCATTCCTATCATAGACATAATGAGGAACACTCAAAAATATGAAACAGACATGTATTCTTGTCAACATGTGCAGTGCCCATGGCTGTGTGAGCAATAAGAATGGAATGAGGTGAAGTTTATTGATCCAATTCAAATTCTCATTCCCAATCACTTCGCTTTTAATTACATAAGTAAATTTTAATTCCTTTATTTGAGTATCATTCCTTCTTTGAAATTTCAGCTACTATATATTGTGATATTGACAAGGAAACATGTAAAAATACTATGTAAGATTTGAGGCTTTCACGGCGGTGACTATGAAGAAAGCAGTCTTCTGGGATTACCGTTTCTCACGGTGTTGTTGCTTGCAGATTTCTTATACGTTTTCTTCTACCCTGAAGATGGGGGCGATACGTTCCTCCGAAACGTCGGTTAACACCACATATACACGGTGCCAAATCCCAGAAGACTGCTTTCTTGTAAAAATACTACTCAGATTAATTTCAGACTTAAAAGGGTTAAGTACTTAATTTGAGTAAAACTCACCTGATTAAATTTGTGACTCCTAAGTCTTCAGAATATACATATTGGTAACCTATAATAATTTTAGACTTAAACATGTTGATAATGTTAATCTTTTACGTGTTTATTTAGACTGTCAACTTAATTGGAAAAAACAATCTGAAAAATTATTTTATGTTTTATGCTCAGGAAGTTGGAGTCCCTTGTCAGTGAACAAGCTCTTCGAATGGCCTATTTTTCTTATTATCAGTCTCAGCCTGAATACAGTATTATATTCTGGGGTTCTTCTCCAGTTATAAAATGTTTATTTGTTGCCCAAAAAAGAGCGATTAGTGTTATGCTGAGACTGAGTCCTGGAAACTCGTGTAGTGAAGGTTTTAAGAGGTTGGGTATTTTGACGGTTCCTAGCCTATATATCTATTCTATATTGACGTTTGTTGTTAGAAATCGCAATTTTTTTCAAACCAACAATAATATTCATCATATAAACACTAGCGAGTTTGGAAAGCTACATGTGTCATCAGTGAGATTATCTTCAATCCAGAGAGGAGTGTTATATAGTGAAGATTTTTAAACACACACTGAAAAGTTTCCTCACAACAAATGCTTTCTATTCAATAGATGAATATATTTCTGCTAAGCATGTATAACATTTAATAACTATATTCCTTGCAATTTTGTTTATGAATGACAATGTAAATTATGGTTATTTGGTGCTTTTGGTTGTGTGGGGTTGTTTGCTGTTGACACAATTGTACTTCTGCAATCAAGTCTCATTTTGTCGAGTTCAATATCCGGTTAAGTTCGGACAATGGATCAGTGAATTTATGAATTATGTATGTATGTATGTAAGTATTAAATTTAGAATTATGGCATTACCTGTGATTCATATGTCATGACAAACCAATCCTCTGAATGCTCCCACCGGATAAGTGGTGAGATCATTGGGGTTCCCCTGCTCACTGGATAGCATACTGGGGGATACAGGTTTGCCAAGTTCGGCTGCAAACCAAGCTCAAATAACCTGGTTCACAAAACAATTATACAAAACTTGCCAGCTGTTTGAGTTACAGATTAATTTGATTGTTGTTTGTCAAGAAACAGAAGCATGGGAGACACTTTTGTTGTATGTTTCTCTACACTTTTACGCCAAGCACAATCTGTGTTAGCATCTGACAGACCTGAATCTGAAATTTCAATGGACTTTATGCTAGTAAATTAATATCATTGGCAGATTCAAGAACCTAACCAAAAATATTCCACTTGAAATCCACTTGAGTCTCTCTGACTTCAGTAACCACATTCCAGAACAAAATTAAATACTGACATTAAGGATGTAAGTATTATATTACAACTTTACACACTGCACAATGTGGAAACATGCCCATTGGCAGAAATTTCAACGCTGACAACACATGCTGAGAACATACATGAAGAATTTTCCATGGAGATAAATATTGGAAAACTAAAATTATGGCTTTTAGAGGAATGTAACAAACTAGACAAAACACATGCATTAATCACAGGATACTGAAATAGTATGGAATGATGTGACACCATCCAGTGAGACTCAAATATACAAAGTGTCCCAGGAGGAATGTGCCAAACTTCGGGAGGGTGTTCCTTATGTTAAAGTATGCCGATATAACCCAAAACACCTATGTCCAAAGTTGAACGGTTACGGAGATAATGGCCCGAGAAAAGTGTGGTCTTCTTGCAGGTCCACGCACTATACGTACCTGTCAGCTGAGACCCTTATCTGTTTGTCCTTGAGTGCCGCGAGTCACACTAGCGTAAGCTCATGCGCTGCCTACAGATTACGTTGCAGTGGGGTCGTGAATGGGTGGTAAATTAGTTGTGTGATGAGTTGCTGAAATGCCTTTTGTGTTTTCACACGTCGAGTATTGTGATATGCATTTTGTGTATGGATTTTGCGGTGGCAATGCACGTGCTGCTGTTGAAGAGTACCAAAGGCATTTTCCCGATCGAAGGATTCCATCTCGAAGTGTATTTACGCGAATTCACCAGACATTGCGTGAGACTGGTTCTCTTCCGAGTGTTTCTGTGCAGTCGGAAAGGGAGGATGTACAAATGAGAAACACACGAGAGAACATTCTTCGCATGATTGATAGAAGTCCGCGTCTCTCCACTCGTAGAATGGCCTCTCGCATCGGCGTATCACGTATGCAGGTGTGGCGAACTTTACATGACGAAGACCTGTATCCTTACCATGATCAAAGGGTACAACATCTGGAACCAGGCGACCATGCTCAGCGTATGGATTTCTGCCACTGGATAAAAGCTCATCCCGAACTGTTAAGCGTCATTTTATTCAGTGATGAGGCGTCGTTTACCCGGGACGGTGTAAATAATTTACGAAATATTCATACGTGGTCCCATAATAATCCACATGAGATAATGGAAACGAAATTCCAAAAGAGATTTTCTGTGAATGTATGGTGTGGTGTGCTTGGGAACAGGTTGATCGGACCTTTTGTGTTTCACAACAATTTAACTGGAAACACGTATGGAGCCTTCCTAAGGAATGAGTTACCATGTTTGTTGGAAGACATCCCGTTAACGATAAGGAGGAAAATGTACTTCCAACATGATGGGGCTCCTCCACATTATACTCAGCACGTGAGACACTACTTAGATGAATCCTTCCCTAACCGCTGGATAGGTCGTGGTGGTCCCATTGCATGGCCACCGAGGTCGCCAGATCTTACGCCTCTAGATTATTACCTCTGGGGCCACATGAAGACCTTAGTCTACGAAACTAAGGTCGATTCCCGAGAAGCACTGCGGAATCGTATTTTTGCAGCGGCAGAGCACATACGTCACCATTCAGGCAACATTGCTTCTGCTACCCAATCCCTCATGATGCGTGCCGAAAACTGCATTGCAGCTGGCGGAGGACACTTTGAACAATTACTATAAAGCAGGTACTGTATTTTAATACTTATGTAGTTGGCTTATAGCAGAATATGCAGTCAGTCATGTTACACCAGCGCTTGCCATTCATGTGTCATGTGTAGTGATGAGGCGTCTTTTACCCTGGACGGTGTAAATAATTTACGAAATGTGCATACGTGGTCCCATAATAATCCACATGAGATAATGGAAACGAAATTCCAAAAGAGATTATCCGTGAATGTAGGTATAATAAGAGTTATGTGGTCGGCTCATAGCGCAGCCATATTACGTCATCGCACGCCAGTCATGTGTTATGTATACTGCTTGGAAACCTAAGGACAATTATGACATGGCGAGCGAGTATTTTGTACTTCAATTTTATGGCTTTCCGTCACTCACAAGTTGGTTTGATGTTACGTACATTATTAACATTACAGAATCCACATATTCCTGCCAGTTTTAATATCTATTTTGTAATCAACAAGTGTGTAACCCCGGTCAAAGTTTGACACTTCTCTGGCCATTATCTCCGTAACCGTTCAACTTTGGACATAGGTGTTTTGGGTTATATCGGCATACTTTAACATAAGGAACACCCTCCCGAAGTTTGGCACATTCCTCCTGGGACACCCTGTATATTTATATGATGCCTTTACATGTTTTGGTCAGAAAATGACCATCCTCGGAAGGCATAACAACATGTCACAGAAACTACTATTATATAGATCATAGTACATCAAATTGAGTCAAAGTTTTATACAAAGATTTTAATTAAGACAATTGTTATTGAATTACAAGTTGTTAAAATTCTTAATATTTAAACTCTTAAACCGCTAAGGTTTGTGTCTTCATGCCTCTTCTATCAACAGAAGATTGGGGAAGATACTGCCATCCTTAGAGGTCCAGGCTGTTTTCCCCCCCCCCTTTTTTTATAATTAATTAGGAATTTGTGTGTTCTTAAGCTGTTACTCTTTTCATCCTGAGTTGAGGCACACAGGGCAAAAGAAGCAATCTAAAGATGGAGGCAGCAGGTTCCTCAAACCAACCAAATTATGGGATGACACATCTTCAAAGACAATAATATTAATACTCAGTGCCAAGAGAACACTTTCTCTAAAGCCTGACAAAATCAAAAATAAACTGCATTATTATACAAAAGTCCCCAACATCCTTATCACCAAATACAAAACAAGGTACTAAGCAAGTTGGTTCAAGAAGTGACACTTTGTATTTGCATCTGGAAAACACACAGTTCGAATCTCAGATAGAACAACGGCTATCCTGACTGAAAATTTCCATAGTTCTCTTCAGTCACTCCACATAGATGTTAAAATAGTACCTCAAATTAGGCTACAACTGCTTCCTTCGAATTTCTTTTTAATTCCTTATTTCCTAATCACTCTCCCATTTGATGACACAAGATCTGGAGCTACAGACAGTGTCATTATATATACCATAAACAAACAAGCGAATAAATAAAAAAGACACGTACTTGCCCAGAGCAGTGAAGACGTACTCACTGCAGTCAGGGTGACCTCGTTGTGTGAGAGCAACGTTGGTTATGCCCTTCTTGAGGGAACGTTTCAAGATGGCTTGCAAGAGGCCATGAGGGGCAATCTCAACAGTGATGGCGTTATGTGGGATGTGTCGTGATGCTTCCTCAAAAAGCACGGCGTTCAGCAGATTGTTTGTGTGATACTCGGCTGAAGAATGTGTCGCTTCTGGGGTGTTCCATTCACTTTGCGGCAGCGAAGAGCACACCCAACGGGAAGATCGGGGCTTTGGATGGGTTATCAGCTGTGCAGGCATGAACGCAACAAAGAACGCAACATACTTATGCAAGATGAGAAGAATACACAAAATATTGGCCGCAAACCCCAAGCAAAGAGACCTTTTGGGAGATAGAGACATAAGAGTTATGCAGTGAAGCATGTGGAGTTGTCCACCCCTATATATCAGTGACATGTCATAATCGGTCACTTCTTACAGAACCAGCAAAATCATATATTTTTACACGTGGATGACCCTCTTCAACTTCGCTACCTCTCTATCTTACATCCTGTCCATCCTCTTGGAGATCATGTTATGGGTCCATAACCAAATGTTTTTACCAGTGTGTAAACAAGAAAACCTCTCATTCCATCTGTCCAGTTTATGTATAATCCCTGCCAACCGTCCTTCCTCCTCTTTCTCTGATACTGATATTTAGCAGTCCACTAAATCATTAACCTTGCTAGTTGTTAGTCAGTTTACCATACTGCATTTTGTACGTTTAACTGATCATTAAAATTTTAAATCAGAAATATCTCTTAGTCATGTGAGCTCCACTGATTTGATACTAACCGTGTGAAGTTGTCTGCCCAATAATCACAGGAACAAGAACAAAACGAAAAGCTTCGAAAAGCTTAACATAGTCGCAAAGGAAAATAAAGCAATGGTTACTTTGGTCACCACAGACACAGAGATTAGAGATTTTAATGCTATTTTCTGTAAGTTGGGTGGGTGTGAATGGAACAAGTGGCCAACAGAGACACAATGAACTTTATGGTGTGAACAGGAGGAGTATATTCAAAGCGGTTATGAATCAGGTAATGTAGTAACAAAGTTTTGGGTTTCATAAACGCACAGAATTTCTTTGAGCAGAAGCTCCCCAAACAAGATCCAACACCAGGAAATAAGTCTCTTAGTTATTCAGTACACAGATCCTTTTAGTGGATTCCTCCGCCTAAAATATTCAAATCATTTGGTCCCAAATATTTCACCACAAGGTTACAGTATTTTTACAACCAACCAAAAACCTGAATGAACATTCATGAACTGACCGATCACCACAAGAGCCTGCCACTGGAATCTCTCCTAATCCACTTGAATCAATGTTGGATTTGATATTCTCCCAGTAGCAACTACATTGCGGGTTGTAACATCAAGCAGTTTACTACCAGTCAACCTATGTTTCAAAGGAGCGCACTCTCTCTGTCTTCTGGGTAGAAGAGTAAGCCAAGCAAGACATTAGCCTGGTTTTTCAATGTGTGGTTCATTGTCCTCCTGAGGCTTACAGATGTATTGGTTGGATTACTCTTCAAGCTTGAAGATAAGGGCAATACATGCCTCCGAAACTTTGGTGTACTCCTACCCAATTACGCAGAGACACAACCTAAACATCACAACTCTGCATTTCAGTCAAGTTTACATCTTCACAAGAAGTTTCTCAAAAATCCACTTGACATATCTTCACATTGGCTTAAGAATGTGCAAACTAATTACTTTACATATCTTAATTTTTAATATTTTTAAAAATCAGATAGCTGTTACATATTTCTAATAAAACTGTCATGGTACTGCAAGAGAGCGCTGCTTGGAATGGCTGTAGAATTGATACAACACTAATTCTTGCAGGACAATAACAGTCCCTATATCTTGAAACCTGTATTTTGCATTTTTTTAAGGGTTGCCAATTATGATTTAATGGCGAGAATGCAAAGCAGAACAGCAAGATAGTAGTGAGCGCACTCTACCTGCTTCAGGTACTTCAGTAGGAGAGGCCCAGCTGGAGATATGTACTTGCTGTGGTATGCAATGTTGCCACAGTTCACCTCCTTGGCAAACACACCTTGCTCCTGTAGTTCTTTCACAAATTTCTTCATGGACTCAGCTGGTCCTGAGAGTGTGCAGAAGTTAGGTCCATTGTGGCATGCCACCTCAATGTCAGGTGGACACAGTTTCCTGGCATCCTCAGCTCCAAGACCTACATAAACAGATTCTTGCTCAGGACAAACAACTATCGCAATGTATGGTTTGAGGTTCTCACACTGTGGTTATGAAGAGTAGTCAACGGACTACACAGTATTATAACCAGGGCCCGGATTTTGATGACATGTCATCTCTTTTTCCTTGTATCCTATGTGATGCTCTTAAATACATAAATCTCGGATATGAGCTGCTGGTTACAGAAATGTAAATTTTATAGGCAATTTTCTGTCATTTTTTGACATTTTTAGGTTTAAGGTCACTTTTTCATTTTGGGAGCAATTTTTTGGTACATTTTTGGACCTTTAAGAGTATTTCTTGTCATTTTTGGCCATTTTAGGGAATTTTTCTTCATATGTTTTCAAAATGTGAATAACATGGAAGCGAAGTGTTCTTTCTTTTCTCCTTTAGGTCATTTTTCTGGATTTTTTCGGTCATTTTTTTGAATATTTTCAGGTCATCAAAATCCGGGCCCTGCATATTACATTTTTGGATCATATTTTAGGTAATTTTTCTGGATTTTTTCGGTCATTTTTTAAATATTTTCAGGTCATCAAAATCCGGGTCCTGATTATAACACATAACATAGTACTCTTCACACCTACTGAAATGTCTCACTTTCCTACAGCAAAGTGATTGAAATGATGATATCTGTCAAACAAAGTATATCACCACACTCTAGACACAGAAACTGAATAACAGTTCTAACAAGAAACCTTGCGACTTGAGGTACTTCCGTAAGCCCTCGTCCCTCTATATTTCTTGTCTGCCCCATTCAGAATATATGCCTGTATGACAACAACTTAGGCTATGGGTGCGCAGTATAACGATTCCAGTTCATTCACTCATGTTTGTTTAGTTATCTTGAAAACAGTATGAGAAAGTGTACTGAGCATTAAACATTGTCATGATTTATGTGTATGGGGTAAAGGTAAGGTAAGGTAAAGTTGTCCCTGTGCTTAGCTAATTTAGCACTGCGCCATGAAGACATATGGGGTAGTGGATATATAGATGCACGTTTTCTTGACCTAGGCACTAGATGGATGTGAGTGGTCAGCTTCACGCCCTGGCCACTTTACCCTCAAGGAAAGAACCCGTGGTACCCATTGGATAGGAGGCTGGGTGGGACCCACAGCCGGTCTGGTTGATATGGAGAAGAAAAAATACTTGCACCCAGCAGGGCTCCAACTCTGACCTTTTGGTCATCCAGCCCATAGCCAGTCGCTATACTGACTGCACTATCCCAGCTCTGTATAGATGAGGTATGGATTGGATATTGGACTTACTGACCACTTATACACACCGCTTGGAACTACAAGTAATTACAGTGCTATTGATAATCTCTGCACTTTAGAAATCATTAGCACACACTAAGTCCTCTCAGTCTTCACTAGTCATATCCTGGCAATGGATCTTAACATAGTAATTATAACAGTCTCATAACTACAACACACATAAAGTCTTCTTTCACAGCCACACTCTTGCAACTAACTCTTATCTTCACAGCTGGACATTCAAATCTCAACTGAACTGGTTGCCCTAATTCTCTTCTTCTTCACCACTTTGCATGGACTGAATAGAAAACACTGTTTCCAACAATAACTCTATTGCTATAGAGGTGTGTTTACTGACCTGTTGCTTAGAAAGGGCTTGCATAACCCCAGTGTTCTACTGTTGTGTGTATGTTGTAGGCGTTACCTACTGTTAGTTCCTCAGAACTCTAGCCATAGTAGATGGGTCATACCATCTCTCGCGGAGCTGGGGAGGCATTCTTATCAGCTTACATCTGTGTGGGTACTACCAGTTTGGGACGTAGCATCTTGGAGTGTCGGCAGGTGAACAGTACGTTGTGTTGCTTGTTAGTTGGTCTCCATGGGCAATGTTTTCTGCTTGGGGAGTAGCTCTGACTGTCACCACAGCAAGCATACAGCTCTGCATGCTCCCAAACAGCATTTACCTTTCCGTGTGGCTAAAGTTACGACGCACTAACTATAGTAATGACCACTGCTTACAGAGTCACCATTTAGAAACAGGTCTATATGCCACAATACGTTTCCATTTTATCTATAACTTTTGCCTGAAACATATATTAGCATGCCACATGCAAGTTATGTTTATGATGAATGCAAAAATGCATGTATATCTTCATGCAAAATGTTCAGTATTGCTCTGTTTTTAACTACAACTGAAATGTGTGAAAAAATTTTAGTAAAGAAGCCCCAAATTGTCTATTTTTGTGGACTATTTAACGATGCTATCAGCACTGTGGCTACACAACATCAGTAGAATTGCTGATGAATGATGAATCCAAAAGAACATGGAGAGAAGTGATTGTGGCCTGAATGAGCATACATATTGAAGGGGTTGAATAAAACCATGCAAAATCTCAGTCACAATAGTTGAAGGCCGAGCTTAGATTTGATCTGAGAATCTTCCTAATACAATTCTACAGTGTTACCACTATGCCAACCTGCTCAGAATCCCAATATCAAATTTCATGAAAATTTGTTGCACTGTTCTACGACTTGTCACATATGAGTAGATGAACCAACAGACAGGCCAATCAAAGCCAATTGGTGCAACATTTCATACCAAACGCACCAAACAGCAGTTGAAGCATGGATAGTCCTAACAACTCTATCACACAGCATATGAATCCAGAACATTTCTAACATGAAGCTTGGATACAGAAGATAAGAAATAAATACACAATTTTAGGCTATAAATTTTTTTTTAATACATCCATCTGAAAATCCAGATCATGTTCATTCGCTGGTATTTGAGGTACAGTAAACTCACCAACTGCAGCCATTAACCCCTTGATGAGTTCTGCTTCTAGGGATGCACATCCACGGTAGTACGCTGCCAGCAACATCTCCTCAGCTGTGAAGCAACCATCAATGTAACTGCAGCCCAACTCTCCCACAGAGTGACCCACAATGCCATCGGGCTCAATGCCCGCTGCTCTCATCACATCCACCAGCCCAATCTACATCAGAGACATTTCTCAAAATCCACTTTACATGATAATTTATAGTTTACATTAACAGCACCAAATTTAATCCAAATTAGAAGCTTGGTACGGAGCTTGAAGTGTTCATAGAATGTTTATGTCTCCCGGTTGATAACAGTGTGAGGGCAGTCTGGTTCAAAAGCTACTTTACTAGACGACTAGTGCAACAACGACTGAGAATTGCACAGGTACTCTCAGCATTCCTGTACTGTCATAGAATGGTGCACAAGACAAATGCTAACACCGTCTCGCACACATACAAGTAGTGAATTGCAAACAGTTACCTGTACACAGCATACTACAATTCATATATGCAAACTGGAACATCATCAGTACTCTCACAGTACACGTTACATTGAAATAAATGACTGCCCTCTTGTTCGTGACCTACTACATGATTTACATTCATGCAGCACGTCAATGCTTGGGAATGCATTGCTGTGTTAATCCAAAATTGTGTAATTTCAGAGCTTTCAGCTCACTGTTACACTCCTTTATAAGCAAATACACAAGAATATTTTAGAGCAGATAACATAAAGCGATACTGTGATGGAGCAGTTATAGCCTATAACAAAGACTTCATTATACTCTGACATGACGGAATAGTCTAATAAGGGATGTCAATCTGTTGCCAAGCAATGGCACAGTAAACACACTCCTATGTCATCAAACAAGAGAACTGTTGCTAGGCAATGACTCACTCACACACCACATGACAACAAAGGAGCTATTGGAGGTGGTGTTTGCTGTGTGGTCTGACCTGAGGCTATAAAATGAGGACCAGCAAGGCAAGTTAGTAGAAACCCTGTGTGGATGTGGGGTGAAATACCTCCACCGTGACTCTGCGAGTCATAGGAGGTGACGAAAAGGGAAGTCTCAATTCTGAGACAGTAAAATATGGTCGCGAGTCCCAAGGGACTCAGACCCGAGAAAGAGTGCGCTGGCAAGGGCCAGCAGCATATACAAAAGACATGCCCGTCCTCTCGTCAGAGAAGGCGCCCCACAGAAACAAGACCGTAACTGTCAAATGGTAATAATTAATATCTGGTCATGAGTCCCAAATGGGGCTCGACACCAGGACTTACTGACTGACTGACCATTAGTCACAATGTGACTTTAACTTTGAAGATAGTAGAAAATATAAGAGGCTTAAACTTGGCGGTGGTCAAGCTTATGACTGTTCAAATGACTAAGGTGCCATTGTACCATAAGATATGTAAGTTAGGCATGATCTGCTCTGTAAAGCCTGTACTGACAGAGGACTTGTGTGTAGTGCAAAAGGAAGAATTTTCAATAACATGTTATATGTGCAAAATATACTCTTGACGAAAGGCCAAGCGTATTCATAAGAGACAAACCCATCTTCTCATCAGAGAGGATGTTACATAAGGACAAATACCGCAAGAGGTCAGTTGGAAAAAAATCTCTGGCCTTGGGCCTCAGGGGGCCTAACACCTGGACGAACTGACTGGTGGTAAACCGCCAGACGTAAAGTAATTTTGACTTTGACTCTGAGTTAGTTGTAAGCCAGCATGCCAAACAGTGAGGCCATGAGCAACAAAGCAGAACCTTCAAGCAACATCTTTCAAGACTTTATGTGATTTACAGACACATGCAGAACAAAAAAGTGAAGAAGAGGGTTAAAGACTGGTTCAGTGGACTGGTGGCAGATTTCTACAATGCAAGCATACAGAAACTCATCACATGATGCAACAAGTGACTAAATCCTCACGAGGATTATGTAGAAAATAACTTAAGGTCTGCAGTAATGATGTAAAATAACTTTTTCTAATTTCATCCATTATTTATTTTTTAATCATCATACAATCTTCATTTTCTCGATGATCCACATACTTCCAACATATGTATAACAAGTTTATATTCCCCTCAACTCACCTGACAGGCTGCAATACCCACAAAACAATTGAGGATATTATCAAAGATCATGGGATCATCAGATGTGATAATATCAAGCACATTTATGCCATGAGGCTTCAGAGCTTGCTGGCACTTGTAAATGGCGGCTGCGAAAACTGGAATTTTAAGGAGCGATTTCCCCATACCTGGCCACTGTGACCCCATACCGGTGAATACAAACCAAACAGGCCGCTTGCTTCCAGGGTAAAACTGGAAAAGAAAAGAAAAAATGGTGTGTGGGGCTATATATAGTCTGATTAGCAGAACAGTTTGCTGATATCAACATCCAGACATAAATAACACTATCTAACAAGGAAAATAATTTTGAAAAACTATCTCAGAAAAGTCCACAATTATGAGAATACAATTTCAAATGGCACACTGCTGATCATACCAAAGAATATATGACAACATTTGTGACTCACAACAAAATGATGAAAATTAATACCTCCAGTTACATTGGATGTTAAATCTGTTACGAGTGAGTAACGGATCTAAAGTCCTTAAAGGAACATTGGGTCTAATAAACAACATATTTAGACCAGAAAGCTGTTCGTGATACATAGCAAGAACTGCATATGATAGTGGTTCCTAGACAATGGAGGGAACACTGAATGTGGAACAGCAACAAAGTGAAGTACTAACAAATAAATGTTGGAGGATTCTAACTGGAACCAGTACATATTGGTAGTCCTACAGACTGAGTAGAGACTGAAACAAAATGCAATGTCATACCTTCATATGGTTTCATCATTATTTTAATGAGTTTTTAAACATCTGGGTTACATGGGTTCAAATAGGAGGTTGTTTTGTACATGATGAACAACAAAGCATGTACTTAAGAGCCATTTGTAAGATGCTACCCCAGCTTTTGCCTTGAGGGACTCAGGAAAATTATTAAAAACCTCAGGTCAGCTGCTGTAATAATCTGTAACTCAACTTGGGAGGCTCAGCTGTGCAGCAAGATCTACCCTGTTCTCAACAGGTTAAGGGTTACATAAAAGATATTAAACGAAAATGTTTTGAATTGATTCAGAATGTTCACATTCGCCATTGAATACCATACTTCTTCCTTACTTTAATACTCCTCTGCCTTCTGTCATTCTGTGTGAGTAGCGTGTACCCACGGTACGTATGGCCAGCTATCTCTAATGACTGGACATCATGCATCAGGCGCACATATTCTGCGTCCACTGGCCGACTCTCAAACTGGGAACACAGATTCAACTCATTAGCAAATTCTGCAAAATGAACATGAAATTCAAGAGGAATATACAAAGTCTGGATATATTCACAAATTGAAGCCGCATATTTCCAGCAGTAAAATTTGCATCTAAGGCCATGAGTGCACACAAGGATGGATCAAGAAAATGACACAAATTTTCAATAATTATTGAAATAATTATTTCAACATATGAATTATAATTCATATGTTGAAATAAAATGAATTTTAATGTTTCCAAAACAGTTCATCACCTTCACTTCAGGGAACATGAAACTTTCCTGTACCAGCTTGCTTACATTCTCTTTCTCAATGGCCAATCTCTTCTTTTGCTTGGTCAAAATGAAAGTTATACATGCAAGTAGGTTCAAGATGCACACATAAGAACATATGTGCCTACAAGTAAAGTGTCCAATGTTCTTATCTGACTTTAACCAGAACTGCATAGTGATGACAGATTTTCATAAACCCTCACATTCATTTCATGAAAATCCATTCACCAGTTCTCAAGTTGCTACATGTAGATGGAACCTAGCTGGTGCAGGCTCGCCAATTCTGAATGCTCCACAAACCATAAAATCAGATTTCTTAATGCCACTTTCACTCAAGTAACCTGGTGACAAACATACATTATGACATACATCTTTCAGTATGACATTAACTGCCTCTTCTGTGCGTCCAGAAGCAACAACAAGTCGAGGAATGAGGTCAGTAGGGGCACCTCCATTTACTTTTCCTTTCCCATTCTTCTCCAGCAGAACATGGGCATTTGATCCACCAAACCCAAATGAGTTCACACCTACAAGACTCCCTTTCCATGGTAAGTTCTCACTCACAACCTACAAACACAACAACTTCATTTTAGTCATGTGCGTATTTCTAATGTTGAATTATTCATAAAAATTTCATGTGACAAGTTGGAAATGCAAGAGAATTAAGTAACTTGACAGACCAGAATCCTTCTCAACATTTTCACCCCAAGAAACTCTGTTGCTGCCTTGCTTGCACCCCAGCCACTTCTCAGATTACAACGGGGGTATGCCAGGAAATGAGCAGTAAATGTTCTATATACATCTATGGAGATTTTTTATTTTCAAAAAATGAATGTATATACAAAAAATGCGTAGGCATTGCCCATCTGGCACTCTGTAGCAGTCTTATAAGCACCTTATTCCATCACAGGAGTCGCACCATGATTTTTCAACATATCTCTTAACTTAACTCTAAGAATATACTATTAATATTTTCTACATTTACTTCTCATTTTTTTAATAAATTTAGGAATTTTGTTTATGAAGTAACAGACGCCTTGCACAAATCGTTTTTACTCTAGCCTTAAGAGCTTTTGCTGTTCTCAGACAAAATGTCCATCACTGTTGCCCTTCGGTCCTCGTACAGTTTACAGCCCCAGCAGATATGTTCCTCCATTTGCAGCCCGTCACCACGTTCACATTCAGCTGTGGACACAATGTTAGATCTGTTGAGGCTTGCTTTAAGACTGAAATGGCCTGCTTTCATATGGTTTATTAACACGATGGCATGACAGTTTATTTTTCATCTTGCAGAACCACACACATGAGCCATTCCTGTAGTAGCTTTCAAAGTAGCTTTCTTCTCTGTCCAATTTGGTGTTTTGACAGAAACTGCGAAAATGCTCTTTGCTTTAAGCTCTGCCACTTTTAATAGTAGTTGAGTATCTCTGCTTTCTTTGACTGATTGCTTTGCCTCCGAGTCAGTTTTCTCATTAACTTCAATTCCACAGTGCCCTGGGATCCAGCAGAATTGTATTTTCTTCCCTCATGATTCCATTCTCTCTATTGTGACTTTACGCATCTGAGCAATGTGCAATGTGCTGCTCATTGCAGATGTGTTACTGATTCCCTTCAGCACACTTTCCAACTCCAAGAAAATCATGAAATTTTTCTCTGAGTCTATTTTTTCAATGATTTTTTGTGTTTCACCAATTGCCAGTGCTTGCACTGTGAATGTGGATGCTATCCTAGCTATCCTGAACTTCCAGCTAACACCTTCACTTATATCTATCGACGCAAATCCTACAAATGGTTTTTTCTCCATTTTTAAGCCACACATGGTGAAACATTTACTGGTTCTTATTTTTATGAACAATTTTTTTTAATTCCTCATTGTGATCCTCTACTACTTTTACACCTATGGAGATTTAGATGTAAAAGGTAGCTACAGGCACCATCTAGTGACAGAGGAAGAAACTATGTGATCAAAGTCCATTCCAAAACAGAAAGGTTTGTTTCGTCAGAGCACACTGCTATCGACCGTGATCAGATATGGCTGTCTGGACAAATCGCCAGAAAATGATCACCCACAGACAAAGGAAAAAAAGAGCTAAGAAGGCAGAATTCACTAAGTTAATAATAATAAAAAATTAATCTTTTGTTGAACTTGAAGGTTCATTATCATGGCCCCAGAAGCCTGCCACTGGATGTTACACCATGTTAATCTTCATGTCCATTTTCTAATACTCATGCTGTTGTATAGAATCCACCAAAATCAGAGTCAACAGAAGATTTAAATCACTAGGATTAAACATTTAATGTTAAGAAAGAGAAACAAATTTGAATTATCCAGTAACACGACTTGCATTACCAATAAATTAAAATGAAGATCAATAAGATATGTAAAATTTCATAAGTAAATTCAGTAATATATGAATTCTAAATTGGGATCATTTTTCCACTGATGTCAGACTTGTATGTACCTTAAGACGACCCATAATCATGCCCTCCACATCTTCTCTGGGGCTCGAGAAGTTCAGATTGGCTGGGATGACTCCATTTTCCATGGCAATGGCCACCTTTGTGATAGAACATAGCCCAGACACAGGTTCAGCGTGTCCCATGTTTGACTTCACTGATCCTATCAGCAGCGGCGTCTTCCGCCCTTTACAGAACACTTGGTCCACAGCATTCAGTTCCTCACAATCTCCAACCTGCATTAAAATATGTTTCATTACAAACTCACTTCAATCCTTTATGGAACTGGCTCATACAATATGCAAATTTAATAAAAATAATGATCGATCCAACCCTGTGTGTTTTCTATATTTGACCACCTTCAGGCATGTCCATCAAATTCAAAAAGATATTAAAGTCTTATAGTTCATTAGATAATATATCTGTACATGAAAAAACAACCAAATATGTTCAGAATTCAGGTATAAAAATTAAATTACAATAATACTGTATCGAAGCATGCCATTGCATATCATTTACTTATTCCTGTCAGGTATTAGTCACCTCACATGCAACTTGCTTTTTAAAATCTTTAAAAGTTTTAAATTTTAAAATCTCTTCTACATGAGTGGTGCATGTTTTGACCAACACTGGTCATCTTGATGTGTCTCTAAACTTGCTAATAAAAATGCTGTGCTTCTATCCATACGTTCAATATTTGGGATATGCCCTTGTCTAGTTGCCCATGTGTCCTATAGCGATGGGTAGTTCCTCTTATTGCGTTGCATGTAGGTTATAAAAAGCAAGTTGCATGTGAGACGGCTAACAACAGGAATAAATAAATTACAATAAATTATGACTCTTGAATGTATACAAGGTGTAAGAGAAAAATGAGGAGATACTCTGGGCCCAAGTGCCATGTATCAAAACAAACAAACATCCATATCAACACATGCCCTGAAACATTTAATTTGTGAGTTACAGCTGAAAGATTACTGTGTAGACACCAGCAGCAATTAAGCATTAATGTGTGGGGAGGTGGCTGTTTGGTAGGCCCACACGTTTTGTCACATCGGCTTACAGCCAAACACATGATCTCCCAAAGCTACTGCAAGATGTACAGCATGAATATCATGCTGTGTGGGATATTCTCAATAGCATTTATCATGACCAGGGCCCGGATTTTGATGATGGAAAATATTTAAAAAATGACCTATAAAATGACTGAAAAAATCCAGAAAAATGACCTAAAGGAGAAAAGAAAGAACATTTCGCTTCCATATTATTCACATTTCAGAAAACATATGAAGAAAAATTCCCTGAATGGCCAAAATGACAAGAAATACCCTTAAAAGTCCAAAAATTTACCAAAAGATTACCCCAAAATGAAAAAATGACCTTAAACCTAAAAATGTCAAAAAATGACAAAAAATTAACTATAACATTTACATTTCTGTAACCAGCAGCTCATATCCGAGATTTATATATTTAAGAGCAGTGCATAGGATACAAGGAAAAAAAAGATGACATGTCATCAAAATCCGGGCCCTGATCATGACCAATAGATACGCAGAGGACCCACTGCATGACTTCCACGCCTGCCAGAATTGAATCATCTGGACTTGTGTCTGTGGGGACAACTAAAACTCCTTGTGTATGCAGCTCCTGTTGACAACAAAGAGGCACATCACCTTCACACGTGGATGTCTGTCAGACTATCTGCAAATACTCCAGCATCTTTAAACAGGTACAGTGATCCATGATGAGACACACCAAGGCATGCAGTGAATCTTGTGGAGGGCATTCTCAGCAATTAAATGTTTCTGGACACATGTCAATACAAACATTTCGTTTCTTCTTCTTTTAGTATATGGAACTCATGCCCAAAGTCTGTCCGCACCCTTCAATTACACCTTGTATACTAACTTATTCAATAAGCTAACCCTCGTGCCAGTTCCATGTGCTTCGAGATAGTCCACTGAGGTGGGCTTGATACCGATCTCTTCATAAAGCTGCTCCATTAACTGTGTCTGCCTCTCTCGGGAAGGGTACGTTATGCCCTTGTCCTTGTAACCGTCACTGTTAGTCTTGGCGTGCAGCACCTTTGCATAAACACGCTTAGCATCCTGGGCTTTCTGCAGGAACATAACACAGACGGCCTCACTCCGCACATAGCCATTAGCTGCACAACCAACCAACCAACCAAGTCAGGATGTCTGCTTCTATACAACTCTCAGACAATGTGATTGACTGATTCATTCATTCATTTTTTATACTACACATATGTGAGACTCACTTTCAGAGTTCAAGATGAGACTGAGATGAGAACTTTGAAAAATTCTGGCAATGAACACATGAACAATAACTCTCTCTACTATACAAAAATGTTTTGTCTTATTCACACCACTAACCACTTTTCTAAAGTGTACTACTTTTCTCTTTGTCATCAGCCACTGAGTCCACGTACAGATATTCACATGAGGAGCTGCCAAATAGAAGAAGGACATATTTTTTTGATAAGTTTATTCATACTAGTATTGCCAACATTACGATTCTGATGGACTGGGCACTTTCATGCTACGGAGCAAAGCATTTACCTAAAAATTCTCAAAGTCTACGAGTGAAAACTCAAAGAAGAATATAGTCTTTCAGGCTACAATGGCATAACATAGCTGGTAGTTGCTAATCTGGTAAACAAATTCCCATCTTTCATGAAACCTGAAGGTTCATAACAATAAGAGCTACAAATCTCACACCATCCATTTTAATATTATCATCCAAACTATGCCTAGATATTCCATGTGATCTTTATGCTTCACATTATCTGACTAAAATTTTGTATGCATTTCTCAACTTCTAATAAGCCTCGTGAGGATAATTGAGGAGCTATTTCAAGGGAACGGCGGCTCCGGTCTAGAAAACAGAAATTAATGGCCGTGGGGATTCGTTGTGCTGACCACGCGACACCCTCTATCTGCAAAATTTGGCACTAACTTCACCGAGAAGCGGCGGTCACTCCATCAGTATAGTTCACTTGTGGACTAAGACCATGACTTTTTATTTTTGTTTATTTCTCAATTGCCCAGTGATGCCACATGACCCACCCAGCTTGCCCTCCCTGAATGCATTATCCTAACATTGTCTGGTGAACAGTACACATTACAAAACTTCTCATTATGTAATTTCCTGTGCTCTCTTGTCACTGCCTTTCTCTTAAGCCCAGATAATCCGCTCTGCATTTCCCCCTAGTGGAGGGAGGACGAGAGGGGGAGAGGGACAGAGACCAACTTCGTACGAGATTTATCAGTCCCTTGGAGCCTAATGTCCAGCATGGNTTTTTTATCAGTAGCAGAGTCTATTACTATAAACACACCAAACAATGATAATATAATTGATATTTGTAATAAATCTAATAAATATTTAACAGATATATTCATAAATACCTTCCCTCTTATTAATTATAGTTATGCTACAACCAATGAAATTGGAAAAATCATAGACAAATTGAAAACGACTAACTCATATGGTTATGATGAGATCCCTATCAAAATACTAAAAAGTTGTAAACATTTTATTACTTCACCTTTAACTTATATAATTAATAGATCGTTATCTATCCCTGATAGACTCAAATTTTCTGAGATAAAACCTATATACAAGAATGGTGATAAAAATCTTATCAGTAACTATAGACCCATATCATTATTGACTTCTTTCTCTAAGATATTTGAAAGAGTGCTGTTTGCAAGACTTTGTCATCATCTGACTAACAATAACGTGTTGGCGAGTGAACAGTTTGGATTTCGACCTGATTCTTCCACTGAAAAGGCTATCAATAGACTGCTTGACCAGATTTTAACTGCCCTAAATGTTGGTCAAAATGTGGGCGTAATATTTTGCGACTTGAGAAAAGCGTTTGATTGTGTGACTCACAAGATCTTATTGTCTAAATTGGAATTTTATGGTNATTGGAAGAGTATTTTGTGAATTTTAATAGGAAGAGTAAACTTAATGCTGGTTATTTTCTTGGGTTTTAGTTGTATTATTTTATTATATCTGTATGATTAGCATTGTGCTGTATTTTATTGTTGTTTCTTTTATATATTTGGAAGTGTATTTTGAGTATTTTTGATAGGAAGGGTTGAATTGATACTCGTTATGTTTTTTATGATCTCAGTAGTATTATTTAACATATCTGTATATTGACTTGGTACCTTGTACTGTTTTTATTTATGTGTTTTGTTTAGTATTAATCTGATATGGTCATATTCATATAATTTGTACAAAGGTGTTAACAGTTTTAAATTGAATCTGAAGAATTCTAGTCTTGTTACTCACTTCATGTATTGGAAGAGTATTTTGTGAATTTTAATAGGAAGAGTAAACTTAATGCTGGTTATTTTCTTGGGTTTTAGTTGTATTATTTTATTATATCTGTATGATTAGCATTGTGCTGTATTTTATTGTTGTTTCTTTTATATATTTGGAAGTGTATTTTGAGTATTTTTGATAGGAAGGGTTGAATTGATACTCGTTATGTTTTTTATGATCTCAGTAGTATTATTTAACATATCTGTATATTGACTTGGTACCTTGTACTGTTTTTATTTATGTGTTTTGTTTAGTATTAATCTGATATGGTCATATTCATATAATTTGTACAAAGGTGTTAACAGTTTTAAATTGAATCTGAAGAATTCTAGTCTTGTTACTCACTTCATGTATTGGAAGAGTATTTTGTGAATTTTAATAGGAAGAGTAAACTTAATGCTGGTTATTTTCTTGGGTTTTAGTTGTATTATTTTATTATATCTGTATGATTAGCATTGTGCTTTATTTTATTGTTGTTTCTTTTATATATTTGGAAGTGTATTTTGAGTATTTTTGATAGGAAGGGTTGAATTGATACTCGTTATGTTTTTTATGATCTCAGTAGTATTATTTAACATATCTGTATATTGACTTGGTACCTTGTACTGTTTTTATTTATGTGTTTTGTTTAGTATTAATCTGATATGGTCATATTCATATAATTTGTACAAAGGTGTTAACAGTTTTAAATTGAATCTGAAGAATTCTAGTCTTGTTACTCACTTCATGTATTGGAAGAGTATTTTGTGAATTTTAATAGGAAGAGTAAACTTAATGCTGGTTATTTTCTTGGGTTTTAGTTGTATTATTTTATTATATCTGTATGATTAGCATTGTGCTTTATTTTATTGTTGTTTCTTTTATATATTTGGAAGTGTATTTTGAGTATTTTTGATAGGAAGGGTTGAATTGATACTCGTTATGTTTTTTATGATCTCAGTAGTATTATTTAACATATCTGTATATTGACTTGGTACCTTGTACTGTTTTTATTTATGTGTTTTGTTTAGTATTAATCTGATATGGTCATATTCATATAATTTGTACAAAGGTGTTAACAGTTTTAAATTGAATCTGAAGAATTCTAGTCTTGTTACTCATTTTATGTATTGGAAGAGTATTTTGTGAATTTTAATAGGAAGAGTAAACTTAATGCTGGTTATTTTCTTGGGTTTTAGTTGTATTATTTTATTATATCTGTATGATTAGCATTGTGCTTTATTTTATTGTTGTTTCTTTTATATATTTGGAAGCGTATTTTGAGTATTTTTGATAGGAAGGGTTGAATTGATACTCGTTATGTTTTTTATGATCTCAGTAGTATTATGTAACATATCTGTATATTGACTTGGTACCTTGTACTGTTTTTATTTATGTGTTTTGTTTGACTTTTCCACATCCTCTGAACGTATTTCTAGTATTGGATTTATGGAAATAAAGACTACGACTACTACTACTACTACTACTACTACTGCTGTTTCGAGGCACTGTGAACACTGACATCCATATTAAATGTAGTTTCTTGGCACATTCCTCTGCTCAGAAAAGAAGATTCAAAAGGGATAAAAGAGTAATTATGTTAGCACTGGATGGTCAGTGGTGACCTACCATCTCTGTCAAAGGGCCTGCAAACACCGTCACGGCTGAGAACGCCGAGACGAGAGAAGAGGAGAGTTATATAAGGGTGGAGACAAAGGTTGCTGCCCCCAACAATAGCAGAATCACAGTACCCATCCCGGATGGCCCTATATGCATGCTCAACTGCATACAGACTGGACGAACATGCTGAATCCAACATGTAACTGGGTCCTGGAACATGACACGATTCTTAAGAACATCAAATATGTTGAAATAAAATGAATCTCTTGAACAAGATACACAAGCTCACTTGCTTGGCTCACTCTTCCAGCTTGATGTTAAAGGCAGTACATTTCTACCAGACTACATGATATCACATCCCAGAATGCAGTACTCTAGTTATTCACTGCACAGAAATGTCTCCAGTTATGCTACAATACATGTAATATAATGATACTAACAATTTTCAGACCACCATAAATGAATCTGTGGATAGGCAGCTCTCCTCAGACCACAAGCTGACAAGGACCAAGGTATATAATTAAGTATGAGAGGAAGTTCTGGGAAAACTGATCATTTACTGTCCTCTGAAATGACATGGACCATATAGAAAGCAAAAAATTAGGGGGACATACACAGACAGACAGACAGACAGGCACACAGCTAGGTGATCTCATGAGAGGCCGCGCCATAGCTTAAGCGGTTAGTCCTTGGCTTCCCACCGCGGCAGCCCGGGTTCGATCTCGGGTCTGGTCAAGTGGGATTTGTGGTGGACAAAGCAGTGCTGGCGCAGGTTTTCTCCGAGTACTTCGGTTTCCCCTGCCAATCTTCATTCCACCAATTGCTCCACAATCACCCTCACCTATCATCTGGGGCTGGTACAATAGGCCAGAAATGGCCGCAATACAAGGGACTTAGTCCCACCCCACTAGCAATAAGAAAAAAAGGAGATCTCACAAACCTCCCTTGCTCTATTCCTGCATGTTAACTTAATCACCATAATCTCAGTTTCAAATCTTCAGCAACTGCAGAGCCTTATACTTACCATGTGTCCCAAGCCAGTAAGACAAGCGGTTGGCAAGCATGGCCCGACTGCAACCTGTGAGACTAAGTCCACTGGTTTGCAACTTATCATAGAACAAAATTCTCTCTGACTCGCTGAAAGATGCACCAATGAAGACCCCAGTGTTTTGTCCCTTTAGAAGCTGAGGGTTGACACCTTAACATAAAAATTGCCGCCATCATAAATACAGTACACATGATTCTGTAATACATGAATATTATTTGACAGCTGTTTGGAAATCATTCCGCCCTTCCATGAAAGACAAACACGCTTCTTGCTTCAGCCCTTCCCCACCATGTCAAGGCCTGCCTACACATCCAAAACAGAGCCAACTGAGACTGCAGCAGACAACAATACTTCTCCATCTATATGAATGAATTCGTACCACCTCCATAACAACATATTCACAAGAAGAAGTTCCTTTTCAGGAAAGAGAAAATATGAAACATAAACTTTAACACAATTATTGACTTTCTGGACATAATCCATCATCCCACTTTTAATTTAAAACTGGCCTTTTTGAGACTGGACTCTGTCTCCATCCTGGCGTAGCAGCCCACTCAGTTTCGACCATAGAGAGAGTGTCCACCTCTGGACACCAGAAACAACACAAGGCAAGATATACAGTGCATTCAGTTAAGGAGGAAACTTCGCAACACCGCTGACCCGGCCCAACATTCCTCACAGATTGCTGCTGTAACTGCCGATAGCAGAATGAGTCATTAGCGCTGACAGACACGCGCCGTTACAGTTACAGTTACAGCAGCAATCTGCGAGGAATGTTGGGCTGGGTCAGCGGTGTTGCGAAGTTTCCTCCTTGATTGAACACCCTGTACAAACCAACACCAATATAAACCATTCGAAGCAGTTACGGCAAACATTATAGAAGTCTACATACATTAGGCCATGCATAATAATTCAATGACCAGAGTCCGTAAAATCAGAGTACTATTAAAATAGAAGCCAGCAATAAAGAGTAAAATTCTAAAAGAGAATATTACAAAATCATTGATAGGACATATTCTATCAACCTTTAAAATCAGAGATAAGACTACTCTCACTGATGGTTTATGTTGTGTTTGGTTTATATATCCTATCTTGTGTTGGTTCTAGTGTCTAGAGATAGGGACTAGCTCTACTGACTGGACACAACTGAATAACTTCAACCCCCAAGGCCAAAACAGAGTCCAGACTCTGACACATCTTTAAATTAAAAACAGGTTGATGGAAACTGTCCAAAAAGTCAACAATTGTATTAATATAACTTCATCCCAAGCATGGCATCTACAACATTTTTGATGGGAATGTTCTAACCTAGCACCAATCTACAACAACCTATCCAATAACCTCCCTCAACGGCTTACATAATGCAATATACAGAGCAGTTAATGACTTGATGTCTTAACTTCAAAAGCTTACGAGTATACCTGTGATCACTCAAAGTGCGAAACATTACAAAGATGTCAGACTGATTCTCAGTGGCTACGGCTTTATCATTACTCACATGTTGAAAAATGAAATATAAGTGAACAAGGAATTTACATAGAGCTTTCATCGCTGAATGCACAATAAGTGTTAAAATGACCAACCTCAGTTTCAATGTGTATTCTGACTCATTTGCAAATCAACTGTGAACGTTACATCTCTTCATGAGGTTTACCCAAAATGCAATACGAGCAATGCACCTCAGTTTCCACTTTTTACTGATATATTAGATGTAGTGTAATGTGATAATGTGAGATTTCTAACCTGCATCCACCACAGCCTCATACGTTCTCTCCAGCAGCAGTCGACACTGTGGGTCCATAACTTGTGCTTGTTTATAGTGAACACCAAAGAATGATGCATCAAATTTAACGATATTATATAACTTCCCAGAACGTGAAGGGATCTCGGGGTGATCTGTGAAAACAGTATTTATTATAAAACACTGATTTACCCATTGCCATATCACTTAAATCATTATGCTCTGCCACTATAACACCACTTCATTTAAGGCATACAACAAAACACAATAATTCTAGATTTTATCAAAATTTGATGAATATTAAAAACAGAGAGATCCAAAAACAGTATAAAATGACAACCTATAAAATATATTTTACAATGATACAGAAATATAGTGCAAAAACTTGCTCCCTCACAAACAGATAAGGTAAAAAGAATGATAAAGTTATCCATGTAACTGGCCATGGAGGCCCATAGCGTTGTGAGATACTGAGGCTCCCACATCTTCTAGAGAGTTGGCTCACAGATGGCAGTAAGGTTGTCAGCCTTATGCACCAGCTGCCCTCTATCCCCAGGAGAATTCATGGCACTCATTTCTGTCAGAGGGCGAGTCGGCCCCAGGGCCATAGTGCACCTGGAAGGATTAGGTAAAAACAGGAAGAGAATTTGTAATTAAATTCCTATGCAAAGAGCTGGAGTTGCATACCATCTTCTAGAATACGTGACACATGTCTTGCCTATCCTCTGTTATCCTTTGAAAGTTAAAAGTTACTTGAAGAAGTACTGTGGGTTTTCTGTGCAATTTCATTTACTTGTATATGCATTCCTCTTCTCCCCCATTCGTGCTACATACCCTGCTCATCTCATCATCCTTGACTTGATCGCTCTAATTTTACTTGGTGAAGAGTACAAGTTATGAAGCTCCTCATTATGCAGTTTTCTCCAACCTCCTGTCACTTCATCACTCTTCGATCAAAATATTCTCCTCAACACCCTGTTCTCAAACACCTTCAGTCTATGTTCCTCCTTAATGTCAGAGACCAAGTTTCACATCCATACAGAACCACAGGCATAATTATAGTTTTGTATATTCAAATTTTTATGTTTTGAGACAGCAGACAGGAAGACAAAACGTTCTGGACTGAAGGGCAGCAAGCATTACCCGAGTTCAATCTCCTCTTAATTTCCTCCTGAATCAGGTTTTGCTTTATCATCATTCCCAAATATCTGAACTGTGCCACATTTTCAAAACATGTTTCCTATCCTGATGTCATGATTTTGCCCTGCATTCTGGTGACGAGATAGCAACATGTACTTAGTTTTCTCTGTGTTTACTTCTAGACCAACCTCCTTACTTGTGTCAATTAAAGTTTGTGTGTTTTTCTTTATCGTATCTACATATCACCCAGTAGATTCACATCATTGGCATAGGCCAACAGCTGATGTGTCCCGTTTAAATTCAGTCCCACCTGGTTTTCCTGGACCTTCCTAATGGCATATTCTTAAGCAAAGTTGAAAAGGAGTGGTGATAAAGCATCTCCTTGTTTTAGACCATTCTGGATAGGAAATTTATCAGACAGCTGTTTACCTACACAGACTTTACTATATGTTTCATTTAAACACATTTCAATCAGCCTAACTAGTTTCATGGGTACCTGAAACTCTATCAGAATAATGTACAATACTTCCCTCCTAACTGAATCAAAGGCTTTCTTGAAGTCTATGAATAACTGATGTACGAGTGCTGTCTCATTGTACTCCCATTTTTTTCCAGTATCTGACAAATGCAAAAGATCTGATTAGTAGTTGATCTGTTATGTTGAAACCCACACTGATAATCCCCAATAATTTCATCTGTAAATGGACTTAACCTTGAGAGAAGAATATTGGACAAAATTTTATATGAAGTTGAAAGCAGTGATATCCCATGACAATTACTACAGTCAGGTTTATCACCCCTATTGTGAACTGTTAACAGACTCTTTCCTTGGATCAGGCAATTCTTCCTTATGCCAAACAGAATTAATGAGCTTATGGACCTCAGACCATAACGTTTCAGCTCCTGCTTGAATCAGTTCTCCTGGAATTTAGTGACTACCTGGCGATTTATAACTTTTCAACTTTGCAATAGCAATTCCAACCTCAAAAGGGCTAGAACCAGGTACTAATGGCTCAGCTGTATGTATTTCTGTCTGCCTAACATCACTGACCCTATGCACATTCAGTAACTGAGAGAAGTAGTTCTTCCACCTATTCAAAATGTTGTGGGAATCTGCAAGCAGATCACCATTCTCATCCTTCAGAAAGTTACTGCTAGGCTGGTAACCCCTCTTAAGTCATTTATTCCTCTATACAGGTCTCTAATGTTTTTGCTCTTACTGTTTGTTGCAAGCTTGTCAATTTTCTGTTTCAGATATTCCCTCTTTTATTCCTCAAATGCCTGCTGGTTTCACGTCTTATATTGTTCAGATTATCCCCATTAAATCGCTTGGATCCTGTAACCATTGCAATTTTGCTTTTTTCCTTTGGTCTAACAATTCTGAGCATTCTTCACCGAACCATGGCTTATGCTTCTTCAATTCATAATGCCCTAGACTATCTCTGGCAGAAATTTTGATATTCTAATAGTTTCACAAACTCTATTAATATCCACCTCAGTGTCTAAATTGTCCAAAGTTGTGAACCTATTTGAGATTCCAACACGATACTGCTCTTTACCCTCTACCTTGTTTAATTTCTTGAGATTGAACCTCTCCATATGAAATCTGTGTGCTGTTTGTTTGCTCACTGCCAGTTTCTCCCTAAATTCTGCCAGCACTAGACATTGGTCAGTATCACGATCTTCTGCCCTGAATGATCGGACATCAAGTACACTTGAGTGCCATCTCCTATCTCTCAAAATATGATCTATTTCATTGTGTATCTTCCCATCAGGAGATGTCCAAGTAAATTTATGGACATTAAGATGTTGGAACATTGTACTTTTGACAGTAAGATTTTTTGATGTGGCAAAGTTTACTACTCTAACTCCATTATCATTACTAATCTCATGCAAACTCTCATTCCCAATCATTGGTTTGAAAATGTCTTCCCTCCCTACTTTGGCAATGAAATCTCCTAGCGAAGTTTTTGTATGGTGTTTAGGGAATTTATTGAATACATGTTCTAGTTCTAGTTCTAGTTCTATTTAGGGAATTTACTGAATACATGTTCTAGTTCTAGTTCTATTTCAGGAATTTACTGAATACATGTTCTAGTTCTAGTTCTATTTAGGGAATTTACCGAATACATGTTCTAGTTCTAGTTCTAGTTCTAGTTCTATTTAGGGAATTTACTGAATACATGTTCTAGTTCTAGTTTTACAAAGAACTAGAACACAAACTACAGTGAAGGTGATATTCTATTTTAAAATAAAATAAGAACTGACCTAACTTCCAGCGCCGATCATCAATTGTCGTCATATTCACACTGTCAATGAGATTATCCCGAAATTGGTACACATTTTCAGACTCGGGAAAACAGCCTGAGATCCCTGAAATGACAACCTCTTCACCAAGCGGAAGTTGCGACAATCGTGGTCTTGCATCAGTAGGGACAGGCATGGCTCACAGCAACAGTGGAATTCACTGCAAATAAAAACGGTTCACTGAACAGGAATAGCTTACAACTTAAGATGTGAGCATGGACAAAAAGAAAAATGATGCTACAAAGTGAAACTGATATATGTGTGACTGTCAGTCTACATATAATGAGCGGTTTGTGCTCAAAAACGCCATAAGAAACCATGAACTAAAGAGGTTAGCCATGTATAATAAGTTCCCAGAGTTTCAGCAATAACAAAGAAATTGATTTTCATCTTCTACCCAATTACAAAAATAATCTTGGATGGTTCATGAACTGCCAATTAACTGGGCATAGCATTCTCTGGTGTGATGCACAAAGGTAAAGGTAAAGCTATCCTTGTAACAGGCCGTGGAGACCCAAAGGTTTGTGAGACATTGAGACTCCCACATTTTTCTAGACAACTGGCTCACAGATAGCAGGGAGGTGGTCAATCTTACACACCAGCCGCTCATTACCCGCAGGAAGATTCCTGGCACTCATTTCTGTTAGATGCTGAGTTGACCCCACTGCGGCTGGAAGGATTAGGTCAATTGAAAAATCCAGTGACTTCACTGGGACTCGAACCCATGTCCTTCCGGCATGTAGCATAGTGCCTCCAACCAACTACATTACCGTGTGCCCAAAACCTAGCTAAATATAACAACACTTTCTGCTATTTGCTGTACAGTAAACTGTACCTGGGGATATGTTCAGATTATGACATCACTTAACAGCAGGAGACAACATAACTTGTCAGGTAATGCACATATCTGAATTATATGCTGCAGCTAGCGCTTGAACACAAAATGTAGTGAAAACTGTCTACAATGAACCATGTACTAAACAGAAAACTGCCCACAGCAGAACTTCCTTTTGGTCTCATGAATTAAAGTTTTGTATAGCTATAACCAGTGAGCAACGAGAGCACAGTCAGTATAGCGAGTGGCAATGGGGTGGATGACTGAGGGGTCAAAGTTCAAGTCCTGGAACAGCGAAGAATTTTCTCTTCTCCATGTTGTCCAGACTGGCTCTGGGGCCCACCCAGCCTCCTATCCAATGGGTACAGGGGACTCTTTCCAAGGGGGTAAAGCGGCCGGAGCGTGAAGTTGATCACTCACCTCCAAATAGTGCCAAGATCAGGAAAACATGTATCTATACGAGTACATCCACTCCCACAAGTTTTCATGACATAAGTTAGGCACAGGGACAATTTTGCTTTTTATAGCAATAATATGCATTCAAAGAAGAAGTATTTTAAACTTACACAGCGTTCTTGCAGAACCTTGTGATCTTCTTGTCACCCCACAGTTCAATGAAGATTTCTGCCAGGCACAAACCGTTTTTGTAAGGCATGTTCTCTGCCACGTGACTGTCCTTGAATGGCAAACAGGATATTACACACGCAAACAGACCATATATATCATATATACATCTACATATAATTGTAATAGCAATTACTACTTAAATTACTCCCCGTTTCCCTGAGGGTGTGAACTGAATTCATCTGGCTTGAATATGAACTAGTGGTGGGCTAATGTGAACAAGCTCATGAACCTTTGGGGTCCATAAAATGCACGGAAATTCTTGAGAAGCTGAGCAATTATTAGCTTCTCAAGATGGACTCTTGCTTTGTGGAATTAGACAAACTGAAAAAAAAAAACCATGTAAGGAAGCAGCCAATGCCTGTTTTAGACTGCTTTCCCAGAACTTTCCTGCAAAGGTTCAGGAAAAAAAAAAGCCTCTGGCACACTAGCAAATCCTTGCATAAAAATAAAAACCAAGGACTTCCAAAATATTGTCATAAGTTTAATGCTCCGTGACTAATAATAATGGGATTCTGGAGTGGATGATTGGATTTATTAACACCTTCTTTTATAATCTCTCTTAATCACAATGAATTATAGCACTATCGCTAATCTACCCACTTCATGAATCACTCAAGACACCATTCTCCATTGTACTCAGAGTCAGAGTAAGAGAATCAGAGTTACTTCAGGACCAGAGGTTTACCTCCCATCAGTTAGTATTGGCGACAAGCCCCTTGAGACCCACGACCAGCAATTCTTTCTTACCAACTGAATACTTGCGGTTATAGCCCTTACATAACATCCTCTCTGACTAGAGGATGGGTCTGTCATTTACAATTGCTACTGGCCATCACCAGCATAGTCATTCTAGGGTCCAAGTCCCGCGAAACTCATGATCATAATTTACTGTCTCAGGTTCGTGACTCCCCCAACCTGGAGGGGGAGGTCCCAGTATTTATATCCCCCAGGAACAGGGTGGCCCAGTTATACCCCCATGCACTGGGTTCCCTTTTCATTGTCTCCTACAACTCATAGGGCTATGGTGGAGTTATTTGACCCCACCTCCACACAGGGTTCTCTGTTGTATTCAAAGTCAAAGTCACACTGCGACTGACAGTCAGTCAGTCAGTCAGTCAGTCACTAAGTCTTGGTGTCGAACCCCATCTTGGGCTCATGACCAGATATTTATTACTGTTTGACAGTTACTGTCTTGTCTTTGTGGGACAGCCTCTCTGAGGAGAGGAAGGGTCTGTCTTTTGTATATGCTGCTGGCCCTTGCCAGCACAGTCTTTCTCATGTCCAAATCCCTTGGGACTCGCAACCATATTTTATAATGTCTCAGATTTGAGACTTCCCTTTTTGTGCCACCTGCAACTTGCAAGGTCACAGTGGAGGTATTGGACCCCACCTCCAAACACGTCTCCATTGTATTCTGTTCTGTGTCCTCTTTTACTTTCTATGCAAGGACCCCACGGAAAACACGTGTCACAAATGCATGTTTACTGACCTGTTACCTAGCAATGGAGGTCCTTCTATTGTTGAGAGCGTAATTTCGGGAATGTGTTTACTAAACCGTTGCCTAGCAATGGTCATATACGCCACAATATTAAGCTCAAACTTTAAGCTCTACATCATGTTATCCTGTAAAATAACTGGTTACACGAATTTAACTACAAGTCATGTAGCTGTTTGTCATATTCCAACCTTTTGACAGGAAATGGAGACACAATATAAAGCACTGTATGAGGCTGGTTCAAGGTTGACCAAGTAAACCTTGACCTAATGTTACCTTCATCAAATTTTCATATGTGAACAAGCACTGGCATGCAGAAACATTAATCTACATTAAGAGTTTCCCAAAGTCTTTTTTTTTCCCTGAATCACTTGATGCAGTCATTCTGAAGCAAATCACAGTAACACTGCATGTTAAATGTTACATGCAGAAGAAAATCAACAAGAATTAATCCTTCTGAATCCCAAAACACACAGCTGAGCGCTGTTTTCACTTCTTTATGGTCTTCAGAAAACTTACTGTACAGATTACAGACTGCTGAGCATGAGAAGCTCTCTTCCCCAGTCTGCCTTTAACCTATGAATAATTTCTCATTCACTAGGAGGCTGATGACACAGCACTGTTCTGCACTAGGAGTGAACAGGTCTGATACCATTTTGTACCATTTTGGGCACCATATGGGAGGTGGTTAACACAAAAGCCACAACTTATCCTCACATATATCATTACTTAATCTAATCTAACAACCTAGCCTAACCTAACCTAATTTTAAGTTTTCAAACCTGGTTTAACCTATTTCCCTTCATAATGGCAAGCACACGTCTTACAAGATCATGCTATGTATGTTTACATATGTACATACTCTAAACTTCTGCTCAAATATACTGATTTTTAGGAAATATGGCATGAACGTTATACCAATGGAGGTCACCCCTACCATACCAATTTCAGTCACCTATAATTATAGGTGACTGAAATTTTGTTTCAGGTGACTGAAATATTTTGTTGCTACCGATTATAATCGGTAGCAACAAAATAACACAAGCGTGAACTGCTGAGGTGGGAGCGGCATTAACACCACGTAATACAGTAATGAAATAGTCCATGGAATATAACTTCTAAAAATATGCAACTTCCGTTACCGTAGTTCTATTATTCTTTTCTAACACTCCTACGTGACGGTCATTCTAAATGTTCATTTATTTTTGCTTTTAGCCTGAGAGAGATTGGGATGGGCAGACACGCTGCACGCATGGCAGAGATGAGGAATACACACATTATACGGACACGAAAAACCTCGTGGGAGGAGCTACGGTTGGACAATTTTAAAATATAAATTTCGGCACAATCTTTTCCTATCACGACCATAAAACACACATTGACACCTCATATTTTCGCTTCGCACAGTGCGGCACAGGGTATAGAATTTAAACCAACTTAATATAGAGGACATAGAGTGATATAATACATCATAGTTTTTCGTAACACAGGCTACAGGGTAAATCATTTTTATACGGCGTTATACATAGTAAAAAAAATGTTTTACATTAAGTTGCATTTCGGGATTTGTCGTCACTTAGCAGTCGTTTCCTGTGCCATATTCTATTGCGTCATTCTAGTTGATGTAACGCCGTTATACAACATAAGTTAACTGAATTCCAAAAAAAAAAAATAAAATAAAATAATGTAATATCCTTACAGAACAGCTGACACCATAACGAAACACGTGTGCCTCAATTTCCAACATTTATTATATTGAATCACTTTACAATTCGTGTTGAAATGCTGAACATGAACAGGCACAGTAGCCTAGATAGCCCTGAAGATAATCACGTTCCTTCCCTCTACACCACGAAACCAAATACCCAAAATAACTTCAACTCACGTTACAAAACAACAACTTTTCAAGTGGTTAATCCCTGGCTATCCCCGGTCTGAGAACCAAACGGAAGCAGGAATCAGCTGTCGGAACGAAAATGGCGGCATAATTCACATAACGTTCAATTTTTTTCGTTGCGTATTTTATTTAATGATGTTTTATCACCTACATATACCCAGTAGGGATACTTTTCTTCCACATCATGTCTATAACAGTTCGGAGGCCCCACCCAGCATATTATCCCCAGGGTTTTAAGTGAAGAAATAAGTACTAAGAGATTCTTCCATATCTTCACATAGCAAATCTGTTTGTCTGGCACAGCAGGCAATTGGCTGTTTTATTACGTGTATTTTTCAATGCCACACTCTTCCTTACTAAGTTTTTTTATTTTCAGCTTAAAGCTTTTAATGAAGTTAATAGAAAGTCCGTCGAGTGTAACAATTTGTAGGTCACTTCTTTATCGCTTCTGCCTTACATGTTTCGGTTTGACACAACCATCATCAGAGGCACTTACTACAATTATGAAAACACTGTCGTTGTTTATGATGTACACATTTATGTTTTTTGTGTGGACACTGCTACGATATGTCGACGTGTAAAAGCACAACACTTGCTAGGATAGTTGAGTGCACTATCAATTCTCACTTTCTTTCCGAAACTGCCCTCAAGTTAAAACGCCAATGTTAAATTATTTAAAAATTGGCGTTTTAACTTGAGGGCAGTTTCGGAAGGAAAGTGAGAATTGATAGTGCACTCAACTATCCTAGCAAGTGTTGTGCTTTTACACGTCGACATATCGTAGCAGTGTCCGCACAACAAACATAAATGTGTACATCATAAACAACGACAGTGTTTTCATAATTGTGGTAAGTGCCTCTGATGATGGTTGTGTCAAACCGAAACATGTAAGGCAGAAGCGATAAAGAAGTGACCTACAAATTGTTACACTCGACGGACTTTCTATTAACTTTGTGATTGATAGTGTAACGGACCAAAAATGAAACAATTCAAAAATCTTTTAATGAAGTTTTTATCTTCTTCTTTAACGATTGTTCTTTCCTTTTCTCGTGGTTTGGCGTTACTTTCCTGTAATTCACTGAACTTAGCATCCACTCTCCTCTGTAATTTATCACTACTGTGTTGTAATTTGTTTATTTCAGACTCTACGCTGATTTATAATTTAGTATTACCCTCCTGCAAATTGTTTGCTTTAGCGTATACGCTGGATTGGAGGAATTTACTGCTCTCCTTAATGGCTGCTATCATGCCTGCGAAGAAGTGGCTTGGGTCTGCAGTTGGGGGTTTCCCTTGTACCTTCTCCCCTAATTTCTATAACGTAGGACTGGCGTAATTCTGACTCTGACATTCCCAAGTCAGTGGACTTGAAATGTACTTCCTGGTGAGTAGCCAGATTCCCTTCGGGTTGCACAACACTACTGCCTAATCATTCTGGCTGATCAGTAGGCCAATCACACGCGTTCTCCCCCGCCGTGAATTCGCGATCTTCCTGATTAATTAATCAGTTTGGTACGAAGAGTGCTCTTCGCCATGATCCACTTGTAGACACTAACCTCACGCAGCTGAAGATATACTACGCCTGGAGCTGGTGAACATGTAGATTGCAGCTCCGTCTGCCTTGACCCCTAGCCAGGTGAGGTGACTATCTCCTTAATCCGAACGGATTGCACAACAGCTCTAAATTTGGTGGCATTGTTCATGGAGCTGAGCCCTTCGTGAGAAGCCACCAGTTGTGCAGCTATTCAAGAACTTCCCAGCATTTTATGGAACCCGAAGGTTCATTGCCGTATTCATAAGAGCCCTCCACTTGTCTCTATCCTGAGCCAGCTCAATCCAGTCCATACCATCCCATCTTATTTCTCTAAGATCCATTTTAATTAATCCACCCACCTACGTCTTGGTCTTCCTAGTGGTCTCTTTCCTTTTGGCTTTCCCACCAATATCATATATGCATTCTTTTTCGCTCTCATTCGTTCTATATGCCCTGCCCATCTCATCTTTCTTTATTTGATCATTCTAATTATACCTGGAGAAGAGTACAAGTTATGAAGCCCCATATTATGCAGTTTTCTCCAACCTCCTGTCACTTCATTCCTCTTCGGTCCAAATATTCTCCTCAACAGCCTGTTCTCAAACACCCTCAGTCTATGTTCCTCCCTTAATGTCAGAGACCAAGTTTCACACCCATACAGAACCACAGGCAAAATTACAATTTTGCATATTCCAATTTTTATGTTTTTATACAGCAGACGAGAAGACAAAGGGTTCTGGACTGAATGGTAGCAAGCATTACCCAAATTCAATTTCCTCTTAACTTCCTCCTGAATCAGGTTTTGATTTGTTATCGTCGTTCCCAAGTATGTGAACTGTGCCACATTTTCAAAACATCTGTTGGCTATCTCCATGTCATGATTTTGCCCTGCATTTTGTTGACGAGACAGCAACATGTACTTAGTTTCCTCTGTGTTTACTTCTAGACTAACCTCTTTACTTGCGGCAAGTAAAGTTTGTGTGTTTTTCTTTATGGTATCTACATTATCACCCAGCAGATTCACATCATCGGCATAGACCAACAACTGATGTGTCCCATTTAATTTCAGTCCTATCTGGTTTTCCTGGACTTTCCCAATGGCATATTCTTAAGCAAAGTTAAAAAGTAGTGGCGTTTAAGCCTCTCCTTGTTTTTGACCATTTCGGCTGTCCGCGACTACTTTTTCGACATATTCGCAGCTAGCCTCCATAGCTGGAGACCGTCTCCCCCACCTGCAACCTCACGACGCGCAATGGCGTGGTGACAAGGGACCCGCCTAACACGGATTTTTCATTATAATGTCACTGAACAGTTACAGTACGGAGCTGTTCTCGTTGTAATCAACGGGATTTTTTCTTGTTTGGTATGTGAAACTCGTACCCAAAATTTGTCCGCACCTTTCAGTTACTCTCTATATAAGTATGCTTTCTTTAAGACTTCAAACTTAGAAAACAAATTCCCTCCAAATGTCTCTTGACTGTGTAATCGAGATTAAATTCCAACAAATTTTTATAAACACCGAACATTTCCATACTTGGCACTTGTAGGTTACATACAAAGAAACCGTATAAATCAGTTATCATAATGAACCCCATCATCAGTACTTCAAGATCACGTTAACACTGAGCCAACTCACTTCGCCTCATCAAAGTTCATGATTACCCTTGTGTAATGAGAACAAATAGCCGAAGTGTTCTGGTATGTCCACAGAAAACAAAGGCAAACTTCTTCCGTGCACAGTTGGTTCAGGAAATCATCAATTATTCGCGGACAAGCAAAATTATCTGCCTATATGAATTGCAAATACCGGAAGCCTGACGTTACTTAGTCGGTGTTCAGCAAGAAGGGCTTAAGTACAAAATCGTTTCTAAGTGAAAGGAGCCAGCTGCAGTCTCTTTGGAGAACACATGACAGAATTTTGATGGAATGACAAAGGAAAATTACGAGACACTTCTGTCAGAATAGCGTTTCCTTAATTCGAACTCGGGACCTTGAGATATGAAGTAAGATTATTAACTGCTTCAATTCGACAAACCTTAACATCTTTCAAATTAAATATTTTTGTGACTTAAGTTTTGGCTACCTTGCTCGTAATTTTAATTGCAGAGGATAAAACTTGAACTGTGCCAGTGGTTAACAAACTACCATGCCATGAAGATGTATGGGGAGTGGAGGTATAGATCCATACATTCATAACCTTGGAACTAGATGGAAGTGAACGGTCAGCTTCATGACTCAGTGAAAGAGCCTTTCCCCCGAACTCATTCGATAAGGTGCTAAATAGGTTTCAGATCCAGTCTGGACGCTGTGGAGAAGAGGACAATCCATTGACTCTGCCAGGAATCGAAGTCCGATTCCTCGATCACCCAACCCATAGTCGATTCGCTATTCAGAACGGGTTACGCTTGCAAAATGTTGGGTCAAGTCAAGCCGTCAAAGTTTGAAGTAGTTTCTTCTTGTCAAGCGCTGAACATCTGCAAAGACATCGGCTCCCTAGCAACTGAAGGCGGAGCAGCGAAGCGCCCGGAATTGCGGCAGAAAGCAAAGGTGACAATGTCAAGGGTATAACTCGTCCTGAAGAGGCTATTTTAATTCGATTTAGAATTAACATAGAATACATGAACTGCAGGAAAGAACACGCGATAGGATGACAATTGTTTGAGACTTGCTCTGTCATACTGATCAAGTACAAGTATACAAGCAAGTGGATGAGTAACAACTTGAACAAAAAAAAGTACACTGTCATATAAAATTTGTTGCAACGAAATATTTTGTGTTTCCTCAAACTTGTCTTTATTTTGCTGGAAGCTGTTGCAGAAGTAAATATGTCGGACAATATATTTCCTCAATTCTGGAAATATAAGATAATATGCTTGGTTGTTTTAGTGAAACAGCGTGACTCCACAGCGTTCGGCAGTCAGGAAGGGCACGGCTGGACTCCTATTGATAAACCAGAACTTCGTGGCAACGTCAGAGATGCGATCATTGTATAAGTAAGTAAAGCTATCCCTGTAACAGGCCGTGGAGGCCCATAGGGTTGTGAGATGTTCAGGTTCCCACATTTTCTAGACAATCGGCTCAAAGTTGGCGGCAAGGTTGAGAGCTTTACGCGCCTGCCGCCCTTTACCCCCAAGAATATTCCTGGTACTCATTTCTGTTAGAGGCTGAGTCGACCACAGGGCCATAGTGCGGCTGGAAGGATCAAGTAAAAAAAATCCACTACATCGGGATTCGATCCCGCAACCTTCCGGCTTGTAGCATAGTGCCTCGACCAACTACGCTACCTCTTGTTCCCGATTATTGTATATCGCTGTGTAATTAACCACGAAAAAGCATTTCTTCCATAGCAATTCATTATTCCAATACATGCTTCCGAAAGGTTTTCATGGATGTCCATTGAAGGTATCAATAAATGAGTAGGGTCCAATGGTTTTAAGGGAGGAGACCGATGTGTAGGCAACCTGCGACATTTACGATGGCGGAATAGAGCTACATTTAAGTAACGAGTTGCTGAAGAGATGCAATTTGACGTCTTTGTACAGGGGACCTCCAGATGATGGTTACATTTGGGGAATACATCTGGAAAGCGGCACATGGGCTGCAGTGGTCAACGCTATTATTACAGAAAGCTCGAACACAGCAGTGGGCAACTGGTAGAGTGATTGTTGCCGCATCTCACGGTCTCTTCAAGGCGGGTTGTTGCCTGAGTTAAACCATATCCTCGCCGAATGAGCCTTACAAGAGCCTTGTGGTTATGGTTCCTGGCAGCTTGCATTGCTCTCTCACTCAGCCTGTTGTTTGTCGTGGTACTCGCAAAACTCAACCATCCAACCAGTATTACACAAGTACAGCCAAATGTCTATGGAATTTATGGGCAGTAATCCTTGAAGCGACAATATCCAACAGCCTCCCCCCACCCATCAGAGCTGTGTTCCTATGCTGGGTACTATATTGTTACGTCATGAACACTGTTTGTCAGCTTTTCTCACAACCTTCTTAGTAGACCCGGCTCTACAGCAACAGCAGTCCTCTTCAGATCTGGTATCGAGTCTAGAATGGCATCCACATTACCGTCCGCCCTCCCAGGCCTATCTGACGAGAAATACCGTCATCGGATACATTGTCGTTATTTGATAAAGTGTAAAAGCTTACGAGGGAAACATGTTTTCAAAATATAACATGGAGTACTTGAGTTTCACAAAATATATGGACCTTGATGATAACCCTCTTGGTCTGAGGCTTTGATGGCATTTATACAAACTGTCCCGTGGCATCAACGGTTACAGAAAGTTTCTTTATGTTGACACAGTTCGCCGAAATTACTTCGCAAGTGCATGAAGGTGGTCTCCTGGAACTCTGGGTGGAAAATGTGAAGTCCTCTTCAACCCTAGGCTCCGCTGGCAGTTTGAACTGGCTTCAAGGAAAGCAGGTTAAACTGCTGTTGAAACATATGCAGTTGCCCTTAACCTATTTGTTCTCCGGATACTAATTAAAGACAATAACGTTTCTTATCAAGGTCTAACCAAATGTAAAATTCTAATCAACCTCCTCATTATGCAAAGTCTTAACCATTGAGAAGTGATTCATGAACGGCATAATGTATGCTAAATGGCTTTAGATGTCAAAGTAGAAGGTTAACTCTTCATTATTAATATTACGTGTATCTGACACGCACATTACGCTACGTGCTTACATACAGAGGCACTGAACGCTAACTCACTGGCCAAACTGCGTGGAATGGCGGTAAACTTTCAGTCTAGTTTTCCGGAGATGCTCCTCCGAATATCGACAGAGACACCGTCCATACTGGATGAAGACTCCCTTGGTCTCTCCAGTTCCCGCAAGCTTATTCCCGGATATTGGCTTGGTTAGGACAAGAGTTGTGGGTAGGCGCAACTAATTTTAAATGATCCTTCAGAACTAGACGACAACCCATGCACAAGATCATGACCCACAGTCTGTGAAGAAAACACACTCAGTCGGTAATGAATTTGGGTTACGGGGAGTCGCTATCTCCTGGGGTGAGACACCCTCTTACTTACTTACTTACTTACTTACTCATGGAACTGAGCCCTTCTTGAGGAGCCGCCAATTCTGCAGCTACTCAAGTATTTCCGAGCCTTTTATGGAACCCGAAGGTTCATCACCGTGTTCACAAGAGCCCTTCAATGGTCCCTATCCTGAGCCAGATCTATCCAATTCATACCATCCCATCCTATCTCTCTAAGATCCATTCTAATATTGTCCACCCACCTACGCCTTGGTCTTCCCTGTGGTCTCTTTCCTTCTGGCTTTCCCACCAATATCCTATACGCATTCCTCGTCTCCCCCATTCGTGCTACATGACCTGCCCACCTCATCCTCCTTGACTTGATCATTCTAATTATACTTGGAGAAGAGTACAAGTTATGAAGCTCCTCATTATGCAGTTTTCTCCACCCTCCTGTCACTTCATCTCTCTTCGGTCCAAATATTCTCCTCAGCACCCTGTTCTCAAACACCCTCGGTCTATGTTCCTTCCTTAATGTCAGAGACCAAGTTTCACACCCATACAAAACCACAGGCAAAATTATACTTTTGTATATTCTAATTTTTATGTTTTTAGACAGCAGACGAGAAGACAAAAGGTTTTGGACTGAATGGTAGCAAGCATTACCCGAGTTCACTCTCCTCTTAATTTCCTCCTGAATCAGGTTTCGATCTGTTATCGTTGTTCCCAAATATCTGAACTGTGCCACATTTTCAAAACATCTGTTAGCTATCTCCATGTCATGATTTTGCCCTGCATTTTGGTGACGAGACAGTAACACATACTTCGTTTTCTCTGTGTTTACTTCTAGACCAACCTCTTTACTTGCGTCAATTAAAGTTTGTGTGTTTTTCTTTATGGTATCTACATTATCAACCAGTACATTCACATCATCGGCGTAGACCAACAGCTGATGTGTCCCGCTTAATTTCAGTCCGACCTGGTTTCCCTGGACCTTCCTAATTGCATAAAAAGTCAGTATGTTACGAAAATGAGACACCCTATACTCTGACAGAAATTCGCTAGGCTATCGGATGAGCATACTGTCTCAATCTTCAAGGTAGAAAGGTAAATACAGCCTCTTCAGTAATAGGACTCGTTGTTTGGTTGACAGGCACCAACGCTCTGCGGGAACCACACACTGCACCCACTCAACTTGTTCCTCTGGAAAGCTGACACGTTACACGGCGTCACATTCCGGAAAAGCGTAAGCTAAGAAATAATGGGACAGCAGTTGCCATGGTTACTTTTATTTATTGCACATCTATGTTTGCTACATGGGATCCCTGTCACACGGGGTTCCTAGGGCGAGGCAGTCCTCGCAAGTTTAGCTTATTATTACTTGCTGCGTCTTCTCTTCTGGGGCGACACCAGAATATGCGCCTTCAGTTCCCTTAATTATTGCTTCCAGGGCTTGGGCAGCTGGACTCGAACCCAGAGAAACAATTCCTGCAACAAGGAGCAACATTGAAGCGTACTAAATTATAACGTATTTTGCAGTGTAAGTCCACCAATATTGCCACCATCTTCAGGGTAGGCGAGTAAGCTAAGCAAGCAGTAGACAACAGGCTTGCAGGTTACTTGCTTGTCATATGAGCCCACCACTTGAATCTATCTTGAACCAACTTAATTCAGTCCACACCCTCCTACTTTATATATTTATGATCCAGTTTAATATTATCCTCTCACCTATGCGTAAGACTTCTAAATGGTGTTTCCCTTCTGGTGTTTTCAATCTAAATTCAGAATGTACTTCTTAAATATCCCATGTGTGCTACATGTCCTATCACCAACAGTCGATGTCAAGTAGGCTGTAGTCCTGCTTCATAATACGGTTCGAACCTCGGTCCCAAGGCCGGCTACTCTAAGGTTTTCCGTGTGTTTCCTCAGTCCATCCAGGCAAGTTCCTGAAGATTTTCCAAAATTAACCCACAATCGATTCGTTCCGTTGCCTTTAAAGTTTAATATTTACTAATTACCCTATCGACATGTACACTGCGCTCCCGACGTCATCATAAGAGAGACAATAAATACGTGAGTGAGTGCATGCCCCATACATCCCATCTGCTCTGCTCTCATTGTCCTAACAATGCTCATGAAGGCATTACACATTATGAAGGAACCTTGCTACAACGAACTAATGCTCAATCACAAAACAAACTCCGTGGCCTGTAGTCCACAAGCAAACTATACCGACCGAGCGACCGTCGTTTGTCGGCGAAGTTAGTGGCAACTTTTGCGGATAGAGGGTGTCACGTGGTCAGCGCAGAGGATCCCCACGGCCGTTAATCTCGGTTTTCTAGACCGAAGCCGCTACTTTACCATTCAAGTAGTACCTCAATTATCCTCACGAGGCTGAGTGGACCCCGTTCCAGACCCACTACCTCTCAGAATATCTGGTAGCGCCGGGAATCGAACCCGGACCTCTGGATCTGTAACCAAGAACTCTGACCACTAGACCACAGAGGCGGTCCTAAGACTCAATCACACACCCGTTAATATTAGTGCAGGCAAATTACCGTCAGAGTGCAGCACCTGAGGATTCTCTAGAATCTTCCTGTACTCTTGAAGGACGTCCTGAACTGCAACATTTGTAACATAACATAACATAAGTATACTTTGTTCAGGAAAAGGAACATGAATCAGATGTGCGTATAGTTACATGTTACTTACTTGTCACCTTGTATTGTGCCAGAATGTTCTGGATATCTGCAACAAAAGTGACGAACAATGTTTTAACGTTTCAGTTGGTAACACTGATACACGTACTCAAATTCCAATCGTAATACTTGATAATGAAAAATGCAGGTTACAAAATGATGTTCTATTTCAATGAAATGGCTAGAGTTTATGACAGAATATTGCTGGTAGATACACCTATCGGCATAATTAGTACTGCTTGCAAGCAGGACATGCGCACTCGTAATCTCACGGATCAACATTGCGATTTTGTTGTAGGGGAAATTCATCTAATTTGGCAACATTAAGGATACCAAAGAGTGGCCGCAGTGCCAAGCGGAAACATTCAGCATAATTGAGCTAATCACATAAAAAATTTTAATTTAACCCCACACACAGTTTCTGTATGAAAATGAATGTTAAATGGGACATAAGAGTTGTAGTTTGTATAATTCCGTAGTTCTGATGGCAGTTTCGCAATGCCGTTAGGGTTGTCTTTGCCAGAATATACATATTTATGTACGATTTTCAGTCATTTATAAGTAAATATCCATAATTTGTGAAATTGTTGCACTCTTTAGCCCTAACCTTCACCGCTAAAGCATATAAAATAGGGAATATTAGGATACTTTTCTCTGCCGCTCTTTAAAGGGGTGCCAATTAGGAAAACATGTTCCCTCACGTCTAATGCACTCATATGAAACCAGTGAATCTCTGTTGTGTAGCTAGAAATTTTAATGTCACCTTCTGAAGTCAAATTATATTGAAGGCTTCCCTAGACTGGAGTGAAATGAAAAGCCTTTCCTTAAGATTGTTAGGGGTGGAATCTTGCATGCCTTCAGGGCCCTTTACATTGTACAGCACACACTCTAAAATTCGTTCAAGTGGAACTTCCACGGAATTTTCAAAATATTTTAGTTTCTTTTCTCCTGGCGTGATGACAATCTGCAGGACATTCCGGACCAGCGGACGGTGCTGTGCTTATGTGTCACCAGATGGCAGCAGCGTTTGTTTGCAGCAAACCCCAAAATGATTACTGTATGTACTTCGGTTTGTAATATTGGTGAAATATGGTAAAATAAACTGTACATAATTCTGTCATGCATATAAACCAAAACAAAACAGGATATATATAAGCACATTTGTCATATCATCTTAAAACCACGTAAAAAGCAGCAACTGCTCCGTAAGTCTGCATATTCCCGCTTGGTGTTCTTGTATAACGACACAATTTTCTCTTCCCTTCTTTGGTACATTCAGAAATCTTTGCGCTCTTACGTCCCCACTGCAAAGGAAACCCATCAAAAAGCGCGTCAAAATAGCGGTCTAGGGTCTAGGTACTTCGAAATTAGTTGAGTTTCCCCGGAAGACATATAAACTACTTACGTACATCAGCTTCCAAGTTTTAACAGTAAGTGTTCAGAATACGGTCTTCTGGGTTGTGACATCATGTAGATTTTAGGTGGAAACCAATGTTTCGGAGGAAGATCTTGCCTCCGTCTTCAGGTTTTCTCAAGAATGAAGCATCATGCTCCTTATAAATTATGGTATGCACACAAAAGAACACGCGATGTCACAACGCAGAAAATCGGGCACATTATGAACCTATAAATTGCTCTGAGTGAGTTAGAAGGAATTTAATAACATTCCACGTCCGTAGAGATAGTAATTTCACTTTACTTACATTCTGCATATGTCAGCAACTTCGAAACTGAAAATAAATGACATTGCGTTATTTATGTTGTCATTGTTATTGTTATTGTTGGTGGCAGTATTGTTGTTGCCGTCATTATATTATCATAATCATAATTATAATAATAATAATTATTATTATTATTTTTACATCCACTTACCATGCAACATTATTAGCAAAACTTAATTAGAATGTCAGTAACATTTACAACCACCTCATGAAATTTAAAATTCCTGAAGTATATCAAAACCCTTTCCACTTGTATCTACAACGCGAAGGTTTCAAAGTAAGAAAAGGACTATGACAAATCTTAGTATAAGTTACTTGCCGTGCTTTAAGTGGGGGGGGAGGGGGTAGAAGAAGGTATACGCCAGCTGCGCAGTTCATGAACTAAAGAACCTAGTCCTGAGCTAAAGTGTCTACCTAGGTCTGAACTGGAGCGTCTACCTAGTCCTGAAATGGTCTGAACCACAGCACCTACCTAGTTCTGAACTAAAGCGTCTATCTAGTTATGAACTGAAGCGTCTATGTAGTTCTGAACTAAAGTAACTACCTAGTTCTGAACTACAGTGCCTACCTAGATTTGAACTAGGGAGCCTACACTCTTTCGAAAATCCCATTTTGACCCCTTGTTATTTGTTTATATTTAGTAAAGCTTATGATATCTGACAAAATTCAAACTTATTGCGAGTAATTGCAACTCGCTTGCACTTACCTTCTTGAATATGTTCTTGTAGATTGTTCTCTTCAGACCCTGCAATTGAAGTTACTATTACAGCAATAGCATGTGAGGAAACAACAGAAATTCAACACAATACAATTCAGTTCCTTTCTTACAGGGCTCAAATAAAAAGCAGAGCTTGAGTTTGTGTTGTACTCACCAACATAGTTTGCCATGTATCTACGGAAAGTGTAGTATATTGTTGAATCCTCGTAGAAATATTGCTTTAGTTTCTGCACTGTGCCGGGCTGGAGACTAAGTGCCTGTTCTATTTCACGCTGTCCATCTTGAAATGAAATGGTTAATATTAATAAAATGCTTCAAGCAGATGAAAATATTCTTGATTTGTGTAAGCTTCCCCAAAAAACTTTACAGGAATAAATCTCTGGTACTCTTCGTCTAGAACATCTTTGTGGGTATGTCATTACTTGAATAACCAACCTAACCGAAGAAAAGTCCCTGTGTGTACAACGAGATCTCTATTATGGGGATTTTGGTCCCCATTGTATGTTGAAAACAAAATCTAGTGGCTTTCTATTGATGACGTAATGACCTACGTCACTCATGACGCACCATCAAAGGTGTTACAAAAGGAGGTTTGCAACTAGGAATCTCATATTTTTTTCCCACTTATCACGTTCTGGAAATCACCTAAATATTTATGTTATTTTGGTTTACAAATTTCAGAGTTAACCCTCCAGATCCTGAACGCGCACTTAAGCACGTCGTGCCACTGAACAAGCGATCAGGGACTGGACTAACAGAAATCACAAAAAACACTGGGAATCCACAACTGGACTCAAACAGGCAAAAGGATTTATATCAGGACCCTCTGTCAAAAGAATGAAGGACCTGTTAAAATTAAACAGAGACCGACTCAGATGGGTGGTAGGATTACTTACTGGACACTGCCACCTGAAAGGGCACCTTTCCAAACCGGGACTGACAGATGACCCAACCTGTGAAAGGTGCCTACAAGAAGGCGAATCAGCCACACATATCCTATGTGATTGTGAGGCCACAGCTTACTTCAGATTTTTCACCTGGACCAGTTCTTCATGGAACCAAGTGACTATTATGATGCCCCCATAAATAAAGCCCTACATTTCATTCGAAGTGTAGGATTAATAAAGGGTTAATCCAAGGAGGAAGCACAATAGATCATTGAAGGTCGCAGTGCGAGGGCTGGGGCACACCCCTTACACACATACACTTCTATGCCAGCACTCCCGGTTGAAAGGACAGATTAAGAGAACAAAGGGGGAAAGAGCAGGAGATTAAAAATACGTAGAGAAAGATATTATAAAACAGACGGAAGAAAAACAGAACATGAGGAAATAACTTGGTTCTGAAAGGGCTAAGTAATGCAATTGGAAGCTCTGAAAGGAAGGAGACACCTGAACTATTAATTATGTTAATTTTGTCAGTCATTCTAAAACTTCGACTTTGCTAGTGATATCTAGGCTATTGGAACTTCGAGGATATATCTCTCTCTTCTTGCTCCCACTATGGAAGTGAGTGGTCAGCTTCAAGCTCCGGCCGCTTTATCCCCAGATAAAGAGCCCCCGGTACCCAATGGATGGGCCGCAGAACCTCTCTGGACGACGTGGAGAGCAGAAAACTCTTACTGTTACCAGGACTCGAACTCCGAACCCTCGGCTGTCCAGCCTGTAGACTTCTAAGATATATTTAACCAAAACGCGCTGTCTTCTTTAGTAAACTTTGACCATGTCACTCACGTGATGTATACATATATACATACCTTGTACATAGAGTTGTGCTGGATTTTGTAGCACCATCAAATAAAATCTTGCGAACACATAATCTGAAATTAAAATGTTCATATGTTAGTATCAGAACATGAACGAGCGCTTGATAAACAATTCTCGTGCAGTAGATCAGGCTTTTAGACACCAGGGAGCCTCGAGTTCAAACCCAGGTGACTTCATGTGAGATCAGTGGTAAACGAAGTGGCCACGGAACAAGTGTATCTCCGAGTGTCTTCGGATTTACTCCTGATAATTATCACTGATCTGTCATCTGCCCCCTGAAGTGTGTGATAGCCCTGACCACGCAGCACGTTATCATATCCTTGGTCTTAATGTTGGGGCTTCACCTCTAACCAGACCTTCTGTTGCTTATGGATAAGACACTTAAATCCTTTGAAATAAATCCATCTTTAATTCACACAGTAACAAGACAGTATTATTACTGCATGTGCCAAAAACGGATTAGCATTGTGCATGGTCACAAGTGAGGCGTACTCACCGGGAAGTCCAATCCTCTGGAGATAGTCTCGCAACAGTCCGTCTGAAAGCAGAGAAATAAAGAAAAAGTGATCTCAGTAATTAGCAACCAGCGAATCTACAAATCTCGGACCCAATAACCTTAAATGGATGGACCACACTCGGGCCTAATCTACTTTCACCCGGCATCCAATATACAGGGTGATCCAAATTTGTTGGTACAATAATCAAGTGATTGTGAGTCCAGGAAATCCCATTAACATGACTTCAGCTCATAGAATACTTAGGCTTCAGTTTACGTAGCTGTCAACATCGCAATTTCTCGGCTACTGACCTGGAGGTTTCCGTGATTCTCATGGCAACACGGGAGAGTCATGTAATGAATATTCTGTATAAGGAAACATCGAAGTTTGAAAGTAAAACGAAGACGTACCAGATTTAAAGATTTTGATAGAAACTGTAGTAAGAACATCATGTGAAAACTAAGATAAAAGTTATTTTATAATGAAAAATATTGTTCAAATTCTCCGTCTCAGAATTCGGTACATATCTGGGTGTACCGGGTCCGGCTTATCTCTACAAACGCATTAAATTCGAACTTTAAATTAAACATTCACTGTTATAGTTTTAAGAGTGTTAACAAATTAAAACTTAAACCAAAGTTCTGCAGGATGAAATAATTTTTAATATTTTCTTGGATGCTTTGGGGTGTGTCTGATATTTCTCGGCCCTTCAGTTTATTTTTGCGTTGCTGGATATTTGTGTTTATTTTTTTATGAGAAGGTTTATTTCCGGAGGTCACACTAGTGGTCTGATATTCTCAGAGATTCATACATGTTCCAGTCTGACGAATGGGTAAATTTTTCCTTGTACTTAATTAAGCACCATATATGAAGGTGTGTGAGACTGGGTGCAAAGATCCACGCATCCGGAGCAACGGGGGAGATGATGCGGATTAAGCGATGATCCGGATTAGTGAAGCAAAATGTAGCCCTAAAAGACAAAATACTTAGAATACAAATAAATAGAAAATTTTATGATATAAGCGATGCTGAAGAAAATAAACAGAAATATGTCACTGTACAGCCTTCAGTTAAAAACTGTAGAAATACGATACAATACATTTATTCCTCGATAGAAGACTCAGAAGGTGTACTTGTTTCTGAACGTAATGATGCAGGTCTGAAGAGACTGTCATGTTTTTTTCTGAACAGTCAAGTGACTCATCTGACTTCCTAAATGCCATGTTTCTTTTAAAGTACTCAATTGTGAAGAGAATTTTTCATTTTTCATACTTCGATCCGGATTAAATGTAACCGGATTAGTGAGGGCTTCATCTTATTAATAAAGTGATACAAAAACACTTACCGAATTGAAGCGCCTTTACTGCCATGAACACTGAAAAACAATGCACAGTTTTAAAAAGAGATAACTTGAGAGTTTAGGCGTTGGTTCGTCAACGCAGAGTCACTGTGTTCAATCATGAGTTAATTCATCTGAACTCTGTGATGGACGAAGTGGCGGTAACATGTTTGCCTCCAACCTTTTGGTCCTTCCCCGTTAATCTTCATTCCATCACTGCTCTATCACCTGCCCCTGAGGTTTGCGATAGCCCTGACCATGCAGCACCTTATCACAACCTCGGACTATACATTAGGGGCTTCACCTCTGACCCTGTACTTGGCTGGTTACAGAGACAAAAATGTTATCTTTTTACTATTTAGTAAGTATAGAGTGCACATCTATTAGGACTATATAGTTTTTATCTGTGAGGATAAATATATAATATTATTTGTAAGACGTTCGTATTATTCAACTTTATGGTTGCTTGCATTGGATATGAATAAAAGCACTGTAAATAGTAAACATTTGTGTTGACGGTATTGTAGGAATTGCGTGTACGTAACATAGCAAGATGGCTGCAATACAAGATGGCTGCTTTATGTTTGGGCTGGATTTTGTTCGTATTTTAATTAAATAAATCTAGAAATTGAGTCTTATGATTCGTGTCATAACGCGACAATCAAAGGAGCAATAGTGTGCCTGGACGTCAGACACGGCATGTCCACATTAAACTGCAGTATGCTAATCACGTCATTCCTTATCAGTAAGTCATAGATCCGGTGCTCAAATATTACGCACTTCCTGTGACGCTTTCAGTCACCCGTTAGTTTATAATATTTCGTAACAGGTTATGCAACATTTTAAATAATGCAGGTTTTTAGGTTCTGACCGCTGTGGTTATGAAGAGTTCTGTCTTCTGGAACATATTGCCATGTAGTCCGTTGAAAGTCAACCGACGTTTCGGAAGAACATGTCTTCTCCATCTTCAGGTTGGAAGGATAAGCCGAACGAGATACCAACGCGTAGATTTGTTTGCCACTTACTTTCACGTTGGTATCTTGTTCGGCTTATCCTTCCAACCTGAAGATGGAGGCGATATGTTCCTCCGAAACGTCGGTTGACTACCGCGGAGTACATTGCGTTATACCCTAGATGATAATACTTTTCACATTTCATCAATTGCCAACCTTTCCAGATTATATAATTCAGTCATCCGACATCACATGACACTTGTCATGTCAGGGGAACCGGAAATGAGAAGTCAAAGTATACACACGCACACACACACATGTCCCTAACGTCAACCTCAGTTGCCTCCATATGTAGCATCGTACTTACATTTTGGAGCTATTACGTTGAAGAAATTTTTCGGATCCTGAACTGAAATAAAATTAATAATGATTAATAATAATAATAATAATAATAATTCGGTTGCGTATTTATTTACGAGCTACTTGAACAGCACATACATCAATGACAGATTCAGCACGAACACAAAAAAATAAGTACAACTGCCGAATACAACAACCCATATCGACTCACTCGCTCATGGAGCTGAGCCCTTCTTGAGAAACCGTCAAATCTGCAGCTACTCAAGAATTTCTGAGAATTTTATGGAACCCGAAGGTTCATTACCGTCTTCACAAGAGCCCTCCACTGGTCCCTATCCTGAGCCAGATCGACCAGTCCATAACATCCCATTCTGTCTCTCTAAGATCCTTTTAAATATTGTTCACCCTCCTACGCCTTGGTCTTCCCAGTGGTCTCTTTCCTTCTTGCTTTCCCAGCAATATCCTATAACTAATATCAATTACTGTCATTTAAAAGCAAATCCAAATATATCAGCCGATTTACGAATTGTATTAATTGCAGAGACACTTCTGGTTGAATGACAATGATTGCAGGACCAACATTTTCAATGATTAATGATGATGATAATAATCAAGAAGTGGAACGCTGAGACTAGACACCGCCTAGCTCGTGTTCCCTTAATGCAAAGAGAATTTGCAACATGTAAGTCGTCATTTGGGCTTTACATCGAAATCACGCGCTCAGTGATGCTCAAGGAACATGAAGGAGGACGTAACAACATTCCTCAGTGTACAACTCACCCGCAGCGTCTGAACTTCCCACTTGCCTCTCCACGGCTTGAACTGAAAACCAAACAAGAAAGAGTTCACTCAGTATCCAAACAATGAACTGTCGCTAACAATACAAACTTCTCGAATATTAACTCTGTGCAGTCCGGCAGAAACTAACCGACGTTTCGAAGAAACATGCTTCCTCCAACCTGAAGCTGGAGGCAGTGTGTTCCTGTGAATCGTCAGTGAACTGTGGCTAGATGGCGTCACATCATAGAAAATTGTACTCTTCAATATTCTCGGAGACAAATTTGTAGGCTGAGGGCAGTGTAAAAGTCTCTCAGATTATTACGAGAATAAAAGTTACGTGTAATGAAAAGAATAAATTTTAGCAAATTTAATATACGAGTAAAAGCAAGTAAAGCTATCCCTGTAACAGGCCGTGGAGGTCCACAGGGTTGTGAGATGTTGTTCCCACATTTTCTCTAGACAACCAGGTCACAGATGGCGGTAAGGTTGTCAGTCTTACGCGCCGGCCGCCCTTTCCCCTCAAGAATATTCATGGTACTCATTTCTCTTAAAGGCTGAGTCCACCCCAGGGCCATAGTGGGGCTGGAAGGATTGGGTCAATTGAAAAATCCAATGACCTCATCAGGAACCGAACCCAAAACCTTCCAACTTGTAGCACAGTGCCTCAACCAACTATGCTACCTCGTGTCTCTTGATATATGAGAGTGTGTGTATATATATATATATATATATATATAGCCAACATGGCAATGAAACTGCAATTTGCTGACTAATATCACATCAAGATCTCCAACAGCAGAATTGAAATGGATTTTGTTAGTGTTAAAAGCAAAATTTTCAATTTTGATTTTGATCGCTGAATTTTCAATTCAGCGATTTCACACCGAATCAATGTCGGATTGTAGTAGTTTACGATCTCCAACATATTTTATGATGTGAATGATTGCTCGATCATCAGAAGAGAAACTGGATGTTGACTTGGTACATAAACTTATAATAAAGCTATTGAACAATAAATGTCCAAATGTGGAACCATGTAACACTCGTGACAGCAGAGGACAAGGTGAAGAGAAATCCACCAAATGCAAACCAAGGGAACTGCATAATGAAAACTTTGGAACCGGAAGTCATCTAACGTAATCATAGTCCACATTTATTGAGGTTATTGTACGGAAGTGGCTTTATCAAAAGCCTGGCTAGGGTCAAAATAAATTGAATCGGCTTGCTCTTGCGAATTAACAGAAACTGTAAGCGAATAACCATTCAGTTCATTTGAAGAGCTTCAAAACACCTAAAAGCCAATTACAGGCATGCATTTAAGGAAGAAATGTATGAATACAGAAGATACGGAAAAATCATAAACAAATATTAAGAGAAAAGACGCAAACTGTGACAGAGTTTAAGTGAGCAAGTAAACTGGTTGCTGCAGATATAACAAAGATGCAATATGAACAAGAACTTACCGTAGTCCTGGACGAATTTTACCAATTCAGGCATCTCCTTGTCCACGGCTTCCGGGTCCCTGACGACAGCTGTCAGACAGAAGGAGAGGTCCTTAGATTGCCAGCTCACAACACTTAGGGAATATATGGGGGGGGGGCGGAAACACTTCTAAAATGTGGGCGGCGTGATTGGTGATGGTGAAAATAAAATTAAAATACTTACCAAAATAGAATTCACTTGGGTTCGATGCCTGAGCCATGGCACGTTGATAATCATCTAGAAATTAAACAAATTACGTTAGAATTATTAGGTAACAAAATTATATTTTCGTGCATTAGAACAACACGCATTACAAATGATTTATTTCCATTTTTTTTTTAGATTTACCTGCACCCGCTAAGAATTGTAGATATCCTTCATTCCAACCACCGAAAGACGACAAGTGTGACAAACTTATTTCAATAAGCATAAATGAAGCCTATTGAAATTTCAATGGAAAAATACCAATGGAATCAACTTCACTCTTGGTCACACTCCAGTTAACCTGAGTTCGATGCAATACTGTGCACTGCAGTGAGGGTTGTAGCGGACGCAAGGGGTCCTGGGAAGCCCCTCGGTTCTCTTCTGAAAGCCGTGACTCTGTTTTCGACGTGACGTCAAACGTTGGCAACGGGCATGAACAAAACCTAGCGAAACATCTGCACGGGTTCGATTCCAGGCCTGGTCAAGTGGGATTTGTGGTGGATAAAGTGCCGCTGGGGCAGGTTTTCTCCGAGTACTTCGGTTTCCCCTGCCAATATTCATTCCACCAATTGCTCCACAATCACCCTCACCTATCATCTGGGGCTAGTAAAATAGGCCAGAAGTGGCTGCAGTACAAGGGACTTAGTCCCACCCCACTAGCAATAAAAAAATATACAGGAGATCGCGATGCATGCATAGGGACTTTTCTTCCGTAAGGTTGCCCATACGAGGTATCACGTGCCCTCGAAAATTTTTCAGACGGACAGTAGAAATAAATTATCTTGCGTTTGATACTTACGGTCAATCAGAACTCTCGGTGCCACTGAAATCATAGAAAAAACAAACTGTTAAGGACAGAATGTAAGTATGTTAGGGACAATTCGATTCTGTTCGTTTGGTCAGATTAAAAAGACCTGCTGATAAAACGAATTTCAGCCCATATCAATTATTTCACACTGTGGCACAAATATCATGTTTCTGGACATTATATAGCGTCCTGTCCTTATCTAAAACCCGTCCTGTTTATTTTTCAAAACACAACGTTTCGGAGACTGGATTCTGTCTCGGTCTTCAGGTGGAACCTATCTCCAGTCCGGACCTGAGATTGGGACCAACTGANACACGGTGCCAAATCCCAGAAGACTGCTTTCTTCTGGGTAGGATTTACCTGAAGACGGAGACAGAATCCAGTCTCCGAAACGTTGTGTTTTGAAAACTAAACAGGACGACGTTTATGATAAACGCAGGGCCATGGATAATGTCAAAAACATAATATTTAAACTAAGGTAACATAGTCACAAACTTTTAGATTTTATTTAACACTGGTTTATCATTTCTGTTCGTTAATAATACTGACATAATGTCAGTCCAAACTTCTGAGGTGGCACGAGAAGCAAGGCCCATCAAGTACAACAAGTTAATATAAAAGTTTTTCCTTTGCACGTTTCGCCACGTTAGCCCAATTAGTGACCGACGGACCAAGTGGACTCAGTCTCAACCCACCCCACTAAATTAAAAAAGAATGGGGGAGAATCCGGATGGGGCCTAACTGAGCTACTAACCCAGAATTTGCCTACACCACAAATACCCTCAATCAGGGTAGGCGATGTTTCGGCGGAGATTCGAACCGGATGCCTCCTAGATACGAGTTACGAGCGTTTCCGGTACTCGAACCCGCTCAGTTTTGAAGTGTTACATATTGTGACATGTAGACCCCTTCCTAGACAAAGCCCGAAATACGCACACCCAACAATGGAAAGTGTATTAGCAGAAGTGTTTTCTGTGTGGTCCGCGCCATGCCCAGTGTTGGGCAACAGATCATTAGACACGCAGTGTTCCTACAATTTTTTTTTGTGTTTTGCATAATTTGGATAATAAAGCAACAGCACAGACAGGGGCTAATGTTAGGGTTCGCGCATTTAATGCCGGACTTCTGGCTAGAAGTCAGTTTGCATCCGGAATATCCTGCGACCGGCCAGCTCGACCAAGGTTTTCCGTGTTTTTCCTCGGTCCTAGAGCTAATACTGAGTTGGTACCCAAATTCCACGTTGCACTGCATGCCTCACATGCAGCCCTCCCAATGGTAACGTCAAAATTTCCCAAAGTTAGCAAAAGTAAACAAACGATTATATGCTCTATCTTTACCAGAAGGACAAGCGGGCACTGCCTGGGAACCTTCAAATCGGAGATATAGTTTCTTACCCCCCCCACCCAATGTAGTGTCTCTCACTACGACCGCCACTTCTTCTTCTTCTTCTTCTTCTTCTTCTTCTTCTTCTTCTTCTTCTTCTTCTTCTTCAGGCTTCAGACACGCAGTCTGACAACAGAATAGGCGTTTATGTGGCCCGCGCTACGCAGTCTGACACGTGACACGTGTTTTCCTTTAGGGTCCGACCCGAATCTATATAAGGACAGTCTGTCCGTAGCTAGGAGCAGATTACAGAACTGGAACTGGAAGAATCAGAGTCAGGAGACTGGGAGTACAACGGAAGGAGGATTGAGTTCAGCTGTCGGTAGGAGATAGCCACGGGAAGTTAGTGGTTCAAGAAGAGTTCAGAATAGAACTCAGCCCCTGAAGACTTATGGTGCGATTAGAAGATTTATTCACAGTGAGGCTGTTTTTATTCCGTTGCCAGGATATGACTAGTGAAGACTGAGAATCCTAGTGCGTTTGTAACGGTGAACTGTAAACTGTGTAAATCAGCGATAGCGCTGTATTGCTTGTAAGTAAGAGTTTATTGTACAAGGTGCTAATAAATCTATTCACCAATCTAAACCCCGTCTGCAGTCACTAATACACATGACAATATATTATTAGTTAGATATAGGTTTTAAATCGAACAGTAACATCACAAACACGAAACAAGAGAAGTGGACAGGGCTTACCGTGTTGGATGGCCCTCACGAACAGCGACTGGTTGGGCGTCAAGGGATATTCTGGAACCAAAAGCGTAATCACAGTTAGCAGCCTTCGTGGCTAATTCCTGCGGTACAAACAGACTGATAATTCAGTTCAATTCAATTCTGGTTTAGCAACGTACAAAACTTAACAGCCCAGAGGCCAATAGGAAGTTAACATGAATATGTAGAAAGAAACAATAAAAAATAAAAAAATGAAATATATGAAATAAGGCACTTTAAATAATAATAATAATAATAATAATAATACAATTTCAGTGAATTTAACTTGAATAATAATAATAATAAAGCTAAAGCTATTTTTTCTCCTAATAAATTAGGCACAACTCCATGAAGGCATATAGGGGAATGGAGGTATAGCTCCGCCATTCTTAACCTCGGCACTAAATTGAGATGATCAGCTTCACGCCCTGGTTGCTTTACTCCTGAAGAAATAGCTTCGTGTTCCCATTGGTTGGGAGTCTGGGTTGGCCCCAGAGCTGTTCTGGGAGTAGTGGAGTGGAGGAAAGTGTCTGCCTTGCCTAGAAATGAACCCCGATTTCTCGGTCGTACACCCTGTAGCCAAATGCTATGTGGACGGGGCTATCCCGTCTTGTAATATTTGCAAAAATCACTCAGATAACGTGGAATGTTATAAAAGTTCAAAGAGAAAACTGCGAACGGAATTTGCATACCTCCAAAATACAGTTCGTCGTAGTGTTCTGAAACAGAGAGAGTAAACACTTTATTGGACGGTAAAATATAAAAAAAAATATATATATATGATTTGGCATATTTTATTAAACATGCACACTGCTTAACTAATTCCATGGAAGTGGGCCCTCCTTAAGAAGCCGTCATTCGCTCAGTTACTGAAGAATTTGCCAATATCTTACGGAACCCGAAGGTTCACTACCGTGTTCACAAGAGCCTTCCACTGGTCCCTATCCTGAGCTACATGGTTTACCAAAAGAATACGTCGAAATCCGGGGGCGTCTATAATATTCTGTAACAAGTTTATTTTTTACGGCGAGCAGATTTTATCCCCACGCCCAACCCCCAGTCTGGAGGATCACCCCTCACCGGGTGACCGCGACTGCGTGTTCAATATAGAGCATCTGGAGCTAGCCTCCATATCTGGAGGCTTTCTCCTCCGTCCGCAACCTGAGGACCCGACACGTCATCGTGAGAAGGGACCCACTTAACATGGACAGCTCAGTGAACAATGTAATTTTGCATATAATACAATGTATTTAAAATGAAACTGAAAATAAATTTCCACATAGTTTTGTTTACTATCTTAACTGCATTCAATGCAAATCTTAATGGAGAAGGAGACGAGCTGTATGCAGTTACTTCCTTGGGAAGAAACCATTTCAATGGTTCGTACCAGCTTAGTATTAACACAAACGAATCTTTTTTTACCTTCTGGTTGGCCTTGAAAAGAAACGCCTATATATCCTGAAACATAGAAATTAAATTAATTAAAACGGTGTTAGCGGTTTGACATGACGTCATACAAAAGGCCAAGAAAGTAACAATCTCTTTTCGGTATATTTAACGACATGTCCAGCAGCTCAGACTTCAGAGCGTCGAATAATTAGATTAATTAATGCTGACTTGGAAAGAATATGCAGGGAAGTGGTCGTAGACTATTTTCAGGTATTGAGGGAAACTGTGATACAGCTCAGTCAGCATAGTCCGTGCCCGGACAGAGATTCGAACACGGCACCCCCGAATATAAATCAGAAACGTCACCACTTGAGCATACTCGTTCGGTGAATCAAGAGAAATGGACACTTCATAATCAATCATTGCAAAGTGGTAAATTCTGTGCATAGAGCCTAATTACGCCCTGAATGCCTTGGATGTCTGGGGTATGAGACGGTCAAAGAGACCCGAAAAGCAAAATTTGACAGACACAAATAGCAAAAAATCAATTACGTGGGTCGGAATGCTTCTGAATTATTTTTAAAAGACATGTCTACGCATGTCTTCCGTAGAGTCCAGTGACAGGACAGCCGTCTGAATTACAAATTTGGAAGGACATGGGTTAGAATAAGGATTACTTTAAATTTAAAACATTCAAATTACATATTTTAACGAGAACCAATATTGTTTTAAAATTAAGAAACGTTTAGACATGCAGGCTTCAGGGCCTATACCGTATTAGTGCGCAGCATAATGGTTTACACAAATCATTATATATACATGATGATGGCCCTGCTTGGCCGAAACATGTCTCAAATTTAAATGAAAACATAGATTAATTGGTGACTTGAAGTTGCATTTTAAGACTCTATTGCATATATCAAGTAACAAGAATGTCCTTGGAACTGCAAGGGAGGCTGGGACAAATTGCATAATTAGGAGTTTCAAAATTCGCAGACATAAGGTATCCACGTCAGAAATAAGAAATACTTACGAAATTTTTGTCAGAAAACCTGAAGGAAATAGATCATTTCAAACACTAGACGAAGATGGAGGATAATATTAAAATGCATCTTAAACATATGGAGTGGTGGAGTCTGCATCTGGCTTACGGTACGCATCAGTGACGGGCTTTTGTGAACACGGTAATGAACCTATCGGTTCCATGAAAAATAGGGACTTAACTGAGCGATAGTCAAGCACACTTTGATAAATTTCGTTCCTGCTTCCAGTTCGTAAAACATATTTACTTTCCGTACGAAAGGGAAAGATACCGGAAGTCGGCGTCAGAGGAACCATTTTGTCATGGAGGTTAGTGATGCATACCTTGAAATGGCGGGACCTCTTCTTGTTGATGGGAATGTGCGTAAGGACCTTCGGGATACCCGAAGTACGCAGCCTGGGCCTGAAAACAGATTCAATTCACGAATAAGAATCTTGAAAAGGGTGTGACGTGCAAATCGAAGGACATATTGCAAAATTCATTCAATAAAATGGATTGTTAGTATATGAAATGTACTGAAGTGCTCATGACTAAATGCAACTCTGAAGTCTGCGGCGTGATTTGTTGCCTTGATCTTGTCTAAAGTCTTTTAAATTGATTCAGCCCCCGAAAAAAATACTGTGTCTTCTTTCCTTCAAATATTTAAAGGTAAAAAGGTAAAGTTATCCCTGTGAGAGGCCGTGGAGACCCATAGGGTTGTGAGATGTCGAGACTCACATTTTTTCTAGACAATCTACTCACGGATGGCGGCGAGGTTGTCAGTCTTACGCGCCGGCAGCCATTTACCCCCAGGAAGATTCCTGGTACTCATTTCTGTTAGTGACTCAGTCGACCCAAGGGGCATAATGCGGCTGGAAATATTAGGTAAACTGAAAAATATCAACCTCGTCGGGGCTCGAACCCGCCGCCTTAAGGCTTGTAGCATAGTGCCTCAACCAACGACGCTACCGCGTGCCCCTTCTTCAAATATTTCAGAATATTAAAAGCAATTAATGATTCAGCTGCTTGCATAACGTCCATTAATACAGATTCTCTGTGAACATAGAACATTAGCATCCCTAGGTTCCTACATGACGTTAGCAGGCCCCAGGGCCGCTCACTCACGTAATTTACGTCGGATTGAAGCAGAAGGCAATCACTGGGTGATCACATGACTCCAGAGACATTGATATCGTCAGCAAAGATAAAAATTCAAAGTGGTTAATTAAGTTACTGAGGCCATCAATGAATTCTCTAAAAAGCGAGGTCACCAGAGAGGCCGTGCCATAGTTCAGGCGGTTCGATCCCGGGTCATGTCATGTGTGATTTGTGGTGGACAAAGTGGCACTGGGGCAGGGTTTCTCCGAGTACTTCGGTTTACCCTGCCAATTCTCATTCCACCGACTGCTCCACACTCATCATCTATCGTCCGGGGCTGGTACAATAGGCCAAATAGTGGCCGAAGTACCGAGTGGATTCAGTCTCACCCCCCCTCCCCTCAAGAAAAGTCATGAGAGCAGACCCCTCCAACAAACCGGAAGTAACTTCAAGATGCACTGAAAAGGTACCAGAAAGAAGAACTGTCCACATCTGCGAAACCAGCTGACATAACCATCACAGAATGCAAAGCAACTCAGGGCGAATTCAATGGAACGCACTGGTAAGATCAAACGGATATCATCAGCCCGACACTGACTGTGGACATGGAGAGTGATAAAATCACGAAAAATACCAAATTAGTACCTGCAGATTCAGATCTGGGGAAGCCATGTTGGCAGGCTTCTAGTAATGTGGAACCTGATGGCGCGTATTTAGGAATGAGATTTATCTGCAGCCGCTGACAGAGGCATGAGCGGTGCAGTTGCGGCTTCCTTCCATACAGCGGGGAAAGGTCGCCGAGTGAGGCTTAACTTACATACATAGTGCAGAAAAATAAAATGTAAAGTTGTCCCTGTGCGTAACTAATTAAGCACTACGCCGTGATGACGTATGGAGGAGTGGGTGTATACATCCACATTTTCTTAACCGTGGCACTAATTGGAGGTGAGTGGTTAGCTTCACGTTCCTGCGGCTTTACCTCCGGTACCCAATAAATAGGAGGCTGGTTTGGCTGCAGAGTCGGTCTGGACGACGTGGAGAAAATAAAATTCTTTATACTACCGGGACTAGAAGTCCAACCGCTCGGCCGTCCAGCCCGAAGCCAGTCGCTATACCGACTGAGCTACCCCGGCTCCTACATGTTGTAGAATAGCAATAGAAATTACGGGACAGCCCTTCACGACAAAGCCAGGGATGTCATCAAGTCCAACAGATTTAGAAGGTAATTTAGTTTGGTTCTTATTTACGTGCTAACTTAACAGCCGAAGGACCAATTAAAACGTGAGTACGAGTACAGAAGAGACAAGAAAACACACACAAACAAAATACAAAACGAGACAAATGATATAATTTGATTAATAGTAATATTAATTCTATAATAATAACAACAAGAAAATGTGGCCAAGAACGCTTACAAATGTTGAGTCCCTGGACCCCCAAAGTACACCGTTAAGTTCCAAATTCAGCCCCACATTGCTTGGGGCGCAGCCGTCACTTACCGTCAGGAAGAAGGCTGAAGACAGCAGTAGCAGCAACATGGTTGTCAGTGATATGCCCTCTGTCCTGCCGCTCCACTATATATACTGAACTGCAGAGCGATTATGTTCACAGTATCACGACTTGATTTATGGTTACTGCGTCTCATAAACATTGTCCTTGCTCTTGAGATTAATGTTGCCTTCAATCCTGGCATTATGGCTGTACTGTGGAGAGGTGAATTTTAATTGTTTCACGTTTGTTTTTACTGCAAGATACTTGGCTATCCTACGGGCAAGGCCATTGTCGTGAGTTCCAGCAACCAACACTCAAATTCAGATGCATCTCCTCGTCCTGTTCATTATTTTGAACTCAAAATATTGGATTACTGCATTAAAGGTATCCCCGAAACAGGCCGTGGAGGCCCATAGGGTTGTGAGATGTTGAGGTTCTCACGTTTTCTCTAGACAGTAGGCTCATAGATGGTGGCAAGGTTGTCAGCCTTACGCGCCGGCCGCCCTTTACTCCCAAGAACATTCCAAGAATATTCCTCGTACTCATTTCTGTTAGAGGCTGAGTCGACCACAGGGCCATAGTGCGGCTGGAATTGAAAAGAAATCCAATGACCTCATCGGGATTCGATCCCGCGACCTTCCGGCTTGTAGCATAGTGCCTCAACCAACTACGCTACCGCGTGCCCGCCTCAGAAAGTATTATACGGGGAACTGCAGACCAAAGATGTTTTAAACAAAACTTTTGATTTTTTCAGTTCCTTAGGAAAACATATGAAATTTATTTAAATCACGCCATGGCCAGCCATATAGTTTCTCGTCTGAAGATGCATTATATACGTGGTATATACGAGAAAGTAGATGAAAATATATCGATAGCTCAATTTTGACAGATTTATATGTTTGCAGGCCACATGGACAGTAACGACGCTTACCTCTCAGTACATATGTACGTGACCATCGCTAGTTCCTGAACAACTGAATGGATTGTGTCCGTATTCGGCATTCAGGACTTCACCAATCACGTGTCAGTGTCCGGTGAACATGTCCAAAAGAAGGGCCCACAGAATTGAGCTCGTGAGAGCAAATTTGCGATTTTCCCGAAATATCTCTAACTGCCCCCTCTGATCTTCAGGAGTAATTCTTGCCCCTACCAGACTACACGGCATTATAATCTAGAGTATCGATCCTCGTGAAGGCTGTCGCTCTGCAACGGAGTTCCAATATCCACGGTTCATCCCTTCAAGAACAAGATTTTGTTAATCTCGACAACGTCAAGAAATCCGGATACACGATGCTGCAGTTGGGAAAGATTTACGTATGTATCATCCTGGAACTCTTGAGGGGCACAAGGCAAGTCATTCAAGTTGAATTCTGGGGCATCTGAGCTCGCATGCAAGCACGCAGACGTATGTGTATTCAGCGGGAAATGTGATCATTTATTATATAAGCATTTCATCTATTAACTTCCCTTGTTTTTCCCCGTATTCATTTCCAGCCCTGCATGTTACCGAATGATACGTCGATGCCAACGTTTAACGCCATCTGCCATGAATAACACATATAAATAGTTAAACGTAAATAGTTTTCTTTATGCGGTATGAAACACGTCACATATTCACGTGAAATTATTATCAATACTCACAGAATAGACACGATATACTGATACAAGAGATTGCTCGCCTTTTTATGACGAACGACATAGCTTACGTCATTGCAACGTGTTAATGCTCGACGGTGAGCCTAACTTGCGAAATGAGAAGGAGGAATTTCACGCGTGCATATGCGGGCACACCTGGCGCCGTGGCACGCCTAATTCCCTCCGTTATCTGCCTCACTAATTCGTTCTTGAGAATCCGTTGCACAGCGAGTCAAAACATTCCCAGAATTTCATGGGCCCAGAAGGTTCATTATTGCTTTAACAAGAGCCCGTAACATTTTCCTACCCTGAGCCAGATGAATCCAGTCCACACCATCACCCAGTTTCTATTAAATTCATTTTAGTGTCACACTCCTATCTATGCCTGGGTCTTCCTTCAGATTTTTAGATCATAATTTTGTATGCATTTCTCTTCTCCCCCAATCCGTCTCATGCTTCTTGGAGTTCCGGTTCAGAACTAGGTAGGAGCTCCACTTCAGAACTGGGTAGGTGTTCCAGTTCAGAACTAGGTAGGAGCTCCGGTTCAGAACTAGGTAGGAGCTCCACTTCAGAACTGGGTAGGCGTTCCAGTTCAGAACTAGGTAGCAGCTCCAGTTCAGAGCTAGGTAGGAGCTCCAGTTCAGAGCTAAGGAGGAGCTCAAGTTCAGAGCTAGGTAGGAGCTCCAGTTCGGAAATAGGTAGACGTTCGGTTTTCACGAAAAAAGCCCCAGGGAATAAGCAACACATTTTGAAAGGGAATTATTACAGTGGGAGCTTATGGATCCATTTCTACATATATCGATGTTGGGAACGACAGTTCTGGCGTCTTAAGGCACTGGAAATGCCTCCCTCAAAATGAAGCGCTCTGGAACTAGGCAGTAGGCGTCTAACCCGAAGTTCCAGCCCTGAACGTAGACCTCAGGCCTTGTCCTAGCGACGAGTCCGTCTATTTCACCGGTTGCAGCCGCAAATTTTTCGAAGTTGATATTTCAGAATCCGTGCTATTATTCATGTTACTTCACTGTAAATAGTGAAACAGGTGAGAGATTATAGTTTTACAGGTTTAATTAACAGATAAATGAGACTACTCCCGGGCGATATGAGCAGAATTTATGTGTTATTACTGGACGTTATGTGCTACGAACTTGCAAGCAGCAGGCAATAACTCTGCACTGCACAAGTCAAATAATACATTTTTACGTACATAAAATTTGCGTCGCTTGGTTGCGAGATTTCATGCAGATTTTCCTCACTCTTTGTGATATTTTAAGGTTATGGCAACTTGCATGGAGATCTAAGATGGGGCATCATGATGTATGCAGTTTCGTGTCAAAATGTAGCAGGGGAAATTAATTCAGTTTATAATCTTATTATTCGACGCTTTCTCTTTATGTTGGTCGCCTAGCAACAAAGCCTGTCTACCTGTCAGCCTTCCTCAATTTCTTCTCCTGTTCTGCCTTCATTGGGTTGGATAACATTGATGGAAGGGAAGATTCACGATTGGCGTTCCTCCCAAACATTACCGCGATGGCGAAGTCCAGGAGGATGAGACGGGCGGAGCAGATATCTCGCGTGGGAAATAAGTGTATACAATATCCTCATATGAAAATTNAGGCTTATGTATCCAGGCATGAAAACTGAGCAACCAGGCCAGACAGAGAGGGGAGGAAGAAACAAGAAAATTAAAGTATTTTATATTATGGAAAATATGGGGTTTAAGTGGGAGTCGCGATAACGCAGTCGGTATAGCGACTGGCTAGAGGCTGGATGACCAAGGGGTTGCAGTTAGCGTCCAGGCGGGGGTAAGAATTTTCACTTCTCCAAGTCGTCCAGACGGGCTCTTTGGCCCACCCAGCCCTCTATGCAGTGGATACCAGCGGCTCTCACACAGGGGGTAAAGCGGCAGAGGCGTGAAGCTGANGGGGAAATTAATTCAGTTTATAATCTTATTATTCGACGCTTTCTCTTTATGTTGGTCGCCTAGCAACAAAGCCTGTCTACCTGTCAGCCTTCCTCAATTTCTTCTCCTGTTCTGCCTTCATTGGGTTGGATAACATTGATGGAAGGGAAGATTCACGATTGGCGTTCCTCCCAAACATTACCGCGATGGCGAAGTCCAGGAGGATGAGACGGGCGGAGCAGATATCTCGCGTGGGAAATAAGTGTATACAATATCCTCATATGAAAATTTTTAAGGAAAGAGACCATTAGGAAGACCTAGATGTAAAGGGAAAACATTAATAGATTTTACATGGACAGGGAGGGAGTAGATTGGATTAATCTGGCCCGGGATAGGGACCAGTGGCAGGTTCTTGTGAACAGTTACGAACTCTCGGGTTCCATAACGTGCTGGGAATTTCTTGACTAAGTTAGTAATCGTCAGCTTCACGAGGACTTCGCTTCATGAAGACAGTTCACATTGTCTCGTCCTCTTGCATGACATCTTTCCTGTCTGTTGCGTCCGTCTCGATCATGGACCTCTNAATTAAAGTATTTTATATTATGGAAAATATGGGGTTTAAGTGGGAGTCGCGATAACGCAGTCGGTATAGCGACTGGCTAGAGGCTGGATGACCAAGGGGTTGCAGTTCGAGTCCAGGCGGGGGTAAGAATTTTCACTTCTCCAAGTCGTCCAGACGGGCTCTTTGGCCCACCCAGCCCTCTATGCAGTGGATACCAGCGGCTCTCACACAGGGGGTAAAGCGGCAGAGGCGTGAAGCTGACCACCCACCTCCAACTAGTGCCGAGGTCAAGAAAATGTTGATCTGTACATTCACTCCCCCATACGTCTTCATGGTGTAGTGCTTAATTAGTTAAGCACAGGGACTACTTTTATGTGGTTTAAGTTCCTTACTTTATTTAACCATGCTGCATCAGATGAATAATGCAAGAATAAAGATAAAGGATGAAATCTGACATCAAGATGTGAGACTTGTCCATATGAAACCAATATGGAGACCATTCAAGATGAAAAAAGTATTTACTTACTTACTTACTTACTTATGGAGCTGAACCCTCCTTGAGAAGCCAATTCTGCAGCAACTCAAGAATTTCCCAGCATTTTGTGGAACCTGTAGGTTCATTATCGTGTTCACAGGAGCCCTCCACTGGTCCATATCCTGAGCCAGATCAATCCAAACCATACATCCCATCCTATCTAAGATCCATTTTAATATTGTCCACCCACCTATGCCCTGGTCTTCCCAGTGGTCTCTTTCTTTCTGGTTTTCCCACCAATATCCTATATGCATTTCTCTTCTCCCCCATTCATGCTACATGCCCTGCTCACCTCATCCTCCTTGACTTGATCATTTTATTTATATTTGGAGAAGAGTACAAGTTATGAAGCTCCTCATTATGCAGTTTTCTCCAACCTCCTGTCACTTCAGCTCTCTTCGGTCCAAATATTCTCAACACCCTGTTCTCAAACACGCTCAGTCTATGTTCCTCCCTTAAAGTCAGAGACAGAGTTTCACATGCATACATAACCACAGGCAAAATTATAGTATAATTTTTATGTTTTTGGACAGCAGATGAGAAGACAAAAGGTTCTGGACTGAATGGTAACAAGCATTACCCGAATTCAATTTCCTCTTAACTTCCCCCTGAATCAGGTTTTGATTTGTTATTGTCTTTCCCAAATATCTGAGCTGTGCCACATTTTCAAAACATCTGTTTCCTATCTTGATGTCATGATTTTGCCCTGCATTTTGGTGACGAGACAGCAAATTAGTTTTCTCTGCATTTACTTCTAGTCCAACTTCCTCACTTACGTCAATTAAAGTTTTTTTTTCTTTATGGTATCTATATTATCACACAGTAGATTCACATCATCGGCATAGACCAACAGCTGATGTCTCCCATTTAATTTCAGTCCCATCTAGTTTTCCTAGACCTTCTTAATGCCATATTCTAAAGCTAAGTTGAAAAGGAGTGGCAATAAAGCATCTCCTTTTCTTAGACCATTCTGGATAGAAAATTAATCGAACAAATGTTTACCTATACAGGCTTTACTGAAACTTCCTTTTAAAAACATTTTAATCAGCTTAACTAGTTTCTTGGGTATCCCAAACTCTATCAGAATATTGTACTCGTACAATACCTCCCACCTAACCGAATCATAGGTTTTCTTGAAGCCTACAAATAGCTGATGTACTGTCTCATTGTACTCCCAATTTTTTTCCAATATCTGGCTAATGCAGATTTGGTCTGTGTATAGGCTGTTAAAAACAGGCAGGCATCCTGCTGATACACCAACTGATGGCACTTATCTACACAGAATTTCCTGGGCTACTGCTGGAATCCTAACATTACATCCTCAAAACCTTTGTTACAGCAAAAAATTAGATGTTTCTCACATTAACAATCCCCATATGATCCAAGATTGTGTTAGAGGTATACCAGTACCACAGACCCTAAAAAAAAGATCATGAACTTCCCACTGAAAATTGTCAGGTTCGATTTGATTGCCACCTGCTTTCACGTTGGTTTCTTGGTCGTCATATTCTTTGCCCCTGAAGACACACGTGACATGTTCCTCCCAAACATCAGTTGACTTTCAATTGCTTAATCATCTCACAAAAACTGAAAATGCTTAGGAGTCATACTTTGTATTCAAAGCAAGCAGAAAGTTGTTTAATACTTATATATCCCATACACACTCATCTCTGTAACATATATTCAAATTACACAAATAAACATAATTTTCTGAACATTACATACATAAGATCACAACAAATATAGCAGAATTTGCCTCCTTGGTGTAATCACATGACTCCAAGAAGTAGGGCAGACAAACTCTGAGGTTCTCATCATAGTGACTACAAGAATTACTTACCATCTTCTGGGATATGATGTCATGCACTCTGGTAGGATGTTAGAGTTTCTCTGGGCTTAGGGAATGTGTAAGGACAGTTATGACAAGAACAATTTTCTGTGCTTTATTTTGTGAAACTATTACAATAAAAGCAGACATAATGTATAACATAAAAAATTCAAAATATTTTAATTCACCGCTGGCTTTTTCAGAGTGATGAGGGTCATTATTTTACATTAAAATCTGTTCACATTAAAAACCAACCTGACTTAACTTCAAACAAATCTATTAAAATCAACACAAAAATCAAAATTCTGTCACATTTTCTATTATATTTCGGTATTTTCACTGTTGCCAGCAAAGTGACCATTAAGTTCTTCCTTCTTAAGTAAACATTATTTCATTTGTTATTATCACTATTCTGTAATAAGGCACATGCATTAACACATTTATTTTATGTCACCATAAAATTTCTTGAGTTATTTGAATGCTTTGGGTCTTTATTTACTTAATTACAATTTATAAAATATATAGAGCAAATTAATTTTACAACAATTTTAAGTTTACTTAAAAGCAAAATATTATCTCCCATGTCCCAGAAAATTACAGTATCAGATTATCTTCAAAATGCCATGTTCCTGCGAATCAGTGAAAGGTCTATCTGTGCAAATATCACAATAACTTGAGCCAATAAAATATTCTGCCTCAGAGTGAAGAAGCCTGCTGGTAACCTGACAACCTTTGCTATGCACTTCTGAATAAGAAGTGACACTGCCCAAAAACGTATCTCACAGAATGCCCTAAACCGATGATGTCGCTCACATCACAAAGCCTTCCAATGCTCATATAAATAAGTCATCAATTGTTTATAGAGCAATATCTGCAGGTGGAGGCCATCTTGACTGCTGTGTGGAGCTGCGATGTCGACGTTTCAAAGTCCCTAGTACATAGAGCATTTCTTGTACTGCTGCTGGTGGCTCTTCCTTCTTTTCGTCTTTTTGTTTCTGCAAGAGAAGAAAACATCGAGTTCGAATGAATGAATGAATGAGGGGTAGGTCATCTTAGCCCTTGCACCACGACCTACAGTGGTCTGTTGTGCTTCCCCTTTTGATTATCCCCTCAGCAATCCTGCGCCTCATAACGGCTGGTCCAAATGCAGATACTGAGGAGCTCCACAGACACTACTGAATCTGCGAGTTACCCAGTATACCCCTTTGAAGCAGGAACTTCATATAAATAAATCTTAAGTATTCAGTTCTTAACCCAACACACTGAGTCTCCATTAAGGCCTACCAATAATGCTCTTTAGGGAAATTATCACTGTTCATTACAAGAAGTATGTCACACTCATAAAGACACTGTGTGGGCAAACTGTTGAGATTGTAAAGCAGGTAATATATAATAACCACTGTGTTTCAGAGGAGTAGGGGGCATGGGGTAGCACAGTTGGTTGAGACACTGTGCTACAAGCCAGAAGTCACGGTCTCAAGTCCCAATGAGGTGGATTTTTTCAATTGCCTTAATCTTTCCAGCTGCACTATGGCCCTAAGGTCGATTCAGCCTCTAACATAAATGACTACGAGGAATCTTCCGGGGGTGGTGGTAAAGGAGAGTCAGTGTGTAAAGCTGATAACCTCACTGCCATCTGTGAGCTGACTGTCTAGAGAAAGTGTGAAACTTCAATGTCTCACAGCCCAGAGGGAAAGAGGCCCCAGTACCCATCGGATAGGAGGCTGAGTGGGCTCCAGAGCGGATCTGGATCCCATAGAGAAATAATCTCTTGTCCATGATGGGACTAAAACCCCAGCTATCCAGCTCAAAGACCCTTGCTACACCAACTGAGCCATCCCAGATCCTCTTCGAAATGTTAACTAACAATTTATATAAACCATGAAAAGGATTAGCAGTATGAGCCTTAGCCTTCTAACTGGTGTATCGCTTCAGCCTCTAAAAGTTCCTGCACTGGATGGTGGTGGCAAGTGGTTGCCATGCTTTAACCTCAGGAAAGTGCCCCCAGCAGACACCAGACAGAAGGCTGGGTAGGACCCATGGCCAGAAAATCTTACTTAACTCACCTCAGTAGCTTTAAGTGTAAATTTTCCACCTTTAATTTGGTTTATTATATCATCTATGGCACCTGCAACAGATAAATCCATTCAGAAACATACTCCCTTCAAACACTTGTCAGGCAAAAGCCAAGTCAACAAGACCATAAATGGAGGTATTCACCAAACTCTGATTACAGTAATGTAATTATTCATAGTAAATGCTCACATGTCACAGTTGCTAACCTGTTACAAAGAACACTGTTATCATATTTGGAAATGAACACTGTATCTCAGTCTATAAGGATTGAAAACAGTCAGTGCCTCATTAAAACTGGAGAACTGCCATCTGTACCAAAGTACACATAGTTTCAACAAGTATTCCTTGCGCCCTCACATCTGCATGCTCCTAGCTGTTCGAAACAGATTGCACAAACATAGTAATAATATTCGGTGCAACTTTAAACATACCAAGACTGTAAAGCCACAGTCCATACCCATGTGTCCTTTGTGCTTTGGTATTCTGAATGCCACTGAGCTGGTTTGTGCAGCAGTAATGCACTAAACAATTATCCAGGAGGTCCTCGGATGAAATCCTGGCAAGGACACCAGCTATCCTGACATTTTTCATGATTTTCCATGGTCCCTCCAAGACAATGCTGAGATAGTAGTTTAATTGGGTCCCTTCTGCCTAATTCATCATTCATTCATTGTATCACCATCCGACGCTAGATTGTCTAGATAATAATATAACTGGTAAATGACTTGCCCCCAAATAATCTCAATGTTCCAAAAACCTCCTTTCCTCACCAACCCCACATTCAGTGTGTACACTATTCACCTGTTTCCCAAAATCACCTCTGATGTGGCGAATAATCACATCATGTACAGCTGTTGTCTAAATGTGAGCATACAGTAGATTCGAGACTTCTTTATAGCCTTCAGAAAGTTTAATGTACCAATCACATGAGAAATTCTCTTCCCCATCCTACACACGTAACCTATGAAGAATTTCTGCTGCTTTCACTTTCTCTTCCCCTTGGAATCTGATGATACAGCACTGTTCTACACTACGAGTGAAAACATCTGATCGCATCCTTCACTAGCTCCTACTAGCGCTAATGCAGAGAGGCAAGGAGTATGGACACCTGTCAAGCATTGAGTCCAGTGTTGCCACTAACTGTTTATTAAAGAGTTTTGTTTTTCTGGTGACCATGTCTTCAGGGGAAATAAAATAGAGTCCAGGTCAACCTCCAACCGCTATCATACAAAATTATCTGGTCCCCAAACAACACATTTGTTTTCAAGCACATGCATACCACTCAAACCCCATCAATCTATTGCTATTGTTACTCTGATTAGTACTCTCAGAATGGGCACTGTTGCTTTTATTGTTATTTTGGTTACCACAGTCTGCCAGTGGCGTTAGCATTACTCACACGTCACACGTTTGTGAATCCACCATGCTGACATTACTGACAGCAGAGATGGCTTCCAATGGCACAGCTTTCATACAAATATACCAATGAAATCCATCCCTCAGTTATAAACTTCGAACATGTGAACACTAATTATGCAGAAAATAAGTAACAAGGCTACATTGGCTTTTCTGAATTTCAAAGACACCTCTGTAACACTGAACTCTGGGTTCTCATGATGGCGACCACCTCGGGGAACGTAACATGCATGGCATGGCAGAAGTTTACCAACACTGTGCAGTAACATACTGCCTCCATCTTTATATTTGAAGAGCAAGGCAAGCAAGCATCCAGCAAGAGGAAGGCTGCAGATGAAACACCCCTGATTGCTGCGAGTCCTTACCCCCAGGCAATATGGCTGCTGCGGCAGGTCTGCGGGGGATACCCAACATGTTAGCCATGTCCAGCACAGGGTTGCCAGTCTCCACACGTGCGCCTGTGTCTGCCACCGAGACACAATTTCTCTGTCTCAAAGATGCAGTACAGATTCTAGGATGGGACACTGCGAGAGGTGGTGGAGGAAGAGGAGGAGGGGGTGGTGGTGGTGGAGGAGGAAGACATGCCTTTGCCTCCAGCTCATCTTGTAGCTGATTCACTGTAACAGAAGGAAACATCATGTTCATATTATGAATCATAAGAAAGAATGGCATCAGAAGGGAAAGTACAGACGTCTGATTATTTATATCACTGCCCAGGGTCCATGTCTCCCACTTTGGGAAACAATGCATTAACCGTTTCACTCCTAAGCCCATCCACAGAACTACCCACTATGAACCCCAACACTGCTTGGAGGGGAGAATCCTGCTGCAAAATCCACAATCCTTCTGGAGATTATCACCAATCGATCACAGATGCATGATAGCATTACCTCATTCCTGATGCCATCTATTAATACAAATCCTCTACTAACTGATTAACAACAACGTCATCTCTGTAGCTCTGGCAGTTTCTTTCACAAGTGCGCCAAGACGACCTAATTGGCTGATGGAGCACAAAGTATTAGGCAGCGTCTACATGAGCGCACAAAATGCGTCCGTTGTAACGAACGTACTTTGCTGAGGATACCACACAGTTGCAGAATGCAGTGCGTAGTTTCACTGTAGACAAAAAACTACTCACCGCATTCTGCAACTGTGTGGTGTCCTCAGCAAAGTAAGTTCGTTACAATGGACGCATTTTATGCACTCATGTAGATGCTGCCTTAGAGGGTTAAAAGTACTGCTGTCTCATCAGATTTGTTCAGGTTGTTCAGTAGATATCACCTCTGGTGACCATCTGTGAGGACCTCTTCTCGGCCTGCTCTGCTCGCTGTAGTGCGCAGTGGAGTTCCGACTCAGCAAGCCGCAGCTTTTCTTCCATCAGTTCCAGCTGCGCTTCAGCTTCCCGTTCATCCAGCTTATCCTGCAACAATGATGAAGCCCCGGATAGCTTCCAGAATCCTCAAATATTCCAGTCTGATGCCACAAGAGTCAAACAGTTTTAAAATGTAGAACAAAATCAAATAAATAAATTTAAATTGCACCTATGTTAAAACGAACAAACCTCAGAGGGAAACATCTTCTATATTCCATTTGGCAACTGGAAAGACATAACAATTTTAAAATGCAAACAAAATGAACTAGTTCTGGTGAGGTATGTTAGATCAACATATAATTCACTTAGGCAGGACAGTGTTTGTTTTGTTATTGTCATTTCCATGAAAACAAAAAGCAAAAGTACAATCAGTTAATTAAGGTATGACCAGAAGGCAGTGATGTTGCAGTGAGTGTCATGATGCTGACCACTGCCCAAGAAAGTACCTATAGGCTACTATCATCATCGTTGTTGTTGCCACTGTCCTTTTGTTTTGTTTTATGCTTGTATTTCCTCTATCATGACATTATTCAATCACCTGTGGATGATATGGGACCACCTCTGTGGTCTAGTGGTCAGAGTACCTGGCTACGGAGGTCCCGGGTTCGATTCCCGCCGCTGCCAGATTTTCTGAAAAATAGTGGGTCTGGAATAGGGTCCACTCAACCTCATGAGGATAACAGGAGCTATTTCAAGGATATAGCAGCTCCGGTCTAAAAAAACCGAAATTAACGGCCGTAGGGATTCGTTGCGCTGACCATGCGACACCCTCTATCTACTAAAGTTGGCACTAACTTCACTGACAAGAGGCGGTCGCTCGGTCGATATAGTTCGCTTGTGGACTGAAACCACGGAGTTTGTTTTTGTGGATGATATGTATTCAGGAACATTAGTGATGGCCTCCTTTAAGGTACTATCCTAACATATAATTGAAGGGACTGAGGACATCCACAAAATCTGTCAATGACAGACACAGTCTAGGGGAAGAACAAAACAGTGGACCTCCAAAACATCAACATTGATTACTTAACAATTTGCCATCTCAGAACCAGAACTGGGTCTAGTTCTTTTAAAATCAAATGGGATGAATTTACATTTGCAATGCCTGGTGCAGCCTCCCCCCACAATATACCTGCAGCTCCTGTAGCTCCATCATGTGCCTCTGCTGCTCCTCTTCCAGAGTCCTCTTCAGGACCTCCACTTCCTGCAGTAGCCTCATTAATTTGCCATCTCCTATCACATCCGCCATCAGCAGCGTGCTCTGGTGCTTCAATACATTGCGTTCCTTCTGTGCCTGCACAACAACAGTCACAATATTTTACAGATGATCTGGTGGGACCTACCCTACAAGCTGTGTCGAGAGGTATGCTTGCGCACTGTCCAGAGAATGCGCAGAATGTTTAATGTACATTACCTCATCAGCCTCAAGCTTCATCCTCTGTGCCTCCTCCTTCTCATGTTGACACTGCTCTCGCAGCGCAGTCATTTCAGTGGCCACGAGTCGTGACACGCGCCCCAGGTTGTCCTTCATCATCCGCAGCTCGTGAAGTTCTGTCTCGGCTCTCGCTCTCCGAGACTTCTCTTCCTCCAATTCAAATGCCAGACTCATAGACTGCTCTTGTGCTTCAAACTCTTGTAGTCTTGTAGCACTGAGCTCTGCCTGCAGCTGTCCCACCTCGTCAGTCAGTTCTGTATTCACAGTAAAACAATAAGAAGAAAAATGCAATTTGCTATAACGGTCACAAAAAGACTTCCTCTTTGTGATGTAAAAAAAAGTGACAGGAGTCTGGAGAAAACTCCATATTGAGGAGCTTCATAAAATGTCTGCTGTTCAGACCTATTCCAGCGAGATTCAACTGAACTCACACATGCATCCATTCTCATATAGTTCGATGATCAACTTTACTCTTCAACAAGAATTAATCAACTTCACTAGCTGGGCTATAAAAATGCGTCTTTTAATGTATTTTTACCTTAAAATTGCATTATCTTAGTAAAATGGTAAGAAGATAATGTGGTAATGCCACAGCTGAGGTGGTTAGTCACCGGCTTCCCACCACAGTGGCCTGGATTCAAGTGCAGGTCAAGTCATGTGGGATTTGCCAATCCTCGTTCCACTGATGGCTCCACATTCATCATCATCATCCAGCATCTGGGGCTGGTACAACAGGCCAAACTGTTGCCAACATACCAATTGGGCTCAGTCCCACCCCAACCCCAGAGGAGGAGGGGGAGGGGAAAGGGGGAGGAGATATGCTGCAAAAGGGTTGTAAAATGTATGACAAGAAAAAATTAACACGAAATTAAACTTACCTTTAATTGTTTTCATGAGATTGTCAAGGTCTCCATCTGTAGATGACGCTGTGTCGGCTTCATCAGGGATGTCTATTATGCTTACACTGGCTTCTTTCAGGCACCTCTGTGCAAGAACTGCGCTCTTTCGTTTCAGTTCACGGTTCTGCATGTACCACTTCAGGGGAAAAAAAAAAAAACGTCAATATGCAAGATTTGAGGTTCTCACAGCAGTGGCTATGCCCTAGCTGAGAATGGAACCATGCAGCCCCAAAATACAAGAACACAACTTGTACAGTGCAAGTTTCAAGGCTACATCATACAACACATTAAAATTAAATTTAAATGGTGTACTGAGAAGCTAAACGATCCTTAGAGCAAATTAATTAATTAATTTATTTGAAGAAAGCCATCTTCTGGGATGTGGCGCCGTGTAGATATTGTGTTAACTGACGTTATGGAGAAACGTATCGCCTCTGTCTTCAGGTAGAAGAAAATTGACGAGCGAGGAACCAGCGTGAGCAGATGCTAATAGACTAATGTCGAGTCAACAAACCCAGCTGTGTAAGAGCAGGAAGAGAAGGGAGAGGTGCTACATGGGAAATCAGTAGAGAGGAGAGGGGAAAGGTCTAGGGAGGTGGGCCAGCAGGTAGCAGGAATGGAGTTCAATCTCAATGGCCTCCCTAATGATGCGGTTCATACATCGGGCCTTGGTGGCGAGGATGGAGGTATTCTGAAGCTGAATGCGGTGTCCCAAATTGATACTGTGTTCAGCCACAACTGACTTGTCCGGATATGGATGTGCCGCTGATGCTCCTTCAACCTCGTGTCCACGGAACGGCCCGTGTGACCAATAGAGGCCTTGCCGCACTTGCATGGGATACTGTATACACTCGGTATCCCTAGTCCCAGGCTATCTTCGACCGGCCAGAGGAAACTAGATAATTTCTTCGGAGGCAGGCCCACTGATTTGATGTTGTGCCGGGACAGCTCTCTGCTGATTCGGTTGAATATAGTCCCGACATAGGACAGGAAGGCGACTGAGTCTGGTTTATCATCGGGCCGACTGGTGTTCAGACGACGGTTGAGAACTCTGCGGATCTGCCGGTTGTTGTAACAATTCTGCTTGAACACGTCCACCAGGAGCACCAACTCCGCATGTAGACTGTCCAACTTCAAACAGGTTGTGATCGACTTTTTAGTGTTAAAACTGCCAGTGATCTACCACCCCCTCCTATGGTCGTACGTCGCTTTAAGCAAAAATATTGGTAAAAATAACATGACACACGATTGTTGTTGCAAAAGCAATACATACTGAAAGTACAGACTACTTTAATATGTATTTTCCATTCAAAATCTGAATATAATCACATTATATCACAAGTGAATCTACGTGCTTTTCACGTATAATTTCCTTACAGGCCTATGAGATCGACCAAAAATCGTCCCGCGATCAAGCGTTGGACGTGCCTGGTATAGAGCTCTAGCCCTGTACACCAGTGTAGAAAGTGCAGCTTGCTTGTTGGACAGGTAGTGGTGGGACGCAACGTTAAGGTAGAGGTTTGTATGGGTGGATTTGCGGTACACTCTATGGCCCAGAGAACATTCGGGTCACCTGTAAATATCTATATCCAGGAAGGGAAGGTGGCCCCCAATTTCGGTCTCCATTGTGAATTCAATGCACTGGTGGATACTGTTTAGGTGGTTCAGGAAGTTCTTAAGCTTGTCTGGCCCCTTCCCCCCCCCCCCCCGACACAATATTCTATACCTACTCTGACCTGATACCTGCTGGCCCACCTTCCTAGACCCTTCCCCTCTCCTTTCTGATTTCCCATGTAGCCCCTCTTCCTTCTCTTCCTGCTCTTATACAGCTGGGTTTATTCAACTCGACATTAGTCTGTTAGCACCTGCTCACGCTGGTTCCTCGCTCGTCTATTTTCTTCTACCATGAAGGAGGCGATACGTTCCTCCGAAACGTCGGTTAACACAATATTCACACTGCGCCACATCCCAGAAGACGGCTTTCTTCATAGTCGCCGCCGTGAAAACCTCAAATCTTACATAATGAAATTATTTATTCACTGAAGTATTTATTTATTATTCATTCATTAATTTATTTACTTTCTTATTTATTCATTCATTTATTTACTTACTTATTCATTTACTTATCTATTTATTTGGCCGCGCCATAGCTCAAGCGGTTAGTCACTGGATTCCCACCGCGGCGGCCCCGGGTTCGATCCCGGGTCTGCTCATGTGGGATTTGTGGTGGACAAAGTGGCGCTGGGGCAGGTTTTCTCCGAGTAGTTCGGTTTCCCCTGCCAATCTTCATTCCACCAATTGCTCCACAAATCACCCTCACCTATCATCTGGGGCTGGTACAATAGGCCAGAGGTGGCCGCAGTACAAGGGACTTAGTCCCACCCCACTAGCAATAATAAAAAAAATTCATTTGAAGGGGAACTAAGAACAAAAAATAAAGTCACTGTTACCAGTCTCCGGGTTCGAACCCAGGATCTTATGAGTAAAAATCACGAATGCCAATCATTCTGTTAAGTTCGGATATTTATGCTCAAAATTGCCGGTTAATGTGCAGGATAAACACTGAAGACAAAATTGTAACATTACCCCATATAAGGAACACTTTCTGAATGCAAGCGCGATCTTCAAACACATTTATAGTATTGTCACGTGTCTCCCAGGTAACGCGACGAATATCTTCCACGTAGGTCCCGGATTTGGCGAATATTTATTGAACTCTCGCTTTTACACCAGCGAATACAATTATTATCACGTTCAGTATCGCAATTCTTGTTGCACCGGTAATCTCGGTGCAGTCTTATTTTGCAGCTGTAATGCACACTGCACACTTCCTCTACGTCTTCTCAGCGGCTGCTGGACTTCAACCAGGGAAACGCGTTTCCCCGGAAATAAAAGACAACAGAGGATCGTTGGATGACAACGGCAAAACCGAAGTGTTGAGAACTGTGTGTTGAGTCTGAATCTCATTTTACGACCGACGGTCAAACGGCCGGTCTGTCTTCGCATAAAGCAGCCATCTGGGGCTTGCGACCAGATACTTATTACTGTTTGACAGTTACGGTCTTGTTTTTTGTGGGCGCTCTGTCTGACGAGAGGACGGGTCTGTCATTTGTATATGCTGCTGGTCCCTGCCAGCGCAGTCTTTCTCGCGTCCGAGTCCCTTGGTACTCGAGACCATATATTACTGTCTCAAATTTGAGACTTCCCCTTTCGTCGCCTCCTATGACTCGCAGGGTCACGGTGGAGGTATTCGAACCCGTCTCCACGGGATAGTCAAAGTCAAAGTCACATTGCGGCTGAGGGCACCTTCGCCCCACTTACAGGCCTGATGAGGACCGCTTCCAGAACACAGTTTTCAACAGTTCGGTTTTGCCGTTGTCATCCAACGACCCTCTGTTTTCTTTCATCTCCGGGGAAAGGCGTTTGTTGTTTCGGAAATTCCTACGCAACGGTCTGTTGGTATTCCATTTGTCGCTGTGGTAACAGAACAATTTGTATGTATTCGTTGTCGCGGAAGTGTGTGTTACCATTGTAGCCGTTGCGCAGCGATGGACGTGATATAAAATGTCACAATATTTTCTGACTGGCTTCATATACATTTATCACAATACAGGTCGCTAGGCATACCCACAGAGATATATAAACTGATACACTTCTCCCCTAGGAGGCAACGAAAAGGGAAGTCTCAAATCTGAGACAGTAAAATACGGTCACGAATCCCATGGGACTCGGACAAGAAAAAACTGCGCTGACAAGGACCAGCAGCATATACAAAATACAGACCCATCCTCTCGTCAGAGAGGGCGCCCCACGAAAACAAGACTGCAACTATGAAACAGCAATTAATATCTGGTCATGAGCCCCAGATGGGGCTCGACACCAAGAATTACTGACTGACTGACTGACTGACCGACCGACCGTCAGTCGCAATGTGACTTTGACTTTGACTCTGACTAATCAGCCATCTGCACTGGATGAACATAAACAATTTAATCCCAGGATCTGAGAGCAACTGCTTGACTTAGTATTAGTAACTCACGGAAATTTTTATATTTTTCTAGGTATAAGTAACTTCAAATAATGGCGAAAGTACGACTAAACTTAGAGGAAAGAAAATTAGTGCTGAAGTGTTACCAGAAGTACGAGAACGTCACTGAAGTGCGAAGACAGGTTACAAGGGAGTTTCAAAGAAAACAGAGATAAGTTTGGAGCAACCGGAACTGTTCAAGACGTCCATAAACAACGATCCGGAAGGCCACGGTCTTCTACCAGTCCCGCAAGAGAAGAACAACTGCTGGAAACCACCCTCCGATCCCCAAAAGAAATCTGTGCGGCAGGCTCGTGAGACGGGAATCTCAAAATCGAGCGTCCATCGGATTTCGAAGGGAGGCCATTTAAAAACACGCATGGTGCAATAGGCTTGTTTTCTTCAATTTAAATCATTAACCTTATATCTATTTTAAAGAACATTGCATTTGGTGTCATTAAAAAGGTGAGTACATTTTTTGGGACGCCCTGTATATTCTGTGTTTAAAAGAACATAAATGGTAGCTAAAAGCAATTACAATTCATTGTCGAATATCTGGTGAACAGTGCTGCCAATTGTCCTCATACGAGCAGAAATTTCAAGGCTACAGATGAGGTATGCGCAAAAGGTAAAGCTGTCCATGTGCAACGGCGTATGGGGGAATGGAAGTAACAGTCAGCTCCACGCATCTAACTTCGGCACTGGATGGTGAAAGACGATCATGTCACGGCCGGTTGTCTTCCGTGGAACGAGCCCCCGGTACCCACTGGGTATGAGGATGGGTGGGCACCAGATGTGGTCTGGACGCTGTGAAGAAAAATCTTGCCTCTGCCGGGAATCGAAACCCCGTCTGTCCAGGATCCAGCCCGGCGCCTCCTGAATAGAAGTCAGAGGTGGTTACCCTTGGAGCCAACTTGCTCGAGGAAGGTTTCAGAAAACTGGGCCGATTTTAAATAAGAGGGGGGGGTATTTCTCTCCACGTGGAGTGGCACCACTGCAGCAGAACCAAATACTTCGGATACAAAGGTAATATTATCTTTGCATCTAATTAATTAAACACTAGGCCCTGAAAGACATATAGGGTAGTGGAGGTATAGCTCCACCATTCTTAATCCTGGTAATAGACTGAGGAGAGTCCTCGAGAGAAAAGGAAAGCCGTGATTGTCGACGGACTGCCGCACGGTATGGACCAGTTACTTCTATCAAACGAAAGCATTCTGCTCCTAATAAGGAAGTGTCGCTCTCCCATCTGGACGTTTGCCCGCTACACTAATCTACGTTGTAAAACTATTTACGTGTCTACTCAGGCAACAAATCAGGCCAAGGTGAAGGTACTCCCACCGATACATGGATACATGTGGGAGAGCACTTCTGGCATCTAGCAATGCGACCATTCCATTCCCACGGGTCCCCCATTCTTCGTGCCTTCTTCGGACTAGTTCCGTGTTGCAAACAACGTCACGGTTCCCACCAAAGAGCAGCTGTGGGTACAGAATGGGGCCCCATCGGGACAGTCCACCAGACGCCTACGCCTTTCGACCTGCTAATGTCCTCAGTGGAGATTTGAAATGATACTACCCCATAGGTTGTAAAATGGTCGCGACACACAAATAAGAACTCTTCATAACCCCCCCCCTTCCTTAGACCGAAGTTGCAGCGGCGTTGCTAACGCAAAGTTTCTAATGCATGTCTGAGTTACTGTTTACATCACAGTTTTCCCTGCAGGGTCCTCTCAGCCATCCACAATCAGTAACTGCTTGCCCCTATTCTGGTAATCAGAAGTTGTACTCTCCCAAATAAAGCGGTTTCCTTCATTGTCCGCGACAAAACATGCTGAAATGAAACTGACATAACCAAACTGAAAGAAGCAGTACTCACAGCCAGATGAACACAACGGAGGCCGCGAAATTTCGAGACGGTGGCACAAAAGCTTCCATTGACTCACGTGATATTTGTCAGATGACATTAGGTACGCCAGGCGTTGAAAACGCGGCCAATGCGCGTTACCAACGCTTACAGGATGCTTCTCTCTGCAAAGAATGCCTATGTCAGGGAAGTCAAACACACGGGTCCCTGCACGACTGCACGGTGTCGAAGGAGAGGATGATTAGTGAATCACGAACTGTGGAGGATGTGAGAAAGCGGCGGTACTATCCTAACATCCGCCTACACGGGATGAGGAATCTATTAACATCTATAAGAGTGTTTTCATTTTGGCCTCATACACGCACAAACACAGTACCTATCAGGAGCTACTGTGTTTGTGGGGAGAAAAAACTATCTCAAGATTCTGGCGAATCTCTTTCGTCCCCCAATTTCCCCGGTTTTTGAGAACGAAGTCCGGTCTGTGTATAGGTATGTATGTGAGCCTTGCTAGTGCCTCAGTGGTTCGGAGGAGTTTATTCATATTCCGTACTCAAGAGTATATCCATCATGGGTCGGTACCCGCTGAATATGAATATTCTATCTTCAGAAAGGGGAACCCTTCAGATGGGCCCCAAAACACAAAGAGCCATTTTCTCGCTTCTAGCGACCCTGATAAAGTTTCAATAATTTATGGAAACCACATCTCTAAACAGAACAGCACAGGCGGTACCTCCAGCGAATTGAATGTACCCGCACTAGGGAGGCCCAAACATTTACGCAGGGCGTACAGTGACACCCTCCATCCGCAAATGTTCGCACTGACTTCGCAGACTTCGCGGTCGTTCGGTCGGTATAGTTCGCTTGCGGACTACAGGCCACGGAGTTTTCTTTTTTTGGTACTCGTCCTGGCTTGTACGCTCAGAGACCAGAAATGGTTTACTCTGAAACAGGGTAGTCTGAGGCCAATCGGACATAAGAATTTATTTGGAATGTTTTACAACTCTTAGCATCTAGACCAGTGTTTCTCAAGAGAATTCACCGGGCCGAGGTGGAGAACCACTGAACTAGACTATATAGAGATGTTGCAAGTCACTTACCACATGCATGAGAGAGGGTGAATAAGAAGTGATATACAGAGATGAATGCTTGAATGACTGGTTAACAACGAATTTGGGCACTTTTGGTAGAAGTGGTCGAGGCCTAATCGAGGTACTATCCTTACATTGGCGTGGGAGGGCTGGAAACTAGAATGAACCTCATTAGAATAGCCTATGTCACAGCCGAGGTTCCAATTAGGCATCTCCCGGATGATTCTCAAGCGTTAACGCTGGATTAATCTGGCCTTCCAGATTACGAAGCAGGAGGGCTATCGCCCTGCGTCCCGCCGTCCAGAGACATCCTGAGGGGAAGGACTGCAACCTTGGCAAGTTACCTGTGATGCGGACTTCATGGCGTCCTCCATGACCCTGGACTGGACATCGTGCTTGCTCTTGAGGGCCTCATACTCGCGGTACATTCTCTCTGAGACTGCAACACAAACACGCGAAATAAGGGTGCGATGGGGTGGGAATGTAGAACATACAATGACATAAATACATGGCTGAGGGCTGATTTAAAAACAGGTTTATTACCTGTGAGTTGGGAGTCGAAAACAAAGAGACACATTACAATAACAATCAGAATTTAATATTGTGACACGTGAACCCACTGCCTACAGAAGTGTCACTTTCTAGCCAACGCACTGACAAGACAGGTCACAATGAGCGTCCATTGCTAGTCAACAGCTAGCAATTCCTACGTAACTAATTGTTTGAGACAGTTGCATGACAACAACAGCGTCCATTGAAAGTCAACGGCTAGGAGAACATGTATTCTCGTAGCTACGGGACAGTAGTTTGCATAACAGCAAGGAAATTGAACTATTCGACAAGGTACGCCAAGAACCTACTTCGGGGAGATTACTCCAGATAAAACCAGATAAGAGAAGACTAGGGAGCAGATCCGTGATCAGAGACGAGAGATGACCAGAACAGAAGCAAGAGGGGAACCGACAGAAATCGGTGAACATTAGAGTGTGATCATTGTCTGTAGTTCCGCCTGGCGTAATTCTCCAATAAACAGCTTCGTCTAAAGGAGCAACCCAGTAATTATGTCACGGTACTCCGGACACTTGACAATATTAACATTTCATCTACGTCAGGTTTCGCAAGTGGTCTCCGTCCTCTGGGGTTTCATATCAAAATTTTGTACGCATTTCTCTTCTGTACCATGCGTCGGGCATTCCCGTCCGTCTCACTGTTCTTAATTTGACTCTAAGAGCGGACTAATTTGGTGAGCAACACAAATCATGAAGCTAATCACTGTAATTTTCCTCAGCCTCCTGTTACTGTCTCCCCCCACCCCCCCCCTCCCCCATGTCCAAATGTCATCAGCATCCGGTCCTCAAACCCTTCTACGTCGTTCCGTTTCTATGAGAAACAAGTTTCAAAACCAGACAAAACAACGGTCAAATTATAGTTCTATGTACTTTAATCTTTAGGTTTCCTGATCTGACTGGTAGCAAGCACTGCCTGAATTTCCTCCGTTACATACGCTGACAGTATACTGCTATTCTAAAATCGGACGTTAATGTTATCTGATAATGAACACATAAAACAACGGTTTCTGGCGAAAAGAGGACGTAGGGATTTCGGAAGGTTCAACAGTGAGACGATAACTTTAAAACCCACTTTCTCAATTGATAATGCAATAATATCGGCTATTAGAAGCGCTCAGGGGCACGCGGTAGTGTAATTGGTTGAGGCACTATGCTGTAAGCCGCAGGGTAGCAGGTTCTATTCCCGATGAGGTAACTTAATTTTTTTAATTTACCTGATGGCCCTGAGGTTGATTCAGCCTCAACTGAAATGAGTACCAGGAATCTTCCTGCGGATAAAGGGTTGCTGGCGTGTAAGGCTGACCTCACCGCTATCTGTGAGCAGACTGTCTAGAAAATGTGGGAGCCTCGACGTCTCACAATCCTATGGGCCTCCGTGGTCTGTTACAGAAGCGCTCTGGGCACAGTCATGAAGGATATTACCACTCACCTTCCTGCAACTGAGCAAGTTTCGCATCCTTGGCCGCAAGCTGTTTCTTCACTGAAATGTGTTCATTACACAGAAGTTGGTAGCGTCGGCCCAGCTCAGCCAGCTCCCGTTCGCCTGTAATAACGAAAAGTTCATTATGCTCCCTCCCCCTTTCCAAAACATAACCTGAACGATTACTCCCAATTCAAATATGTAAATCGCTACAGGGAGGTGTGTTCCATTAGTCCTTTATTAGTCCGTAAACATGCTGATTAAATCCTCCTACTTAAGCACTTACTTACTTNTGGGGGGGGGGGGGGGGTGGAGTCCAACTGGGTCCACTCGGCACGGTGGCCACTGATTGGCCTATTGTAGCCTGCCCCGGGTGATTATTATGATGGAGAATTTGGTGGAATGAAGATTGGCAGAGGAAACCGAAGTACTCGGAGAAAACCTGCCCCAGCGCCACTTTGTCCACCACAAGTCCCACTTGACCAGAACCGGGACTGAACCCGGGCCGCCGTATTGGGAAGGCAANAATATCGGCTATTAGAAGCGCTCAGGGGCACGCGGTAGTGTAATTGGTTGAGGCACTATGCTGTAAGCCGCAGGGTAGCAGGTTCTATTCCCGATGAGGTAACTTAATTTTTTTAATTTACCTGATGGCCCTGAGGTTGATTCAGCCTCAACTGAAATGAGTACCAGGAATCTTCCTGCGGATAAAGGGTTGCTGGCGTGTAAGGCTGACCTCACCGCTATCTGTGAGCAGACTGTCTAGAAAATGTGGGAGCCTCGACGTCTCACAATCCTATGGGCCTCCGTGGTCTGTTACAGAAGCGCTCTGGGCACAGTCATGAAGGATATTACCACTCACCTTCCTGCAACTGAGCAAGTTTCGCATCCTTGGCCGCAAGCTGTTTCTTCACTGAAATGTGTTCATTACACAGAAGTTGGTAGCGTCGGCCCAGCTCAGCCAGCTCCCGTTCGCCTGTAATAACGAAAAGTTCATTATGCTCCCTCCCCCTTTCCAAAACATAACCTGAACGATTACTCCCAATTCAAATATGTAAATCGCTACAGGGAGGTGTGTTCCATTAGTCCTTTATTAGTCCGTAAACATGCTGATTAAATCCTCCTACTTAAGCACTTACTTACTTAAATTTAGTGTGGGGGGGGGGGTGGAGTCCAACTGGGTCCACTCGGCACGGTGGCCACTGATTGGCCTATTGTAGCCTGCCCCGGGTGATTATTATGATGGAGAATTTGGTGGAATGAAGATTGGCAGAGGAAACCGAAGTACTCGGAGAAAACCTGCCCCAGCGCCACTTTGTCCACCACAAGTCCCACTTGACCAGAACCGGGACTGAACCCGGGCCGCCGTATTGGGAAGGCAACGACTAACCGCTTGAGCTATGGCGCGGCCTTACTTACTTACTTACTTACTCACGAAGTTGAGTCCTTCTTGAGGAGAAGCCAATTCTGCAGCTACTCAAGAATTTCCCAGCATTTTATGGAACCCGAAGGTTCATTACCGTGTTCACAAGAGCCTTACACTGGTCCCTATCCTGGGCCAGATCTATCCAATCCATACCATCCCATTCTATCACTCTAAGATCCATTTTAATATTGTTCACTCACCTACGCCTTGGTCTTCCCAGTTGTCTCTTTCCTTCTGGCTTTCCCACTAGTATCCTATATGCATTCCTCGTCTCCTCCATTCATGCCACATGCCCTTCCCACCTCATCCTCCTTGACTTGATCATTCTAAATATCCTTCTACATTTTATTATAATCATTCAACTGTTCTACATACTCTCCCATATTAATGAGCTCTGCGGTTTGTGAGGTTATGGCATAACGACAGATTTCTGTCATCATAAACATGGCGGGGGGGATGTGTAATCCATTATCACTGGTCATAATTACATTTCTGAGATTGCGTGAGGAGAGCTTTCCTCTTCTTCTCCGAGTCTTCAAACTTACACCTCCACTTAACCTCGCCGTTCTGGTGCCTCAGCTCCACGGCTGCTTTCCATTGCGGAAGGGGAATATGTGAAATCATGGGTACCGCACTGTTCATCTTATTGTCGCTTCCGGGCGTCACGACTGGAGCCCCCTCGTTGTTGTTGTCGTTGTACATGGCGCAATGTTTAAGCCTCCATCTTATCTGCAATGGAGACATGGCACCGTCAACTTAATGCAACAAGGTTACGTTATCGCTTTGCTTAATGTCTTAAGCACCTCGCCGTGAAGATGTATGGGGGAGTGGATGTATGGATCCACATTTTCTTGACCTCTGCACTGGATAGAGGTTAGTGGACAGCTTCAAGCCCAGGCCACTTTACCCCCGGTACTTATTGGATAGGCTGGGTGGGCCTGAGACCCCGTCTGGACGCTGCTTAAAAGAGAAGAATCTTACCTCTGCCAGGAATCGAACTCCGGCCATCCAGCCAGTAGCCCGTCGCTGTACCGACTGAGCTATCCCGGCTCCCAACAAAATATAATTCACAAATGTTACATACAAGGGTGGAGAGGCGTGTTCTAGTTAAATACATACTACAAATATTTTCTTTGTATATGGTTCACGTGCTCTTCTGGGGCCTCAAGGTCAGATAAAAAATGTTTACAGATTGTGATTTTACATCCCAGTAAACACACTGCGCCTCCATTACAAACATCAGCATGTTAAAGCTGTTTAAAGAAATAACGGCGGTTTATTCTGGGAATCACACGAAACACACGTTGAGTAAAAAAAAAGTTGTCCATGTGCTTAACTAATTAAGCACTACGCCATGAAGGCGTATGGGGGAGTGGATGTATAGATCCACATTTTCTTGACATCGGCACTAGTTGAAGGTCAGCGGTCAGCTTCACGCGCCTGCCGCTTTACCCCCCTGGGAGAGAGTCCCCGGTACCCGTTGGATATGAGATTGGGTGAATCCGACCCCACAGCCGATCTGGACGATATGGGAAGTGAAAATTCTGACCCTACCGGGACTCAACTCCGACCCCTCGGTTGTCCAGCCCGTAGGCAGTCGCTATGCCGACTGCGCTACCCGGCTCCACACATATACAAAATAAATAAATACTGTAAGCAAAGTACAAGAGTTCCTCATGTTAAATTAGGTGGTTTGTATAGTAACCACTGTGCTGTTCCGCCATGCACAAGCTGGGTTAGTACCTTGAGATGGCACACGGCCCCTTAGTGCTACCCTCTTCCCATTTCATGATTCGCTGGTCACCAAACCTTTAGACGCTGAGTTACAGAAGGCGCCGTGAAATGCATTACAAACGCATAAATAAAATACAGCGTCGAATTACAGGGTAATCAGTCAATAATGAACCGGAAGGGACGTGGATGGAAGCGGTCGTTTCATAATTTGAGACACCGTGCTGGCAACTGCCTGGAGGACATTGAGTTCAAAGCCACGAGGGATCTCAGTTAGGACTTCCGGTGTCCTGACCTAGATTTGAACTTGGGACCTCCCCATCACGAAGCAGAGGCAAGGGAAATGTCACGGACACAGAGCTGATTGAAGTTCCTGTAACTTACGACAATGTGGATGAAGACGGAAGGCGTCGCTATGGTCTGTGGCCAGCTCACAGCGCCCGTTGCTCAGGTTACGCAGTGTCGAATGCCGGGAATGACACGTCAGGACGAGGAGCGACGAGGTCGTAACCTAATTTTGGTACTATTCCGGCAGCTGACTGGCAGGACTGACACAAGAGACCTCAGTCAGACCGATCTGAGGTCTGAACCCAGGGGTTTCCGATTACGAAATATGAATGCTAGATATTCACTATATTCTGTTCTTTAAAATCCGATGGGAACCGATATCCCCTTACCGGAGACCCCGCAAGGGGCACCAAAGACTTTTCTTCCGTTCAAATTACCTACCCAAGACATGACGCGCCGTCGGAACACTTAAGTAAAATTATGCAACGGCAGACATAACACTGGGCAAACTTCCCCCGCGGAAAGCTGTTCAATGTCTCAGCTCCACAATTTGTAAGTGTACCAGACTTTCTGAGTAGTGGGTCTGGAACGGGGCCCACTCAGCCTCGTGAGGATAATTGAGGAGCTACTTGCATGGAAAAGTAGCGGCTCCGGTCTAGAAAACCGAGATTAACGGCCGTGAGGATTCGTTGCGCTGACCACGTGACACACAAGCGGCCGTCGCTCGGTCGGTATAGTACGCTTGCGGACTACAGGCCACGGAGTTTGTAGTGTTATAATGTGTATAAGAGACGAAACAAGTCACAGTAGTTAATCTTAGGAAAGAAGAGTCCTGTGTCTCCAACGAGATCCGTGGTAGATCTTGTTTCGAATCGGATGTTGAAACTACGAGGGAGAGTCAGCAAATAGGTCACAAATGGATATAAAAAGTAAAGCACGTGATACTGGAACCTGTGGGAGGGGGGGGGGCAACATTCACTGCTCCACATAGCCTCCACTAACATTGATACACTCGTCCCATCGCTTTACCACTACGACGAAACCCGCAGCATAGAAGTTTTGACTGTTGTCTTAGCCACTTCCGCACCTCCGTTCCAACCTTCATCAGCGAAACGTTTTAACTCTAAGCTGGGATCGCTTTACGCGACAAACACTTCCCACTGTAAACAGGAAATATTTCTTTATGCGTATCTTTTGCATTGAGTCCTTTTGCCCTTCCCCCCCTCCAAAGAACCGCGTAACAGAACGCTGCTCTTCGGTGGTACATTCTCAAGCACGGTCTCCATTTTGACTACTGAAACCATCTTCTGAACATGTGCATGTGCGTCTGGTACGCAGACTGTCATGAAGCTGGAATGTGCTGCTACCTAGTGATGCACACAGAAAACCTATTACGTCCATTACAGCTGCTTTACTTCTATTTGTGACGTATTTACTGACTCTCCCTCGTAGAATCCAGTAACTTTATAACGGTCACGGAACGATGTACAACATTCAGAGATGTCTTAGACACTGCATATCCACCAATAACTGCCTGAGAATACAGGCATAATTCCAGCACCGCTGGATGCTATTATACCTATCCCCTTCACGCATTTAAAGTACGATTTGAGGTTCGCGAACCACAGTGTGAGAAGTTGAAGACACAGCAGATATCTAAACACGTGGGCGCCATTGCTCGTATTAGTGGTCTCCTGTAAATTCGAAATGTTCGTCCCCGCGAGATATAAATAGCCGCCAACTTCCGCAACACGGCGCAGTCCCCCGGCCGTCTCGACGTGAGACATCCGCTCGGTGACAGTAGTTTGCAACCAGCGGCACGCGGGCTGCATCAGCCCGTCAAACTATACCAGTACCCAAAATCACTTTCTTTAGATCATTTACTCACTTTGGGGTAGCGAGAAATAAAGTCGAGGTCTGGAACTCTGAAGACAAGAGACTAGCACATATGTAAAGATAATATTAAAAAGAATCTTAAATATAACGGGAGGAGAATGTGCACTGAATTCATGTGGCTCAGCATAGGAGCCAGTTGCGGGTCCTTGTGAAAATGGTAAAGAAGCTACGGTTTCCATAAAAACAGAAAACGTCTGGAGTGGCTAAGCAACTACAAGATTCTTAAGAAGGATCTTTCTGTGTCAATTTAACTGTATTGTAGGTTCCTTTATGAAGGGTAGGGTGACTCATGAACTGGTGTGCAATCTGAACAAAACTGTCGTGGCCTAATCGAGGTACTACCTATCAGGAGGGACTGAGGAAAACCTACCAAGCGCACACTATAGGGGAATGAAGAAGCGGCTATAGACATTTTCTTCTTCTTCTTTTAAGTTATACCTTTGCTTCCCTTAGAAATATGATGTGCACAATTGTTATGTTCTGATTAGTAGTGAACTGCCACCACGACTGAGGGGGAGGGGAGTCTTCGAAATGGAGACGCAATGTGTTCCCTGCGCGGTACGAACTGAATGTTCAAATACTTAGATGAATGTCATACTTGAGGGGTAATTCTGTGATGATTCCCAAGTTCAGAGCTTCTACTGCGCATTTCTCGTGCAACCTTCCCAATTTAGATTTATCAAAATTAAAACCCTGTACTGAGAGGGGCATCAAATTATCATTACAAATTATGAAACTCGACATTAATCCAGCAAATCAAAATCCCGCGGCCCCTGTCTCTAGCCACTGTTTCCAACCATTTTAACATCTTTAGTGGGGCCGAAGCCTGGAAACATTCGAACAAAACGATGCTCTCTCTCTCTCTCCGACCCGCAACCAAAAATAAATTCTCCCATGGCTTTTTTACTTTCACCTACACTTCTGCTAGGCTTTTTTTCTCTCTCTCTATTTGGAGAATTCGCGAAATTAAAAGAAAAGCGCCGCCCAATTCTAAAATAAATAAATAAATACAGTTTTACCCACGCCAAGTTTTGGCAAATCAGTGGGCTTTTGGAAATGCGTCTGCTGCCGGCAAAATATTTCGTGAATTTTTCATGACTGTACAGGAACATTTTATAGCTTTCCGTAGGTGTAGAGAGGCTGTAAAGCTATTTAGGTTCCTGCTGCCACCGTACAGCCTGAACAGAGAAGTAAACTTCGGTACTCTCTACACCAGGCATGTCAAACTCAACTTGTACAGAGGGCCACCTCAGCCCTATAAATAATGGCCCAGGGCCGCACTTCAAAATAGAAATATACATTAGATTTTGATACAAGGAAATTGAATTCTATTTATTATTTAGGAATAATTTCAATATAATTACCTAACGTCACATATCTTACAGTTTTAAAAAGCAAGATAATGCCATTTTTGACAAGTATCAAACAACTTTTCAATATGTAAAAAGAGAGATTACACAAGAAATTATGTTAGAAATAGCAAAACATTGAATTTCCTGCAGCCTGCTAATTTATGTCTGCTTGAGACATAAATTGGACATTCTGGTTTGTTGGAAAACTGTCTATACAAAAAAAAATATTTCTACTAAAATTTTTAATATTGATTTTAATATCAATTAGTTCTAAAAGTTGAGGGGCCGCATGTCTGACACGGCTGTCTTGAGTTAATGGGAGGAGACAGGCTATCCAAGCGGAAATACGAAGTGCTTCAGCAGCCTTGGACACAACGGCTCCCGACATATGACGTCACCAAAACATGAAGGTAGTCGCTAACCTTGGGTAAGCCGATCTCCCGATCGCTGGCGCGATTTGCA